GTAGCAAGATCTTGCCTTAAAAAAAAGGAGAAAGCCAAACCCTGAAACAAGACCTAATAAACCACAAGGGCAGAGGGGCCAACCTCAGGAAAGAAGGCCTAGTGGGGCAGAGGAAGAACCAGATACAGAGAGAGGAGGCCTTAATAACAAAGGACAGGCGAATTCAGAGGAGAGAGTGGTCTCTCCCCACCAAAAATACTAATGGCTAGTTTTTACAGGGTGCTTACTATATGCCGGGTACTACTCTAAGCAATTTGCATACATTATGTCATTTCATCATTTCAGCAAGTTTCTGATGCAAGAACCACTGCTTCCTCACTTCACAGGTGTGAAAGCTCAGGCCCAGAGAGGTGAAGTAACCTCTGGGGGTCGCACAGCAAGCAACATGAACCTAGATAAATGATTCAGGGCCCTAGAAAACCTCCTGGTCCTGGGGAATTATGTTTGAGGCACGTTGACATCATCAGTCCAGCCAGGGGCGGAATAGGAAGAGGGCTGGGAAAAAGTCCTACCTTTTTCCAGCTTACATGACTCAGGTTTGTTCAAATCTCCACAGTGTTGTGTCCAAGGAAAGTGGCATCTCCTTGGCAAATGGGAGATAAACAACAAAGGGGTTAAGGGCACCCTGGGAATCTTACACCCTTTTGCCTAACAATGTAGTTATGGCTAATGAGACCAGGGCAAATCTGCTGGATAGAGGTAAAGGATTTTTTCCATGATAAAATTTAAAACGCAAAAGGAATGGAGTGTGAGAGGGCAGGCAGCCACTTTGCAACCATGAGGGGACAAGTCTGAGGTAGAAGTCATCACTCTGAAGAGGGCAGAAGTGAACTACAAAAAGCCCCTGGCTTACTGCTACTGTCTTGTGCTGCAATTTATCCAACCCCAGAACTGCCTAAATCTTGATGACTCACAATATAAAATAACAAATGCCAGAAACTGTGATGGCTCATCGCTTGTGGCGGAAAGCACCCTAGAAATGTTCATGCTTCCAGCTCCTGGAGGCCAGTGATTTTCAAATCTCGAATTCTAGGTCAGACTTTTCTTTCGTCTAAAGAGAATATTTGTGACAACTCTTACTGAGCAGCTCCACTAGCACCTTAAACTCATCCCGCCCCAAAGGGAACACCGGCTTCCCCACTCTACCAACCACCCATGTGGGGACAAGTATGGAGCCAAAAGCCCCTTGGGGCTCCCCTCCCGCACTGCACACAGCCAGCCTCTGCAGCTCATTGTCATGCTGCCATTGTCTGTGAGCCCAGCTGTCTCCCTGAGACTTTGAAAACTTTGAGGGCAGAGTCTGTCTCTGTTCATCTCTGTACCCCAAGTGCCCAGCACATGATATCCAACAAATACCCCCGCCCCCAGTTCCTGCCCCGTCCTGGGGATGGAACGCAGGGCCTGTGCACTGAGGGGCATCCTCGGCCTTTCTTATTTTCTGTTCTGAGACAAGGTCTTGCTAAATTGCCCAAGCAGAGCTGGAGTTTGTAACTTTCTGCCTCAGCCTTCCAGAGTACTAGGATTACAGGCAGGTGGAACCGCACCCAGCTCAACTGGTTCTCACGGGGATGGATGAATGAGTGAGTTCAACTCATTGGAGCAGCTGAGTCGAGGTCAGACTGGGGAAAAATTAATATACTCCAATGAGCTTGTTTGGCTAAATGGGGACGACAACACAGGAGAGAAGGTACGAGAACTGAGGTGAGGTTGGAGCAAACCCCGTGGGCCTGGGAAGAGGGAGAGTTCAGCTTCTGGGGTGGGAGACGGGAGAAGAGGAGGAAGAGAGAGAAAGCTGCTTGCTGCATCTTTGGAACTCAAGGCAGATTGGCTGAACCTCTGGGGCTGTGGCGGGGAGGGTGCGGGGTGGTGGGGGAGAGGTTTGGAGCCCTGGTGCCGAAGCAGAAGTCGTGCAAATGGACACGGACAGTGGGACGGGCGCCAGCCCAGCGTTGGCAGGGCTTGTGCTGCTGCTGAGAACCGAGGGGGAGGAAGGGAAATTCCCACGTGGGCTCTGCTGGGCATCAAAACATGTCTGGTCATTTAATCCTCACAACAGCCCCGTGGGGGAGGTATTACGAGCTTCATTTCTGTCCCAGGAGGAAATGAAGTTCAGAGAGTTAATTGGCTTGGCTGAAGTCACACAGCCACAAAGGGCAGTGCCAAGCCAGGATTCATGTCCAAGGTAGTCTGATTCCCAAACCTTTGCTCCTTCGCAGAAGCATTTATTGAGTGCTTATTATGTGCTGAGCATTTTGCTAAGTCCTTCCCTTCTCCTGTCATTCGGTTGTCCAAATAAACTTCGGGAGGCAGGGATCACGATTTCTCCTGTTTGTAGCCCAGTGGCAGAGGCTCAGAGAAGTTAAGTCACTTGGCCAAGGTCCACCAGCAGTGAGTGACACAGCCAGCATCAGAATTGGAAAGTTATAAGCCACTCTCATGACCAGTTACGAGAATATACTATAAAGCTACGGAATATCTATCATTGGCAAGTCTGGGCCCAGAACTCTTGACCATTACATTCAGCTGGCTCCCTCTCTGTCAGCCACGTCCTTTATTTCCTTTTACTGTTCATCAGTGAACATTTCAAACACATTAAAGTATACGTCAGGAAGGGAAGTTCAGGGAGGAGAAATAACTCATAGGAAGTCATTCAGCTAGGGACAACTCTCACATGAGTGAGGCACTATCCCCGAAGTCTGTCACTACAGGGAGATGAGCACCCCAGAGGGCCGCAGATGGTCAGAGACTTGACAAGGAGAAGAGCGTGAGCTGGGCTTGACAAGGGAGTGGAAACCAGAAGGCCATAATAGTTGTAATACTTTCTCCTTTTTATGGTGGTGCTGGGGAGTCAACCTGGGGCCTCACATGTGCGAGGCAAGTACACAACACTATTTTTGATAGTAGCTGAGTATCAACAGTCTCGTGGCCCTGTTTCATTCAGTCCTTACAACAACCACAAAGGGCATGTTCTTTTTTTTTCCCCACTGAGGCAGGGTCTCACTATGTAGTCCAGACTGGCTTCAAACTCAGGGCAATCCTCCTGCCTCAGCCTCCTGAGTACTGAGGGTTACAGGTATGTGCTACCAACCACACCCAGTGGGCGTGTTCTTAAAAATACAGTATTTTTAAATTGAAAAGTAAAAATTGTGTATATTCATGGCATACAACATGATGTTTTGATATAAATACACAATGGGGTGGCTATATCAAGTTATTTAACTGTGTATTCTCTCGCATTTTACTGTGGTGAGAGTGCTTCGAATCTACTCTTAAGCAATTTTCAACTATATAGGTCATGCTTATTATCCCCATTTTTTTTTTTGAGACAACTTTTCACTATGTAGTTCAGGCCATCCTTAAACTCATTTTGTAGCTCAGGCTGACCTCAAACTTGCTGTGATCCTCCTGCCTCAGCCTCCTGAGTGCTGGGATTACAGGCCTGTGCCACCATGCCCTGTTTTATTACCCCCATTTTAGAGATGAAGAAACTGAGGCACAGAACTTTGTAGAGTTGCCATGTGTCCCACAGCTAGTAGAGGGAAAACAAAAATGGTCCTTGAACCCCTAAATCAACTGATACCAGAAAGGGGGCTTTTTAGAAACCTGAGAGTCTTGCTCAGGGGGCAGGACATCTGGGCTCCATCTTCATCTCTGCTGGAGACTTGCCGACAACACCCACCCTAGAGTCTTCAGACGATAATCCACAAGAGCCCCTCCATATCCCCACGCCTGGGTTCTTGGGCCCCAGGTGGCCGTGCCGGGGAGGAAATCGGCCCTGGCTTCCTTTTCATGCTCTGTGCTCCTGGCTTGTTTAAATGCCTCCTTGGTACATCACAGGGCAGGTCTCCCTGTTGGGTGTCTGTCACACTCCCTTCCCTCCCCAGGGAGCTGGGGTTGGCCCTGCCCCTGCTCTGGGTCCCCCCAGCTTCTGTCCCTGCCACCCCCTCATGGTGGTGGTGGTGGGGTTACAGGGACTGTTTTTCTTTGGCTTTGAGATCTCTGCCATGTGCTTTGATGTCCTCATCAAAGAATCGTCCTAAATCACAGGATCAAACCAGTGGTCACTTGATTCAGTGGCTGAAGCAGAGACATGTCCTTGGGGTATGGGGTGTGCTGGGTGCCAGAGCAGAGGCCACTGGGCTTGGCCCATGTGCCACAACAGGGAGCACAGTGTTCTGGACCTCAGCACTCAAGCCCGGACCAGGGCCCCAAGGTCTCTCCCAGTGTCCCCAGAAAGAGACAACACTCATGTTGGCTACCAGAACTTTGGGGAGGGGGTTCTTCAGGGAAAGGCAATGCCCTCAGGAGACCCATAGGGTCTGGAGGGCTCTCTGCACTGGTGGCCTAACATAAAGTAGTGTAAGTGCTTTGAACAGTGAGATGCAATAAACTCTTGCCCAAAAGAGCAGGAGGCTGCCAGGGGACCAATCGTTCCGAGGTCAGTTTAGGTTCCTCCATGGAACAGTGCGTCAGTCACCTTGGGAAAGTTGCCTAAGCTCTCTGTGTGTCCCTCCGCTGATCTTTGAAATGAGCCAGGTAGGGTCATGATCTCTTGGCCTCTCTACCTCTGAGAGCTGAGGGCTCTGGGTGACTGTTGCATTCTGTCCCATGCTGAAAACTGATAGCTCGGAGGTGGACGCCAACTTGCCGGGATGCAGGCACATGTCCGGCACAGGACAGACTTTCAGCAAACCCTCGTACAGTCACAAATGACACTGGCTATTGCTGATTGGACAGAAACTGTGGATAAGTTCATGGTCTGTAAACTATCTCTCGTTTTTTTGTTTGTTTGTTTGTTTTTTCTTTCATTGTGTGAGTTTGTTTTGTTTTGTTTTTGTTTGGTTCTGGGGATCGAACTCATGACCTAGTGATTGCCAGGCAGCTGCTTATACCACTGAGCTAAATCCCCAGCCCTGTTTTGTTTTGTTTTGATTGAGAAACTTTTCAAGATGTCCACAGTCCAGTCCAAATGCATAGTTCTGTATATTATAAACAACTAGTCAGTAATATTTTCCATTTATTTCACTTTCAATAACAAATTTCTGCTCTTACATGGTTGAATATTTTGCTTTAAATTTAACAGTCGTAAGTGAGGAAACAGTGGCTTGTCTTTCTAATAAAGCGACCAAGTGGCTGAATCTCAAGGCCCCAACAAAGGTTGCATCTTACTATTTTCACTGAACAATAAGACCTTTTATTTTGATTATTCCTGGTGAGCAGCAGTTTTGGTTTTCCAGTGGTTTCCATTTGCTGAATAGTCATGACAGATGCTTAACATGGTGCCCACAGCTTCCAGGGATTCCACAGATGGGTCCTCTTTCCCAGCCCAACACCTATGGAGGCCTCCTCTCAGAGTCATCCACTGGGACTCCTCTGTCTCGGCTGGCCAAGAAGTCTCACTTTAGCTGCCAGGGCTTTGTTCTGCTGAATATGGGATTCCTGAAATCTCATAGATATTCTTTGCATCATGTTAAAGTATTTCTGTAAGCAATATTTTGAGCAGGTGATCTCTTCAGGTTTTACTTCTCTTGTTGTGAAGTCCTTAACACAGTCCAGAAAGCAAGTTTCTGTATGTTTACTGTAGGTTCCCAAGGATTCCTCAAACTGTTTTATCTGATCAGATTCTGGTATCTGTGAAGCCATATTCTTTTGGTATTATTTATGAGCCACCTTTTCTGATGCCTGAGTTCCTGAGTTCTTGAGAAGCAGTTCTCCAACCTCTGCTCAGTATTTCCCATGAGGCCTGGTTTTTCACTCAGTCACTGGCTGTTGCATTCACACACAGCTGGGGGGCTGTGACCACTGTCAGGGACACCAGTGGGCAGGTAGACGGTTGGGGTGAAGGAAGGCGTCCTTGGCCAGAGGATGGCCTGTTTGGTTTTGTTTTTGACAGATACTCACTATGCTGACAAATCTGTTTTTGAACTCCTGGGCTCAAGTGACCCTCCTGCTTCAACCATCCAAGTAGCTGGGATGACAGGGACCTGCCATGACACCTGTACACCCGCCATCTGTGGGTTATCTGTTGCCGCTTAACCGACTATCCCAAAACTTAACATTTTCAACAATAACCAACATTTATTATCTCACGCAGTTTCTGTGGGTCAGGAACTCAAGAGCAGCTAAGCTGTGTGCATCTGGCTTAGGATCTCTAAGGAAGTCATGGTCAAGATGTTGGCTGGTGCTTGACTGGAGCTGGAGAATCCACTTCCAAGATGGCGCATGCATATGATCAGCCCTGTACCTCTCCACAAGGCTACGTGAGCATCCCCATAACATGGTGCTTGGCTTTCCTCACACAAGTGATCCAAAGGAGCCAGGAAGAATGGCAGTGTCTTCTATGACCTAGTTTAGAGGTCATGCACTGTCATTTTAACTGCATTCTCCTTTCTACTCTCCAGACCAACCACGATACAATGTGTTTATGGAAGGCCATAAGTACCGAGAGGCAAGGATTATGATGGAGGCTAGTGATCAGTCTGTCCAAAATATTTTATGATATTAAATAATTTATTAATTCACGAGCCCTGTATCATTATCATCCCCATTTTATAGATGAGGAAACCATCACTGACAGATTAGGTCACTTATCCAAGTTACACCTCTAGGGAATGATCCAGGACATAAGTACGGGCTAAATTTTTTTTTGGGGGGGGGGCTGAATTTTTGTGTTCCTCCCAAATTCTTATATGAAAGATCTAACTCCCAATGTGATGCTACATGGAGATGAGGCCTTCCAGAGGTAATTAAGGTTTGTGAGATTGTGACAATAGAATCCTGGTACAAAGGGAAGCGTCCTTATGAGAAAGAACACAGGAGAGCCTGCCCTCCCCCTCCATGCACACATAAGCAGCGGCACATAGCCGGATGGCAGCCTCCTGAAGCCAAGAGAAAAGGCCTCAGAAGGGGGCACCCCTCACTGGCACCTTCAGTTTTAACTTTCCAGCCTCCAGAACTGGGAGAAATAAATTTCAGTTGTTGAATTCACGCAATCTGTGGTATTTTGGGATGGCAGCTGAGCAGACGGATGCAGGCATTAAATCTGGGTGGCTCAGGGCTTGGTCTTGATCTTTCCCTCTCTCTCTCCCCATGACACCGCCCTGGCCTCAGGCCTGGCAGGGACTCTCAGATGGCACTGGGAAGAGCTGATGACAAGACTGGAGGAAGCATCGGGCAGAATCCAGGCCAGGGTCTTGCTGCTGACCCTGGTGTCCCTTTGCTTGTAACCTGGAGAGACAGTCTTGGGGTTCAGGACTTGCTGCTCTTGCTGCCCCACCGACTTGAACCTAGGGCTTGCCCCACACACCCTGGGGGAGTGTCTGGATCATAAACACTGGGCAGGAGGAAAACAGACTATATTTAAACCGGCAGTTGCTCCATAAACAAAGCTAAAAGACAAGTAACTGGCTGGGGAAAAAACATGAGGAACACGTGTAAAGGCCAAGAGTCCATGGCCTTGAATAAATTTTAAGAACAAGAAAAGGATACAAAAAGGCAATTCACAAAAGAATAAATGTCAGTCCCCCCATAATCACATAAAAAAAACAATAAAACCCAGTTTTTCTTCTACTAGATTGACAGATTAGAGATTAAAAATTTCCGAGTTTGGGGAAGGGTAGGGATATGGACATCGTCTCTCTTCTTGATCTTGGGGGGGGGGGCGTGATTTACAATGTAATAAAGTCAAAATGTAAAACATTCATATACATGACTCAGTAATTATACTTTTTTTTGTCGGTACCGGGGATCGAACTCATGACTGCCTGCTTCCAAGGCAGGCGCTTATGCCACTGAGCTAAATCCCCAGCCCCTTAGTAATTATACTTTGAAGAATCTAGCATATCAAGCTAGAAAGATGACAGAAAGAAATGGATAGATGAATTGAATGATAATAGATTTTTCAAAATTTGTATTGTCTTATTTATTGATTGATTGATTTGATTTGATTTTTTTAGGCAAATCTCATTATGCAGTTCAGGCTGGCCTCAAACTCACGAGAACACTCCTACCTCAGCCTCTTCAGTGCTGAAATTACAGATGTGTGCTGTCGTGCCTGGTTAATTGCAGACATATGCAGGCATACTGATTTCTTTACTCACAAGGATTTTTTTTTTTATGTGTACCGGGGATCGAACTCATGACTGTGCTTGCAAGGCAGGTGCTTATGCCGCTGAGCTAAATCCCCAGCCCTATAAATAATTTTTTTTTTTTTTTTTTGGTATCATGACCCTGTGCTAGGATTTTTTTTTCAGTATTGTTTGTAATAGTAAAACCTGGAAATAAACCTAAGTTCTCATCAATGGACATATAAATAAATGGTCACACAGTGGAAGATTATACAGAATTAGAATAAACAGACTGCTGCATGTGACACTGTAGATGAAACTCACAAACAGAATGTTGAGCCAAAGAGTACATCTTGTATAATCCTGTTCCTGTAATGTTCAAAAAAAGGCAAACTCATTCGAGCTGCTAGAAGTCAGAACAGAGGCTACCCTCGGTCACAGCCGGCAATGTGCTAATGTCATGAACTAGGTGTGGGTTACCCAGGCACGTTCACCTTGGGAGAGCTCCTGAACCATCCAGTTAGGAATTATACTTGAGAAAAGGTTAGCATGCAGCACAGGCCTATAAACCCAACATTTGGAAGGCTGAGGCAGGAAGATTTGTAGCCTCTGCTATGTAACAATTTTTTTTTTTTTTTTTTTTTTTTTTTTTGTCTTTTTGAGACAAAGTCTCTCTATGCAGTTGGGGCTGGCCTTGAGCTGACTTTGTAGCCTAGGCTGGTCTCAGAATTGCAACGATCCTCCTGCCTTGGCCTCCTGAGTGCTGGGATTACAGGTGTGAGCCACCACATCTGGCTATGTAGCAAACTTGAGGGCAGCCTGAGCTATAATGAAACTCTTTCTCAAACTGCCCTCCAGAAAGAAGTTTATCAAAACAATCAAAAGCAGACCCTAATAAACATTACAACTATATATGTAGAAATATACAAATATATTCATCCTGCAGTTTTAAAAAGTAATGTGTTTTTCCTACCAATAGAAAAGATGCTAGCGGGGCTGGGGGTTTATCTCAGCGGCATAAGTGCCTGCCTTGCAAGCAGGCAGTCGTGAGTTCGATCCCTGGTACCGATAAAAAGGAAAAAGACAAAAAAAAAAAAAGAAAGAAAGAAAAAAGAAAAGATGCTAGTATATATCATTAGACACAAACAGAAAGATACACATCAATTATATGGAAGGAGATTCTACTCTATTAAAAACATGATTGTGTGTGGGTATATAAATAGATAAGTCAACCAAAAATGTTATAGAGGCATAAAAAAATGGCTGGAAAGAAATCTCTTAAACTGTTAAAAAGCCACTTTTCTTAATGGATCTGGGCCCAAAGGGTCCGAGCTGCTTCACTAGGCTTTTAATGAACCCCAAGGAGAAACCAGAATTCTGCAGAGCAGGGCTGGGCCCTCACTTCTGCAGGGCTGGGGCTGGGCCATCAGGAACAGAGTAGTCAAAAGAGCTGGGCCCTTAGAATGACCCAACCCGGTCAAGACCTGGACAAAAGGAGCAAAAGCCCTGCAGGGAGATGAGGACAGAAGCCCCAGCCCACTAGCCCAGTCCTGATGGTCCCAGCGGTGGGAGAGAGCAGGAGGAGCACACCCCTAAGCCAGGGACCCCGAGCCATCACGGAGCCCACAGGACACCCACACTTGCCTGGGGAGGGGGCAGTGAGGATGGCTGAGAACAGGACACTCGGCACAAAGATGCAGGAGTCACAAAGGCAGCTGCAGCCCAGGACGGGCAGCCTCACCACAGCTGAGGTCAGAGCTCGGGCACTAACTCTGGCCCCAGGGGCCGTTCTGTGAATTCAGCACTGACACCTCAGGTTCCAGCTCCCAGCAGCCTGGAGGCCAGCTGGAATGGGTCCTGGGTAGAGCCAGGTCAGGCTGCCTGCCTCTGCACGCTGCTGCCCCCTCCCCAACACCCCAACTCATGCTCCTTTTTCTCCTCCTTCCTCAGCTACCTACCCAGCCCCTGGGTTCTGAGTCCTTCGCGACTTCAGCCTGGGTACCAAAGAGCCACAAAGATGGAGGACAGAAAACAGCCTGGCTCCTAGGTTCAAATCCCAGAAGCCCAAGTCAGCCATGGTAGGTTATTCTTGACAAGTTACTGATTGTCAAAGGAGTGAGAGACAGTAGTCAGAGGCTGAGACCTTCCTGTGTGCAGGTTAGTTCAGTCCTCACCCTGGTGAGTAGATAGCAATGTCTCCATTTTACAGGTAAGGAAACTGAGGCTCAAGGGGAAGTAACTTGCCCAAACTCACCTACAGCTTGGACTCTGAAACCCAAGACTCAGCTTTTGAACCCGGCCCTGTTTTGGGGGTGTTTATTTGTTTGTTTGTCTTTTTGAGACAGGGTCTTGCTATACAATTCAGGCTGGCCTTGAGCTCACTTTGTAGCCCAGGCTGGTCTCGAACTCACAATGATGCTTCTGCCTCTGCCTCCTGAGTGCTGGGATTACAGGAGTGCACCACCATGCCAGGCCCTTGGAAACGTTAAGATTGGTTTAATTATCTAACTGATGAGAAGTTTCATTTTCTAGGAGCAGCGGGGCCAGGAAATTTTGTAACCTTCCCCAATTAAGCCAGGGTGGCTTCCTGGAGAAAGCAGCATTCTGTCTCATGTTAACAAAGCCTGAGCTGGAGGCAGGGTGCGGGGCGTGTTGGGGGAGCTACAACAATCAAGCTGGGGATGGAGACAGTTGCCTCAGCCGGGTGGGGCAGGGGTCAGGTCAGGTCTGAACACGGGCCGGCTACCAAACCTCACTCTCAGAGGATGTCTCAACAGTTGCTTGGGCACCTTGGATGATAAACAGGTTGTCACCCTCCAAGCCCCAAGTGAACTTAATAAGCTCTGGCAGCGCAGGAGGAGAGAAAAGCAGGCTGGCTATAAATACTCCGTGACTCAGGCTCGGTGTTGTATTGAAAGCACCGCTGGTGCTTCTGGTCCTGTTTGTTGCCCTGGAGAAGCCTCCAGCTCCAGGGAGGGTCTGGGCCACCCCAAGGTCTCACACCTCCCGCTTTCTCTGCCTGGGCAGATTTGGGGCCTGACTCCGTGTCCTGTCTAAATGGGACTCTTTGAAGCTGACACAGCTCTCAGGAGTTCCTGTTGTAGTGGAAATGAAACTGGTCCTCTCTCCTGACCTGTGCCAGGTGGGCTTGAGGTGGCGTAGTCTGTGATTGGCTACACAGGTTTGGGGTACCAGAATGAAACCTGTCTGTTTCATTCCTTAGCTAGCTGGGTGCCCTGAAGCCAGTCAATTCACTTTTCTGGGCGTTGGTTCCCTAAACTGTAAAATGGGGATGACAGTGGAACTTCCTCCACAGGGTTGTGACAGAGAGGACACATGAAAGCAGACAGCGCTTAGCACAGCCGGGCGTGGTGGCTCATGCCTGTAAATCCCAGCAGTGGAGAGGCTGAGGCAGGAGGATTGTTGGGAATTTGAGACCAGCCTGGGCAACAAAGTGAGCTCAAGGCCAGCCTGAACTACATAGTGAGACCCTGTCTCCAAAAGACAAAAAAAAAAAGGAAGTGCTTAGGACAGAGCCCAGAAGGCAGTAAATTCTCAGTTAATGACCAAGATTATGTTATAAATTCAGCTATCCTCTTAAAAGTCTTCAGGGCCGGGGGTTCAGCTTGGCGGCATAAACACCTGGCCTTGGCAACTGTGAGCTCATGAGTTCGATCCCTGGTACCAAAAAATAAAATAAAATAAAAGTCTTCAAAGCAGAGGTAGTTGGAGGATTTGTATTCCTTCAGAGAGCTATTTTGGGAGCAGACCCCTAAAACTTTACCCGTCTCTTTGCTTCATATATATAAAGAGCCAAGCTACGAAAACAAGAAGACAGTCCCTTACTGGTAGGGAAAGGGCAAGGTTCTGTCATTTATCAAATGCCTACCGCATGCCAGCTGTGCCACTGATGTCATATCCCTTTTGACTCCAGCCACCCTCAAGGCACAGCTCCTCCAGACCGGGCATTTCGCCCGGTCCCATGCTGGTAACTGAATGGCAGAGCTGGGATCGGACCCTGGGTCTGAGCCTGTTGCTCCATGGCCCTGGCTGCCCCCTGGTCCAAGAAGGTGGCAGGGAAGTGTCACCAAGAAGAGACCAACGAAGAAATAAGGTGCTAGGTAACAATGAGTACTGAGTACAGAGACCCAGAGGAGCATGGGAGGAAGGGCTGCTTGGAAAGGCACATGTCTTCCTGGTGACCGCTCTATGAGCTTGGCCAGCAGGCACATGGAAAATTATGGGAACTCCGAAGAAACATCAGGCTGGGGTGAAAGGAAGATCCCCTTGCTCAAGACTGTTGAAAGGACTTCTGAACTTACAACCCCTCAAAATTCTCTTCTGCTTTGCTTTGAATGCTTGCTGCCCAGCATCCTACCCACACCCCTGGGCCTTTGCATGTGCTATGTATACTTCCTAAAACAATCTTCCTCTGCTCAGTTGAGAGATCACCACTTCAATGAAGCCAACTCAGCACCTGCTTAGCTCTTTTCTAATATTTATCACAACCTGTAATTGTTTTACTCAATTTCTCTTCGTTAATTGTCTGTCACCTCCTACCCACCCTTTCACCCCCCCCCCATACAAAGAAAATATCTGTACAAAGATGACAGGGAAACCACTCCCAGAACGGCACCTGCCATGCAGCAGGAGCTTAGCAAATATTTGTGGAGTGAAGGATCCCCTTCCATCTGTCTTCTGATAGCCTCTTTTCCCTAACTTTAGCGCCACTGAGATGTAAGGAACAGTTTCTCATTGTTTTTCCACCACCTCATCCCTCGCTCCACGTGTGTCATGTGGAATGGCCTCTGGCCGTTAGACCCTGAGCAAGCTCCAGCTGGACCTCCTCTGGGAACCCAGGACCCTTGCAAGGTGAACTAACTATGCAACTTATATGGCCCAGCCCTGCACCGAGCACCACTACTTAGATGTGACACCGAGCAAAGCACTCTAACTTCTGGGCTCCAGCTCCCCCAGTTAACTCCATACTTGGGATACTAGCCAGAGGAAATAATTCAAGAGCAGAGAAAAAAAATCCTAAAATCTAACGGTACACTTTGAAGCATTAGTTAAAGTGGAAAAATTCAAAACAGCAAAGATGTTAAATATTGATAATAATAAATTCCACAGTTGGGGCTGGGGATTTAGCTCAGTGGCATAAGCGCCTGCCTTGCAAGCACGTGGTCATGAGTTCAATCCCTGGTACCAGTAAAATAAATAAATAAATAAATAAATAAATAAATCCCACAGTTTACTGCGTGCTGGAACAGGTCAGGCCGTGCACAAGGCAGAAGCTGTGGTTAAAAGCACAGGCTTGCTGACCATGGTGGTGCCCACTTGTAATCCCAGTACTTGGGAGGCTGAGGCAGGAGGATTGCTGCAAGTTTGAGGCCACCTGGGCTACATCGTGAGTTCAAGGCCCAACTGAACTACATAGTGAGACTCTGTCTCAAAAAACTGGGGGGGGGGGGGAGGGAAGAGCACAGGCCCAGACTCTCCACCCCACCATTTACTATATAATCTTGAGCCAAGAACATAACTTCGTTGAGCATCAGTTGCCTCATCTGTAGAATGGACATTATAAAGTCTCATACCTCATAGGCAACTGCTGTTGCAAACTTTTTATCTATTATAACTCTCAGACAAAAAAGTATACAAGTGTGCAGCTTGATGAATTTTTTCATAAAATAGCATGTTTGTGTAACCAGCAGAGCAATGTTGAAAATTATGTGTACCAGCATCTAGAAGATACTAAGAGCAGCCAGAGCCTGGGGCAGAGGAGATAAGGCTGGCAAGATGGTCTCTTCTGTGTTTTGGGGTCACAGTGCTTAGCATCATACAGGCTTTGTTTTTTATTTAATCTTCATGGTAACCCTGATAGGTAAGTACTAATATTACCTCATTTCAAGTAAGGACATTGAAATTCAGAGAAGTTAAATACACTGGGCAACATCACAAAGTTAGTAAGTGACACAGGTGGAAGAGGAGCCCACGTCCCTTGCTAAAACCTTCCTCCAAAACCCCTTCACACAGGGCTCTCCGTTATGTTTATTGCAAAAGCAGCTAAGAAGATAAAATAGCAGTCAGTGACCAATTTGTAAAGTGCAGTTCACTGAATTCTCAGTTAGATTCTTATCTACTGAATCCTACTATGCGTCAGGATCTGTTCCAGGGATTGACAATACAAGCAAGCAGCTTATACTTTGGTAGGAGAAGCTAGATTTACAGTAAGTGAAGATAGCTGGGCATGGTGGCACACACCTGTAATTTCAGCACTTGGGAGGCTGAGACAGGAGGATTGCTGTGAGTTCAAGGCCAGCCTGGGCTACAAAATGACTTCAAGGCCAGCCTGAACTGCATAGGGAGAACTCGTCTCAAAAGGACTAAATAAATACATAAATGAGGATAAATTTGAATGTAATAAATAGTATTTATTTATTTACTTATTGGTGCCGGGGATCAAACTTGTGACCTCGAGATGTCAGGCAGGCACTTATGCTGCTGAGCTAAATCTCCAGCCCCAATAAATGTTATTTTAAAAAATTCACCCAAAAAGTTTGCATTGTGACACACGCCTATTATTCCACCCTTTGGTAGACTGAGGCAGAAGGATCTCAAACTTGAGCCCAGCCTGAGCAACATAGAGATTTAACAAGACCCTGTCTCAAAAATAAATAAATAAGGATTAGGGATTTAGTTCTGTGTGAATGCTTTGGGTTCAATCCCCAGTACTGAAAAAAATTGAATTTAAGTTGAAATTAAAAAAAAAAAAACTTTAAAGACGGGATATACCTCACCACAAAGGCCCTGAGTTTAAGGCTCAATTGCCAAGGCCAGAGAGCTAGGCACTCTGTAATCTCAGCACTTCGGAGGCTGAGGCAGGAAGATCATTGAAAGTTCAAGACCAGCCTAGGCTAGAAAGTCAACTCAAGACCAGCCTGAATTGCATAGGGAGACCCTGTCTCAAAAGACAAAAAAAAAAAAAAGCAGCTAAAGCCTAAACCAGGCATGGTGGTGCATTCCTGTAATCCTAAAACTCCAGGAAGTTGAGGCTGGAAGATTGCAAATTTGAGTTCAACCTGGGAATTTTAGCAAAAAATAAAATAAAATACATGAGCAGGCCTGAGCCCAATATTTGTCAGATGAAATTCCTAGAAAAGCAAAACAGTCTATTTAGGTAGCGTGATTAGGAGTATTCATTCTGTCCTTTCCAAAAAAATACCTGACATTGCTACAGTATTGTTTTTTAATTGGAAAACAATGACAACAATGCAATATTATTCCAGGAGTCTCATACAAACCAAAGAAGACAGTTCCGGATTGTCATGAAGGCTTTGCACGTGAGATGGACACACGGTTTAGGTGAGCACAGTGTGCAAGCCCTGGCCCTCTCTGGGCACGCGGAGGATCCCACACTGCCAGCCTCACCTGCCAAAAGCCATACTCCCTCATAGACAAGGGCCCTGGTGAGGTCCAGACAGCTATCACATCACAGACATTTAAGAGAATGCTTCTTTTATTGAAAGAAGAAAAAACCAGCAAAGCACCTGCCTGGCAAGTGCAAGGTCCCGAGTTTGATCCCTAGTAACCCCGTCCAAAAATCATTGAACCATTAATAAAAATCAATCAGGATCATGACAAGACAAGCAAACTAGGTGGAAATATTTGCAAAATAGGTATTCAATAAAAGACCCAAGTATATTTTAAGGAGAATAAAGCCCAATAACAGAAAACAGAATAAAGCCAATCAAAACAAAGCAGTGAAAGTGGTACATAACTTCAAAACAGGACAGTAGGTCTCAACAGTGGCTACCATAATAGAGCTTGTTATAGTCCATCTCCTCAGACACAGTAAAATCAGATAAAACAAGGGCTGGGGATTTAGCTCAATGGCATAAGCACCTGCCTTGCAAGCACGTGGTTGTGAGTTCAATCCCTGGTATGAAAAAAAAAATCAAATAAAACGAAACAGAATAAGCTGGGTGACACTCACACCTGTAATCCCAGCACTCAGGATACTGAGGCAAGAGGATCCTTGTGAGTTCGAGACTAGCCTGGGCTACAAAGTGAGCTCAAGGCCAGCGTGAACTGCATAACAAGATCTTGTCTCAAAGAGCAAAAAAACAAACAAACAAAAAAGAAAATAAAAAACTGTGGTAACTATTGATTTGCGACCTTTAGCCATATGAACTAGACTTGTGGCTATATATCAAACTCTAAAATGAACCGTGGCTGGGGGTTTAGCTCAGTAGCACAAGTGCCTGCCTTGCAAGTATGAAATCATGAGTTTGATCCCAGATACAAAAAAAAAAAGAAAAGAAAAAGAAAAAACCCTAAGTAAAATGAACCAGAAAATTGTACACAGTAGGTAAACTCTCAATACGGCAATTTTTTGTTTGTTTGTTTTGTTTTGTTTTTGGTACTAGGGATCAATCTCACAACCTCAAGCTTACCAGGCAGGCACTTGTGCTGGGTGCTGAGCTAAATCCCCAGCTCAACATGGCAATTTTACCCTCAGGGGAATTTTTTTTTTGCACCAGGGATTAAACTCATGATCTCACACTTGCCAGGCAGGCGCTTATGCCACTGAGCTAACTCCCGGTCAGGGAAAATTTTTTAAAAGGGATAGGGAGAAAAATAGAGAAATAGAAGAAAAGGAAGAGATTCAAAGCACGGCTGGAGGACAAAGAAAGATTATGCTAACTTTGGGAAACTGTGAAGAAGACAGGAGGACAGAGGGAAGGAAGAAAGCAAATAAAAACAGAACAGAACAACAGCAAAGAAGCTAGAAACCATGTTCATATTCATATAAAAAAAGCAAACAAGAAAAAGCAAAACTAAGAAAATAAGAAAAAATGTCTACTTCAGGGCATGTCTCTATGTCACTTGTCACTGGTAGATAAAACGGGCATACAGAGTCCAGATCTGAGTTGATTAAACCCAGCGAGTGAGTCGTAGCTTTACTGTGGGTCAGGGGATAATCCCAGCAAGCCTGCATGTTCAGTACCACTGAAGCTCAGCCTGGTTTCTGGCTGTGAGGCTGGAATCCAATTTGCTCGGCCTGTAACGTTCCACGTGCCTCCTGCTGACTTAAACTCGGTTCTGCCTCATCGTGACACTGGGAGCCTCCAGACAGAGCTGGCCCAAAACTGTTCTGAGTCCTGAGCTCAGTGGCCTCTCTCCAAGATGACCACCAGTCCATCTCCCTCTCCCTGGGGGCGTCTGCTGTGTCCACTGCTCTGTCCCACCATGCATTTCTCCATGGAGGCCTCTGAGGTCCCCAGCTGTCACTTGCATGGTGTGTGTGTGTGTAGGGGAAGGGGTTTGAGCCACCTCTCCCACACAGTGAGTCTGGGCTCAGGGCGAAAGCACTGCCTGCCACCTCCTTCTTCTTTGTTGAAGTCTCTCTCTTCACTCTCTCCAAGGGCTTTAATTCTCACTTTGGATCTTTGCTGTGTTCCAGAAACCCATTTCCCTCTTTTTCCTCCTTATATTGTTATATCCCACCATCTGGACACAAATCTCACAGAGGTTCTTTCTTTACTGCTCACGATTCCACTATCTCCCTGGAAGTCAACGAATTCCATTAAAACATGATCAAAAGATCTGTACGGACATCTCATCAAAGAAGATACATACATAGGTGGCAAATAAGCATTTGGAAAGATACAAAGATCTGCACAAGCAAGTTTCTAGCAGCTTTAATCCTAAACGCCAAAATTGAGACATTCTTCAGCAGTCAAACAGATAAGTAAACTGTGATACACCTGAGGAATGGACTATTATTCAGCATTAAAAAGAAATGAGCTGCTGAGCATAGTGGCTCACGCCTGAAATCCCAGCACTCGGGAGGCTGAGGCAGGAGGATCATTGCGAGTTCAAGACCAGCCTGGGCTTCAAGGCCAGCCTGAACTGCACAGTGAGACCCTGTCTCAAAAAGACAAAAAAAAAAAAAGAAAGAAAGAAAGAAAGAAATGAGCTGCCAACCATAAAAAGACATGGAAGAATTTAAAGTATGTATTATTAAAGTGTGAGAGAAGCCAATCTGAAAAGGCTACATAGCATGTTATTCTACAGAAAGGAAAACTATGGAGACCTTAAAAAGATTGGAGGCTTCCAGGGAGAGGAAGGGAAGAAGACTAGGCAGAACATAGAGAACGACACTCTCATGGTGGACACATTTGTGCAAACCCAACGAATATATACCGAGAGAGAGTGCTAATGTACAGATGGGCTTTGGATGATAACGATGTGTCAGTGTAGACTCACCCTTAACCCCCCCTGGGGAGGTGAGTAAGGAGGGAGGCACTGAAGTGTTTAGGCAAGAATTGCCGTGAACCTAAAACTGCTCTTTGAAAAACTGCTGCTGCAGCCCAAATGTCCATCAACCGATGAATGGATAAAGATGTTTTTATGTGCAGTGTATATACCATTGTCACCCCCTGATTGACATGTTTTGAAATTTTGTTGTAGTTTTTCTTTCTTCTTCTTTTTTCTTTTTATCTTTGAAATGAAATGGATTTGGAAAAAAATGTGGCTTTGTATACAATGGAGTCCTACTGTGCCCTAAAGAAGGATAAACTTGAGACATTTCTAGCTAAATGGGTTCAACTTGAGAGTATACTGTTAAGTGAAATAAATCAGGCACATATGTTTAAATACTGCATTATTTCTCTGGCATGAGAAACTGAAAGTGTAAGTGAGGACCAAAATGTATAACAGATGTTGGAAAATGGGAAGAAAATGTTCAAAAGAGGAAAACAAGAGAAGGAGGTGGGGAAAGGAAAGAAGAGACAAGAAAAAAGAACATAAAGAAAAAAACAGAAGCAAAGCTTTTGTAAATAAGCAGGGAAGAGAGGTTGAAGGAAGGGAGAGAAATAGGAAAAAAAGAAATACCAAGATATATCATGAGGGGCTGGGGATTTAGCTCAGCGGCATAAGCACCTGCCTTGCAAGCAGGCGGTCATGAGTTTGATCCCAGTACCAATAAAAAAAAAAAAGACATATCACGTACAGGTACAAATTTTCTTATGATGACTGTGATCATTATGTACATCTAAAATATACCGATAAAATTTTAAAATGAATAACTAAATAAACGCTATGGCAAACAAGGCATGAAGGCACATACCTGTTAACCCAGCCTTGGGAAATTTAGTAACTTAGCAAGACCTTGTCTCAAAATAAAAAAGGGGGCTGGATTTAGCTCAGCAGCATAAGCACCTGCCTGGCAAGCGCATGGTTGTGAGTTCAATCCTCGGTAAATTAAATAAATAAATAAGGGGCTGAGAATACAGCTTAGTGCAGAGGCCCTGGATTCGATCTCCAGTACCCCCTACACACACACATGGGCTTACCCTTTTTGCCTTCAGCATGGTAAGACACAGCACCCTCACCAGGTGCCAGCACCTTGCCCGTGGACTTCCCAGCCTCCAGAACTGTCTCAGGCACAGGGAATTCAAAGACAATTGACCTCTTCCCATAAGAAGCTCACTTTGGAGCCATGTGGGCCAGGAGGAGAACCAAGAAGCTGTGCCCGCCTGTGAACCCGCCAGCACATGGGCCGGGAGACAGGAAGAGCCCCTTCCCTATAAGCAGCTGGCTGATTCCGAGGAACACAGGCTGCAATGATAGCAAGTGAAGTAAAAACACAACTTAGTGTTTGAACTGCTTGATTGCAGGCCTAAAGCCTGTAGTCTGAGCATCTATTTAGAGGATAACAATATACAATATAGCATCTATAGGGGATTTCCTTCTGGGTTATTTGTTTGTTTTTGGTACTGAGCATTGAACTCATAACCTTGTGCTTGCCAGGCAGGCACTTGGGTCACTGAGCTAAATCCCCAGCCTGTTTTGTTTTTGAAAACCAATATTGTTTTCACCATTTTGTTTTGTTCTGTTTTGTTTTATTCCCTTCAAAAGAAATTTTAAAAAAGAAGCTCACTCCCGGTTGTAGGAACGATGATCATGATACAGTCTGAGGGTTCCCTACCATGAGGCGTGGAACAGTTACAACTAAACACCTGGACGCTGTACACAAAACACTGTGTGTAAAACACACATAAACAAACAAAAGACGGCTCTGAGGTGTGCGGATAGAAACGCAGACCACCTAAGAACCCGCCTGGTGGCCCCATGGAGAAGCTCCAGCTGGTAACTCTGGCTGGCTCCAGGCAGCAGCTATATCACCTGCCGGTCACAGGAAGGAATGAGTTCTGAGGTGACTTCACACCTCAGTCACCACGCTGCCGTCTGCTGCCAGGAGGGCTGGAGACAAACCGTTCCCATGAAGCCCTGCCCAGCTGGAGATCTGTGAGCAAAATAGTTTATGGCACAGCAATGGCTTGTGATGCAACCACGGAAACCCAAAACGCCTTCATGGCTGGAAGACGCTGGACAAATTATTTTTTTCTACGGCTTGTGTTTCTTAGTGTAAAATAGAATGATAATAACATATCATGGAAACTATGTAAATTTGAGATAATGCACACAAGGTGTGCTCCTTGTGGTAGTCATCAATGCTATTTACTATTAAAAATGAATAAATAGGGATGGGGCTATAGCTCAGTGGCACAGCACCTGTCTGGCAAGCACAAGGTCCTGAATTCAATTCCTGGTACCAAAATAATATTAATAATAATGAATAAATAAAGGTTATTAATTTTTAAAAATTAACAAGCAGCTAGATGCAAAGGCACATGCCTATAATCCCAGCTATTCAAGAGGCTGAGACAGAAGGATCAAAAGTTTGAGAGAGGCCTGGGCAATTTAGCAACACTTTGTCTCAAAATTTTTAAAAGAGCTGGGCTGAAAGTCAGCGGTAGAGCGATTGCCTACCGTACACGAGCCCTGGGTGCAAGCCCTAGCACCTCCAAACCGAAGTAGCATCAGTCTAGTATTGACCATCTTGTGTGGAGGGGTGGGAGATTCCTGGGAGTTTTTGCTCCTCGAGTCGAGTCCTGCCACCACTCGTGTGGGCACAGGAGGTGGCCACAAGCACCCATATTTACCAGACACCGATTACACACGAATTCCTGAGCTTTGTATACATGACTTCATTTGCTCTTTCAATAGCCAAGGAAACCCTTCATATTACATGAGAGTGTTCATAGCCATTGTTCTCAGAGAAACTGAGGCCGGCAGGTACAGGTGGTGACTGACTATAAGCTGAGCTTGAAGCCATCAAGGCAGATTGGGGCTCTCTGAGCCCCTCCTAACTCAGCCAGGCCATAATTCCACGTGTGGATTTGGGTGTTCTGGCTGCCCTGCCCTCTTGGGCAATGGATCCCTGGAAGTACAGAGCTGTGCTCTTCAGAAATGAAGAAGAGCCTGCCCCAGCCTGACTCAATACAGGAATTTCACACCTCCCAGCCCTGGACTGCAGGTGAAGTGTGTGTGGCAAGAAGGAACCAAGCACTCCCTGCTAGGCCAGCGAGGATTACTACCTCCCCTCCCAGAGGAAGGCCAGCAGCTCCTCCTCCTGCCCAGCCACCTGCTCAGCCCACCCTCCTCTCTCCAGTGCAGGTCTCTGGAACGCTGGCACTGGTTGGGGCTGCTCAGAACAAAACCCAAATTCTTTGCTGATAAGAAGAGTGTCTCCTCATCCTCAGCCAAGACATGTGAGCACCATCAGCCCATCACGCAGGGCCTCTGTCCCCACAGAGATTGAAGGTGGCAGGATGATAGTCACCATAGCTACTCCGTTTTGAGTGCTTTAGGGTTCCAGGCTGCAAACCAAATGCATCCCTCATGCTGCTGTGGCCAACTCCACAGCTCCCCTTCAGGTATTGTTAGCATCTCCAATTCTTATTTGGATAGACTGAGCCTTCTCAGAGGTCAAGCAGCTTGCCCCGGCCAAGCAAGTGAGTGACTCCTATCTGCCAGCAGCAACAAGCCCTAGTCCTCTCCCCTCCTGTGAGCCGTGAAAGCCAAGGAAAGGTGTCCTGCTTAGGCACTGCACAGTACACACCATGGCCCGGTTCCCCAACTTCCAGGAACCAAGTGGGCAGAGACAGGCGGGGTGGAGTGAGGGGGCATTCCTGGAAGCCACTTTTCCCAGGGGTGGACAGCAGGACGTGGCCTGTTGGCTCAGGCCTGTGACAGCCACAGGGGGTAGAGACAGGGCCAGCCTGGGAGAGGGGCCCTGCCCGGGCTTCTGGAGTGAGAGATCAGGTGACAGGATCAGTCCCTGCCCAGGAAAAGCAGCTTTTCTCAAAGCAGCAGGGACAGAGCCCTTACACCTCTGTGCCCCTCTCCCTTCCAGGTCTGAGTGTCCATCCCTCACCTCCTTTGAGGTGCTGCACTGATCCAGTCTCCTAGGAGGCACTGGCCTGGCAGTCATTAGGGCCCCAGGCTTTCCACACTGGCCTTCAGAGGCAGTGCAACATAGCTAAGCCCACAGCCCCCAGCACCTCACTGCTGCCAGGCCACCTTTTCCAGGTCAGCGACTTAGTACTGTGGACTGGTGCAGATTCTTTAACCTCTCCGGGCCTCAGTTTCCCCATCTCTAAGTTGAGGAGCATCAACATAAAAGAATGCTAAAAAAATAATTAAACTTTGTTTATTTGTTTGGTACTGGGGACTGAACAAATGACCTGGTGCTTGCCAGGCAAGTGCTTACACCACTGAGCTACATCCCGGGCCCTAAATGGTTCATTCTAAGCCAAATATGAGTGCCCCTGACCCCAAGGACATGGATTCAAATTACCTTAAAAAACATTTTCCATACTGGAAGAGGCTATGTGTGCCTTTAGAGTAACAAATTTAAATCACAAATAACTGTTTTTACAAAATACATAGGTGGGGAGCATCAGGCAGGCAGGAAATCTCTTCTGTAGGATTCGGGTGCTGTTGCATTTTTTTACCTTAATGTTATTGTATTCTTGTTTTAGATGTAGGGAGAGGAGACAGGGCCAGTTAAGTTTAACACATTCTGAGCCAGATGTGGGTACACACGCATAATTCCAGCACTCAGCAGGCTGAGGCAGGAGGACCACGTTGAGTTCATGCCCATAGCACAATCCTGTTTTTAAAAAAACAAAAACAGCTAAGCTACTGAATTTAGTTATTAAATCTGCAAGTCTTTTGGTGGAGTTTTTGGGGTCTTCTATGCACAGCATCGTATTATCTGCAAATAATGATAATTTAACTTCCTTTCTATCCGTATTCCATCTATTCCTTTCTCTTGTCCAACTGTTCTGGTTAATGTTCCATAGCTATAGTGCATGAGAGTGGTAATAGTGGACATCCTTGCCTTGTTCCTGATTTTAGAGCGAAAGCTTTCATTTTCTGTCTAATATGATGTTAGTTGTTTGCCATAAATGGCTTCTATCATATTGAGATAAATACTATTCCAAATTTCTGTGGAGTTATTTTTTGTTTTCATTTTTCTTTTTGCAAATAAGTAGCAATTATTTGAAAATTTGGGCACAGAACAATAGAGAATCAAGAAGACTTTTGCAAAGTACTTTTCCTTAGGATAAGAAGACATCATGTTAAGTGAAATCAGTCCCATACACAAGCTCAAATGTCTTGGGTTATAGGAGAAACACAAATACAGATCAAAATAGAAGAGAGATAACTAGGAAACACAGCGAAGTTCAGATACTTTCCCAAACTACAAATTCTATTGCTTTAAAAGTGTTTCAATGTATGTAATAAAAGCCAGGGATTAGCTCAGCAGCAAAGTGCCTGCTTGGCAAGGGCAAGGTCCTCAGTTTGACCCCGGTACCAAAAAACAAAAATGTTGATAGTTTATCTTAGTTCATGGAAGACAAAGACTTTTGTTATATTTCTTTTCTGCAAGAACCTTCTTGGTTTATATCTTGTACTCTGAGTAATACTTTGAAGATAATGATATTCAATATAATAAAAAAAAGAATGAAAATGAAAATAATAAACTAGCCTTAGCTTACTGTAAATTTTAACTTTATAAACTATTTAATATAAAAAATGAAAAAGAGGAAATCTAACTGGGCACAGTAGCACATACTTGTAATCCCAGCACTCGGGAAACTGAGGCAGAAGGGTCACTGCAAGTTTAAGGCCATCCTGGGCTACACAGTGAGACTCTATCTCAAAAATAAAATAAAATTAAATGAAATTAAAATTAAAAAGTCTGATAGATTCAACACACTTGTAAGCGGAAAAATCACTGCTCAGTAAGAGACACAGATATTGAAACACAATAAAATTCCCAAATGTGGTAGAATAACTTGAAAGTGAGGGTCAAGTTTATAAAGAAGCTTATTCACCAAATGAAATTAATTTAATAAACACCATAATAATGACACAAGTTGTGGATTTTAAGTGTGTTAGACACTTTACACACTTTATTACCACATTTATTCCCTTCAGCAATCTCCGGAAATAGAAATTATCACTCTTTTTACTAATAAGGAAATAGTCCCAAGATGGGATGTGATTTTTTAAGACTTTTTTGTTTGTTTGTTTTTTTCCTTTTTACCAGTACCAGGGATCGAACTCATGACTGCCTGCTTGCAAGGCAGGCATTTATGCCGCTGAGCTAAATCCCCAGCCCCCGACTTTCTAAGCTTATACAGCACAAAAGAGCGGAGTAGCAATACAAATCCAACTTTATTTCCAAAGATCAAGTTAACTTGCTCTCCAAACTCTGCTAGCCGTGTGCCCACCTCTCCAGGTAACCCCACCAGCCACTCCTGTGCGCCCCCCAGGTACGGCTCACCCTTCCGGAAGCTCAGCACGCAGGGCTCCATCTTCACCCAGAACGCTCCTCCTCCACCTCCCGTCATCCTGTCCTCTTCCTCTGGGTGACGTCCCCAGATACCATCTTCTCATTCTTGCTCCTTTGCTTTTTTCTTCTCCACCTCTTCTTCTTGTCTTCTCTTTTCCGTTTCTTCCTACAACTCTCTCCATTGCTTCCCCACCTCCTCCCTTACTCCTCAGGTTTTCCTGTCGACCTCTTCAGTGACCTCTTCATCCTTTGTGAGAAGGAAGCTGTTGAAGATGCTGTCAGATTTTACCAGCCGCAGGTCAACGTCGAGAACACCGGTGTTATGATACTGGCAAAGAGTGGGACCCGGCTTACATTCGGGGTTGTCTGTTTCTGGATGAATCCGCTCCTGTTGGGCTTCCCAGTGACTTGAGGTCTTCACTGTCCCGAGTACTTCGGGTTTGGAATCAGGGGTCCTTCCAACTCTCCATCCATCGCCTCGTTCTGATCCTCCAGCTTCTTGGCATCTGGTCTCGGATGAACTCAAAGTCCTCCTAGTCCCCAAATGACATGTGTGCGGCCTGCGGTGAAAGGGGGTCCCACGTGCAGCCAGGGGAGCTGGCTGTGGACCCCTACCATCCTCCTGCACATCCGTATGCGGGCCCAGGTGAGGACTTTGCAAAGGCACACTGCAGTGAGGGCCTCTCTGGCCCGGAAGGGTTTTTATCATGAATCAGTGTTCACTCTGTCAATCCCTTTTTCTGTATTTACTGAGATGATCATATGGCTTTGGTCCTTGGCTTTGTTGATACAGTGTATTATGTTTATTATTTGTGTGTGTTGAACCATTCCTACATCCCTGTGACGAATCCTACTTGGTCATGTTGAATAATCTTGACGATTTGTTACATTGTTTGCCAGAATCTTGTTACAGATTTTTGCATCTGTGTTGATTAGGGAACCAGACCTTTAGCTCCCTTTTTTGGTTAGATCTTTCTCTGGTTTTGGTATCAGGGTGATACTTGCTTCCAGGAATAAATTTAGTAGTAGTGCTTCCATCTCACTCCAGGAAGAATGGCTAATATCAAGAAATCAACCAATAACAAATGTTGGCAGGGATGTGGGTTAAAAGGAACAGTTCTGTTGGTGAGGATGCAGACTGGCGCAACACTGGAAACCAGTGTGGAGAGTCCTCAAAACATTAAAACTAGAGGTTCCATTTGACCCAGCCATTAAAAGCATCATGCCACAGCAATATATGTACACCCATATTTTAGAGGCACAATTTATAACAGCTAAATATTGGAAAAAGCCCAAATATCCCTCACCTGATGAATGAAGATATGGGTTTTTAAAAATACAATGGAGTACTACTCAGCCACCAAGAAGGATAAGCTTGAGCCATTTCTAGCTCAATGGAGTCACCTTAAGGTCATACTTTTTTTTTGTCTTTTTGGGACAGAGTCTCACTATGCAGTTCACTTTGTAGCCCAGGCTGGTCTTGAACTCACAATGATCCTCCTGCCTCAGCCTCCAGAGTGTTGAGATTACAGGTGTGAGCCACCACGTCCAGCTGAGGTCATACTTTTAAGTGAAGAAAATCAGAAACACATGTTTAAATACCATTTGTTTCTCTAATGCGAGAAAACGTAAGTTAAATAAGGACTAATGATGAATGTGATCATTATGTATATCTATAATGTACCAATAAAATTTAAAAATGCAAAAAAAAAAAAAAAGAAAGGAAAGATTAACCCTGAAAAAAACCATAAAAACAAAACATCCTGAGTACTAGTAGTCAGAAGAACATTAGGACAAATAAAATGATTAAAAATACAATGGTTAGGGGCTGGGGATTTAGCTCAGCGGCATAAGCGCCTGCCTTGCAAGCAGGCAGTCGTGAGTTCGATCCTTGTTATCGATAAAAATGAAAAAGACAAAAAAAAAGATAATGGTTGTTTCTTTCAAAGGACTCACAGTAGCTGAAAATAACATTGGCTCTTTACCTACAACATTCCATCTCTCCATAATCAAAAATTAACTTATTTATTTATCTGTTAGACAGGATTTCACTGTTCCAAACTCAGTGCACAGCAAGCAGCAGAGCAGACAAAGCCTTTCTCTCCTCACAGTGGCATCTAATTCGCCAGGTGAGAGCACACAGACAGGGCGTGGGAAGCTCAGTGAAGCTTTGTGTGCATGGTCACCCATGTTAGTGCCACCAAGATCAAAGCACAGAACATGTATATTACTCTAAAAGGTTTCCTCACCTCAAAAATCCCTTCTTTCGGGAACCTTCCGGCCTTTGATCCCCATTACCTGAATTTACCTGAATGAGCTTATCTTATTTTTTAACCTCAGTGCTTTTAGGACAAGTTACAGGTTTTCAACACTGGGAGAGGGGGACACAGAAGCCAATCTGCTCCTTTGAGAAGGTCTCCTTTGCTGGTTGTGGCGGCACACACCTGTAAGCTCAGCACTCAGGAAGCTGAGATCCGGCCTACTTAGCAAGACCCTCCTAAATAAATAAATAAGCCAGGTGAGGTAGTGCTACCTGCTTATAATCCCACATTGGGAAATTGAGGCAGGAAGATAAGTTTGACCCCAACCTGGGTAATTTAGAAATTCAGCAAGATGTCTCAAAACAATGGGGGTTATATGTAGATGGTGATGCTAGGGATATAGCTTAAGAAAAAGTCTGTGGATTCAGTCCATCAGGATATATGGCTTATTTTTAATGGCTGAAGAGTACTTCAGCCTGCCCCACATCACGGTGCCTTCAGGAGGCTGAGGCAGGAGGATTGCTGAGAGTTTGAGGCCAGCCTGGGCTACATAGTGAGTTCAAGGCCAGCCTAAACTGCAAAGTAAGACCCTATCTCAAAAAAAAAAAAAAAAAAAGGTGAAAAAAAAGAATATTTCAACCTCTAGATATTCAATCATTCTTCAGTATCCATGGGGGATTAGTTCTAAAACCCCTGAGGTTACAAAAATCTACCAAGTCCCTTATGCAAAATGTCATAGTGCTGCATGTAACCTACATACATCCCCTTGTACACTTTAAACCATCTCTAGATTACTTTAAATACTTAATACAGGCCAAATGTGGTGACACACACACCTGTATCCCTAACCCTCAGGAGACTGAGACAGAGGGATCACCAAGGGTTCAAGGTTGGCCTGAACTATGCAGTGAGAGTCTGTCTTAAGAAACAAAAACGAAAGCAAAAACAAAAAATCCTACCACACTGTAAATGCTACACATTGTTTAGGAGACAGTGACGAGAAAAAAGTCTTTTCCTGTGCAGCAGAGATGCCACCATTGCAGGCCTAACTACACACACGTCCTCCAGGTGAGGCATGCATGCTCCAGGAGCGAGTCTGCTGGAGACCAGGGTCTGAGAAGCGGTGGGAGCCACAGCATCTCTTCCATTCAGGCTCAGCAGTGCTGGGAGAGCAGCAAATTCAAGTCTTTCTCTTTGGAACTTCTTCCATCTGTGGTTGGTCAAATCCACCGATGTGGAACCGCCAGATACGGAAAGCTGACTGCATTGTTGGTAAATATTTTGCTTTTAATTTCTCATTATTATCAATAAACTGCACTGAATGTCATGTTTTATTTCATTAAGACTAAACACTCAGGGGGCTGGGGATTTAGCTCAGCAGCACAAGCACCTTCCTTGCAAGCAGGCGGTCATGAGTTCGATCCCTGGTACCAATAAAAATGAAAAAAACAAACAAACAAAAAAGACTAAACACTCAGAAGTGGGACTGTTTGGTAAAATGATGCTTGCATAGTTGAGTCTATAATACCAGCACTCTGGGAGGCTGAGGCAGGAGGATCACAAATTTGAGCCCAGCCTGAGCAATTCAATGACGTAGCAAAACCCTGTCTCAAAATAAATAAATAAAAAAGGATGGGGTAAACAGCTCAGTGCAAAGGTCCTGCATTCAATCTGAAAAAAAAGTCCTGAGAAACACTGACAGATTGCTTTCCAAAAAGGTTATTTGGCATCAGCAGTGACTGGATGTGCCAGACCAGTGGGCAGAGCAAGCTGCATAACCAGGGTCCCTCTCAACTCAGTCACCCCCCACCCCCTCCTGGCTCTTCTCGTGGTGAAGTCAGCCTAGCAGGGAACCCGGGACCGAGTCGCAGCATCAGGCCTCTGCCTCTTTGCAGCAGACTAAGAATGGGCTCGCTTTTCATCAATGGATCAACAGCGACCACAAGACAGAGTCTGATTAGATCCCCAAGCAGGTGTCAGCCTCAGGACACACAGAAAACAAGGACGCTCGTGTCAGAAGACTGGCGTGGTGTTAGACGGAGCAGCAGAAGCCAAACCATCATTGGGACGTTTCCTGATGTCTTAGTCTGGGTTCCCCAAAAGCAGGAATTGTGAGGTCTAAATGAACGAAGCCTCGTAAAAACCCAAAAAGGACGGGGTTTGGGAGCTTCTAGCCGGTCAAACAGATGAAGGCAGAGTGTCTGGAAGGGGATCGATAGACACACAACAGCTGATGGATGGATGGGTGGGTAGATGGGTGGATGGGTAACCGTGGGAGGTGCCATATGATGGGATATTATTCAGCCTTTAGAAGGAAGGAAATTCCGATCTCACGCAGCAGCATGGATGCACCTTGAAGACGTCGTGCTAAGCGAAAAAATCCAGTCTGAAAAGGAAACGCACCATGCGAGCTCGCTAGCAAGGTCAGGTTCGCTGGCAAAGCAGAAGGAGCGCGTTCCCAGCGTCAGGGGCGAGGGAGGCCGTGCAGTTAGTGTTTAATGGGCACAAAGTTTCGCTTTGAAATGATGAGACGATCCGATGGTGGTGATAGTGGCACAACGAGAATGTAAGTGTGTTTGTGCTCCTCCTGATAACATCTCGCCTAAACGCAGAGAACATACTTAATGCCGCCAAACTCTTGAATGATTACATGCACTCTTAACAATGACTACGCTGGTAAATTTAGTTATCTGTATTCACATCACAGGCTGGCAAAGTGCTTGGCTACCATACCTGAGTTCCATCCCCAGCATAGCAAGAAAGAAAATTTTTTTGACACACTAGGACCTTGCACTGAGCTACACTCCCCAACCCTTTTTGGGGGGCAGGGAGGGTATCAGAAATCGAACTCAGGACCTTGCACTTGCCAGGCAGGCGCTATGCCACTGATCTCTATGCCTATTTTATTTTTTGGTTTTTTTTTTTTTTTTTTTTTTTGTCTTTTTTATCGGTACCAGGGATCGAACTCACGACTGCCTGCTTGCAAGGCAGGTGCTTATGCCGCTGAGCTAAATCCCCAGCCCCTATTTTTTGGTTTTTGAGACAGGATGTCACTGTGTAGTTCAGCTTGACCTCAAACTCACAGCAGTCTTCCTGCCTCGACCTCCCAAATGGTGGGATCACAGGCATGCACCTGGTACATCACAGGCCTTTAACATTTTTATTTTATTTTACATTTTGGCATTTTATTAGTATATGTTTGACCTACATAATAATGATTGATCTGATATACAATTTATATCGCATCTCAAAAAATAAAATGTATAAACAATAAAACCTTTATTGACTCCTTATTTCTATCCCTCTCCTCCCCGTCTCGAATCCCCAAGTCCCCGTCACGTAACCTCCCTCTGGCACTATGGCCATGAATGGGTCTGTCAGCCTTACTGGAGGAGGCCCTGCGGCCACGGATCTGCTCGATCACCACATTCTCCCCAGCATCAGTATCAGGCTCCATTTATCGCATGTAATAGATATTCATTAAATAACTGTGGATCTAATGCAGAAAGGGCCAGACACTAGTGGCTCCTAGGAGGGGCCTAGAGAGTGGCATTTGTTAGCACCCCGCCCTGACTATTGGAGCTAAACCCGTCAGCAGGCCGCATGTTCCAGGGCCCTGGGAGCAGAGCTGGGTCACAGAAGGACCAGCTGCCCCCTCACCAGCCAATCAGCTCCAACAGTGCTCATCCTAGGACTGCTGTTTAAGGGACAGAAGCTGATTTCCTTTTCTCTGCTTTCTTTGGAGGACGAGAAATGGCAAGACAGGGCCTCACTATGTAATTTAGGCTGACTTCGAACTCACAGTGAAGGTCAGGGTTTTAGCTCAGTGGCACAAGTGCCTGCCTGGCAAGCGCAAGGTCATGAGTTCAATCCCTGGTACCAAACTCACAGTGATTTATGGGGCATGGTGGCTCACACCTATAATTCCACCACTTGGGAGGCAGAGGCAGGAGGATGGCTGCAAGTTCAAGGTCAGCCTGGGCTACATAGTGAGTTTAAGTCCAGCCTGGACTACATAGGTGTCTCCAAGAATGACAACAATAACAACAACAAAAAAACCCCCACAAACTCATGGTGATCCTCCTGCTTCAGGCTCAAGAGTATGAGATTATGGGCATACTCCACCACACCTGGCTTTTCTTCCTCCTGTTGAATGTGAATTTGAAAGGCTGAATCCCTAGGAACACCAGGATCAACAGGAAAGCCAGCTGCTATGGTTTTTCAGTTTGTACTCCTCACCCCCAACTTCATCCCTCCTCCTAAATAGTATTAAGAGATGAAAAAGTTAATCTGATTATGGTGCTTAGAAATTGAGCCTTTGGAAAGTGATTAAGATTAGATAAACTCTAATCCCAGGGTGGTCCCCTCCCCTCCCCGTAATTGAAGCCCAAGGCTTTAACAGAAGAGAGATAGAGACCAGACATACAGAGATACATGTGCACCCCACCAAGAAGTGAGACAGCTCAGGGGATCTCCCCAGAACCTGTGCCTTGACACTCTACCTCCAAAGCTGTATGTCAAAAAAAAAAAAAGTCTTTTCTTTATAAAGTAGCCTCCTTCAGGTATTTCACTATAGTAATGAAAAGCTAGTATGCAGTTTTAGGATGAGGTCAAAGGGGGAAGGAAGAAAAGGGAAGGGGGTGGAAAAGAATTGAGATGCATTGTGCCAAGCATGGTGGTGCACATCTGTAATCTCAGCACTCAGGAAGCTGAGACAGGAAGATCGCTGTGAGTTCAAGGCCAGCCTGTCTAAAAAAAAAAAGAAAGAAAATTGAGTTCTTGTACCAACTCCCCAGAATGAATGTAATTGTTATGTGCTGCAACCATGTACTGTAAAAAAGAATTTTAAAAAAGGATGAGCTCAACATCCTGAGAAGCAGAACAGAGGAAAGAGTCGTTGGTGACATGAGATGCTGAATCAAATCCTTCCTGAAGCTAACCCTCCCGTCTCCACTCTTCTCAGGCATGTGTATCAATTACTTCTTTCAAATCCATTGGAGCTGAATTTCTACCCTTGCAACAGAAGAATCCAGAGAGAACAGACAGGCCACAGGAAGTCCAAGTACCTCAGGACTTGATAGGAGCTGAGTGAATCCTCGGGATGGGATGTCCCTGGGACCTTTCCCTAAGCCCTCAACCCCTCGTCACCAGTTTTCAGACAGAGACAAGGAGGGCAGGAGACGTCATATGGGTTATAGATGCCAGTTGCTCCAGCTGTCTCCAAGGAGGTAACCAGGACCCACGCAAAGCTAACATTACACCTGCCACATGGCTTCTCATCACTTGTCAGGAAGCTGCAGCAGAAATAATACTAGGCAGATGGGGAGACGGGCCCAGAGCAGGAGGCAGGCTGGCTCAGGGTCACACAGCAAGTCAGTGCTAGGGCTGGTGCTCTCTCAAAAGGGGTCTCATACTGCAGAGATGAGGCTGGGACTGGAGTCTGACTTAGAAAAGAGAGAAAAAGGGCCACTGATGAGTATTCTCTCTACTGTAGCAGCTAGGAGGTGTTCTCTAAGCACTCTGTAGAAGCTAGATGTGGTGGCACACGCCTGCAATCCCAGCACTTGGAAGGCTGAGGCCAGAGAATCCTGCGAATTTGAAGCCAGCCTTAGCTACATAGTGAGTTCACTGTCAGTTTGAATTGCATATTGAGACTCAGTCTTTTTTTTTTTTTTTTTTTTTTGTCTTTTTCCTTTTTATCGGTACCAGGGATCAAACTCACGACTGCCTGCTTGCAAGGTAGGCGCTTATGCTGCTGAGTTAAATCCCCAGCCCAAGACTCAATCTTAAAAACAAAAGCACTCAGTGGAAGGCTGATGGGTCATCCTTCAAAATCTCATTGCAGCATTTTTATAGCCCCTTGAGACTGGCTCAGGGGTACTAAGCTCCTAACAAAGCATCAGCAATGCCTCCAGGATTCCTACAGAGCAGTTAGCTATTTGCTAGGAAGAGGAACTGGATGTGTTTGGGGCCCCTGAAATGCCCATTCAATTTTCATTTCTTTTAAAAAATTTTTTATTGTACCAGAAATCAAACTCAGGACCTTGTGCTTTCTAGGCAGGTGCTAAGCTATAGCCCCGGCTTGCCCACTTCATTTAGCTATGAACCTAAAATTCTCTAAAATTAAAGCCTTTAAAAACATATCATATAAGCCAGGCATGGTGATACATGCCTGTAATCCCAGATACTTGGGAGGCTGAAGCAGTAGGATTACAAATTTAAGGCCAACCCGGAAATTTAGTGACATCTTGCTTCAAAACAAAATAAAGGCTGAGGATTTAGCTCAGCGGTATAAGCACTTGCCTGGCAAGCTCGAGGTCATGAGTTCAATCCCTGATACCAAAAAATATAAAATTAAATTAAATTAAAAATAAAGAGGCCTGGGTTCTAGGTATGATGGCACCTGCCAGTAATTCCAGCACTCTAGGAGACTGTGGAAGGAGGATCACAAGTGCAAGCCCTACCTGGATGACTTAGTGACTTAGTAAGTCCTCCTGTCTCATGAAAGGACTGGGGATGCAGTTCAGTGTGAAGGCCCTGGGTTCAATTTCCAGCACCACAAAACAAGGGGAAGACAAAAAGTCCTAGCAGGGTATAGTTCCCTGCTAGAGCACTTACCTAGCATGGATTTGGGGATAGTGATTATATAAGAACTGCAACTTCCACTCAATTTTGTCCAACTCGCAGTAGAGAAAGCAAAATCAAACCTAAACTTCCATCATGACAGGAATTCAGTCCCAGTTTTGACATTTCCTAGCAGTGTGACTGTTTTTTTTATTTAATTTTTGTTTTGCTGTTTTTTTGTTTTGTTTTGTTTTGTTTTTGAGGCAGTCTCACTATGTAGTTCAGGCTGGCCCTGAACTGGAAATCTTCTTGCCTCTGTCTCCCAAATGCTGGGATTACAGCTGTGCACCACCACGCCTGGCAGCAATGTGACTTTGGACAAATCCTCTTTACTCCTAGACTATGGGTTTCCTCAGTTCCAAAAGGAAGCATCGATAAGCCTCACAGGGTAACTGTAGCTGAACTGAGATCATATCTAGACAGCACTTTGCCCATACCTGGCACAGTAAGTAATGTAAATACTACCTGTTTCCTAATTTGTATCACCTAGTTATACTTATCACCTACAGTTTGTAGACGAACTTGCTTCCTGATAACCTGCTTCCTGTGGTTTTATACTAACTACAAGCATCTCCATTTGCCCTACATGACCTCTTTATTCAAGTAGGAAAAGTAAGGTCCAAAAATACAACAAATTATGGGGTTTAAATCCAGGAGCCTTAGCTTCACATGTAAATTATTATGAACCTGAGCCTCCATTTCTTTAACTATAAAATGATGTTCTATTATTCCCTGTGTAATTTTCTTACAAGATAATGAGTCTGACCCTGGACATGTCTGGCATTTCGGTCTGGGAATTCAAGTCCACTTTAGATAGAAGCTGCATTAATGGAACTCGCCACAGGGAGGCAGGATTGCTACATCCAAGTACTTTTTTTTTTTTTTTTCCTTTCTTAATACCATAATTTCTTTCTCTACCATAATTTCTCACCTTTCTCTCTCCTGTGCTGAGGATTCAATCCAAGGCCTTTGCATTGAGTTACACACTCAGATTTTTGTTTATTTGGAGACAAGGTCTCATTAAGTTGTCAAGGCTGTGCTTGAATTTGAGATCCTCCTGCCTTAGTCTCCCAGAATACTAGGATTACAGTTCTGTGCCACTATGCCCAGCTGACTATTTATTTTGAAAAAATTCAAACATACAAGACAGTAAAATGGCATAATGGAGCATGTGCCTGTCACTAAGCTTCAACAACTATGAACACTTTGCCAATCTTCCTGTTTGTTGTGCTGTTTTTGGAGTATTTTAAAATATCTCCAACGTCATTTCATTCAAAGTAAGTTGGCATGCTACCTCAGCTTAAAAAAACAAAAAACAAAAAACAAAAAACTTTACTTTCTTTCTTTCTTTCTTTTTTTTTTTTTTTTTTTTTTTTTTTTTTTTTGGTACTGGGGATTGAACTCAAAACTCAAAACTTGCCAGGTAGGCCCTTATGCCACTGATTTAACCCCCAGCCCAAAAAACCTTTACTTTCACACTCATGATTGCATCTAAACAGAAAAAATAATACCTGACCGACCTGTTCATATTCGAATTTCCCTTGCCAAAGATGTTTTTTTGACTGCTGGCTCGTATGAATCAGTCTCCAAATGACTGTATTGCATTTGGTAAGTCTCATGAGCTTTATTTCTTTTCTCGTGAGCTTTATGATTCTCTTTTCAACTTCTGTGCAGTGAATGTGTTGAAGAAACCAGGATATCTGTCTGCAGGCTATGCTACATTTTGAGTTTGGATGATTGCGATTTTGCCTGTCCCCCATAGTTAGATCTTGGTTTGGTTAGGTTTCCACTCTTGTTTTTCAGTTGTTGGTTTTGGTGTTTGTTAGTTTTTTGGTTAGTTTGTTTTTGAGATAGGGTGTTGCTACATAGTACAGTCTGGCATTGAACTGTTTGCATAGCCCAGGTTGGTTTTAAACTTGTAGCCATCCTCCTGCCTCAGCCTCTTGAGTGATGGGATCACAGGCATGTGCCACCCAGTTCACTGGGGTTTGAAAAACTGTGCTGTTGGAGTTTTGTTGTTTTGGGGTTTTTTTGTTTGTTTGGTTGGTTGGTTTTGGCTTTTTGAGACAGGGACTTACTATGCAACTCGGGCTGGCCTTGAACTCACTATGTAGTCAAGGCTGTCCTGGAACTATTGGGTATCTTCCTGCCTCAGCTTTTAGAGTGCTGGTATTATAAGCAAACACTACCATGCCCGGCTAAAACTGCGCTTTTGTAAGCCTATTATTTCTTCTACATTTATTAGCTGAAATTCTTCCATAGAAAATTCTAAAGACCAGAAAAATGTTTAATTTCCTTTATGCTAGTGGTAATGAGGTTTTTCCTTAAGTGTAACTATGAATTAAGTGAATTTCTACAAATTTTATGTGTTGTAATCTTAAGTAGCAATTATTTCTCTCTTATACTCAAATTGTTCCATCGCTGGCCAGTGAGGCCCCTTTGGATTGGTTCCTTGTCATTTTTACATGACCCCACTGGCCTCTGATAGTTTCCTGGCTTCCAGGTGCAAAATGACCTGAGCTCATCTTTCCTGCTCCAGTCTGGAATCAACCATTAGATCAACCTTGGTTTTTTTAAAAAAAATTTTAAACTTGAAAATGCTATGTAACAATCAAATCTGTGCATAGGGTTGCTCATTACTACTAAGTAGGTCATCATTTCTAGGCCCCTTCAGCAGAGAACTAGAAAATATACCTTTTAGGAGAAAAACCAGCTGGGGATTTAGCTTAATGGCAAAGTGCTTACCTAGCAAGCACAATGTCACGGGTTCAATCCCCCGTACCAAAAAAATAAAAATAAAAGAGAAAAACCAGAGAGAGAGAGAGAGAGAGTAAGTGCCATGGTAGCACATGCCTGTAATCTCAGCACTTTGGAGGCTGAGGCAGGAAGATTATTCAGAGTTTGAGGTCAACGTGGACTATAGAGTTTAAGGCCAGCCTGAACTGCATAGTGAAACCTTGTCTCAAAAGATAATAAAAAATTTTTCAAAAAGAGAAAAATCCATTCTTTATACCATTATTTGATTCAGATGTTTATTCTTTTATGCTTGTAAGTTTTCCCTGTATAATGAAGTTTATGTTTCTAATGCCAATAACATAATTGTTTAATCTGCTTTATCTTACATCATAGTTTCAAAAAGCAATATTACTCCTAAAAATAAGACAATATACAATTTTATATGGAGGGGTTTTTGTTTTTGAGGCAGGGTCTCATTGTGCAGTCTAGGCTGGCTTCGTACTCACTAGGTAGCCCAGACTGGTCTCCTCCTGCCCCAATCTCCCAAGTGCGGGGATTATAGGCATGCACCACCATGCCCTGCAACAACTGTATTTCTCTGTACTTTTAGGTGTCCTTGTATTATATCTCATTGTAGAAGTGGTCAAAATACTTCTAAAGGCTAGGTGAGGTGGTGCAAGTCTGTAATCCCAGCACTCAAGAGGCTGAGGCAGGGGGATCAGTGAGAGTTCAAGGCCAGCATGGGCTAAAAATGAGTTTACAACCAGCCTAAACTGCATATCCGAACCCTGTTCAAAAAGACAAAAACATTTTCTAAAGCTACTTAATTTTCTGTGTGCTTATGCCATCAGTCTGACACAGTTTGTTAGCTTCCATTTCACTTTTATTTTTTTTTTTAACTTTTTATCAGTACCAGGGATCGAACTCGCGACCGCCTGCTTGCAAGGCAGGTGCTTATGCCGCTGAGCTAAATGCCCAACCCCAACTTTTATATTCTTTTAATAGAAGTATTTTACAAATACGCAAAATGTTTACAAGTTTTCAAAGAGCAACTATATAAGGTTCTTACACAGAAGTCTCATTTCCAGTGTATGCTGTCCTCAGACACAGGCAAACATTTTTAAAGTTTGGCATATGTCCTTTCATTGTTTATCTTTTAAATATAAGTAATTAATGCATGGGTATAGCTCTCCATTACACACATAGAAGATAGCATACTATAAATACCAGTATGCAGCCTATTTCGCCACCAAAAAGTGTATGCATCAGGAAAATTTTTTACAAATATTTTAGTACTGAGTGTGGTGGTACACACCTGTAATCCCAGCACTTAGGAGACTGAGGCAGAAGGGTGGCCACAAGTTTAAGGCCAGCCTGAACTACTCTATAGTGAGTTCAAGGACAGCCTGAACTACATAACAGAAGATCCTGTCTCAAAAATAAATTTAGTACCAAATTTATTTACTTTTAGTATTAAATTTATTGAGACACCATGAGATTAATACAAGTTGCCAAGTTACCTTTGGCCTTTATAATTAGAAGAGCTCACATTGGTGACCATTAGTTTCCAGACATTTATTAGTGTAGCTGTTGAACTGTGCATACATTTTTGTGTGTGTGTGATATATATGTATATGGAGAGACCAAGTGAATTGTCATATTAATGCTTCTTAGTACCTATATAAACTCTTCCCCTATCTCATTTTTCCATACTCAGGATTAAGCGCAGGGTCTTCATACTGAGATACACCCCAGCCTTTTGGGAGTTTCCTTGTTTTTGTTCTTTTTAAGATGAAGTCTCATTCCAGCCTCGAACTCACAGCAATCCTACCTCAGCCTTCTGAGAGTAGGTTAGAGGTGTCATTACCATGCCAAGCTTTTGAGATGGAGCCTCACTAAATTGACCAAGTGGAATCTGACCTGGCAATTCTACTGCCCTAAGCCTCCCAGAATCCCAGGATAATCCTTCCCCATATCATTTTATGGCTGCACATCCATTCTCGGGTATGGTGGCACCTGCCTGTAATCCCTGCACTCAGGAGGCTGAAGCAGGAGTATTATTGTGAGTTTGAAACCAGCCTGGGTTACAAAGTGAGCTCAAGGTCAACCTGAACTGCATAATGAGACTGCCTCAAACGGACTCCCCCAAAAGTTATGTGATCAATTTGCTAGACATAAGGGCAGTTTCTAATCTTTTCTAATATTTTGCCATTCATTAACACTATAATGAAGAACATGGTGCAGTGTTTCTGTATTTTTGCTTATATATTCCCAGAAGTCTAGGACTTAACCTAGGGCTACTGAGTCAAAGGGTAAATACAAAAATAATGTGGCTGTATCTTGACAAGTTAGATCATTTTCCTATCCTACCAGCAATATATACCACCTCAGGTATATATGGTCTCAAGGTGCAGCCATTTAGCTAGGAATATCTCCAGCTTACCTTTCTTTATGGTACAGTAGTTCTTTATTGTAGGAAACTAATCTTTTATAATTCATCAACTGATGAGCATTTGGGCTTTTTCCAAGATTCAGTTATTACAAACTGTGTGGTATAAACATGGCTGTAAGTACATTGCTGTAGTATCCTTTTAATTCTTTTGGGAAGATACTAAGGAAGAGAAATAGCTGGATCTCATGGGACCTCTAGTCCGAGTTAAAGAATCCCCACACTGATTTCCACAGTGGTTGCACCAGCTACACTCCCACCCACAGGAGAGAAGGGTTCCTTTTCTCCCACAGCCACACTAGCATTCAATACACTTTTTTTGTGGGGAAGGGGCTTGGTATCAGGAGTCAAACTCAGGACCTCACGCTTTCCAGGCAAGCACTGTGCTGCTGAACCAAATCCCTAGCCCTTGTTTCTGGTTAATTTCTTGATAATAGCCAATTCTTTCTGGAAATGGAATCTCAGCAGTTTTAATTTACATCTTTTTTTTTTTTTTTTTTTTTTTTGCCAAGAAAGGACAGATCTATAATTTGCATCTTTTGAATGACCAGTGATGAACATTTTTTCATATATTTATCACCTCTACTTTTTCATCTGAGAAGTGTTTATTCACTTTAGATGCCCATTTTTTGGGTCTTTAAATTCAGGGGAGATATACGGGGGGGGGGGGTTTGCAGAGGTGAATCACAAAGTTCTTATCTCCAAACTCTAGCAGAAGGTAAACAACAAACATAAAATGACAGGACCTAAATAGCAAGGTACAGATTTACCCTAAAACTAATGAAGCTTAGAGTCCTTACTTGCAGGGAGCCTTTCCAATGACCCCAGCAACGTGATATGGCCATTTTGTTATCTTTTTCCTAAAGTGAACATCTCAAGTTATTTAATTTCAGGCCTAAAGGACTTAAATCCACTTCAGACTCTCTTGGGGTGTCGATTTCAAACCTCAGTTCTGCAACCAGCTCGAAAGGAAGGGCTCCTAGGATATTTAGAAAGATGAAAAGGCCAGAGATCTCCCTCACTTGACTCTTCTCAGTAAGCCATACTGGTGATTAGCTGTCTACACAGAGCCTTTTATATTTTTCTTCTCCTTGCCAGGACAGGAAACATATCTTGACTGACAGTAGTGTTTGCAAAAATCAGGTGAAGACAGGTATATAGATGACACTCAGGACAAAAAAACAAAACTCAACAGACTGCAGGAAGTTTGGAGAGCTGTTATCTTAGAGGAAAAAGTATTTACAGTGCACACTATCTGGTCAACTGGAGCAGAGATAGATTGGCTCCCTCCTTTGGAAAAGTAGGATTAATAGTAAGACCTCCCTGTTGTAGGATTTGGTTAAGATTAAGTGAGCTCATTTACGTAAAAACCTAAGCCAGTCCCAGACTCGGAAGAAGATCCATAAATGGAAGGCAAAAAATAAAATGGTTGATCCTGGCAGCGCTGGGGTTTCTTTACTTATCAAGCTTTAGCACCAGGAGCAGGAAGGCCCACCTTACTACCAAACGAGAGTGCTGCAAAATCTGGGAAGGAATGGACGTTTCTGGCGGATGCTTACACATCTGTGTAACTAACTAAATGGCGGACTGGTTCTAGTTTGAGTGGCATCAGCCTGGAGTTGGCCTTGGGGCAGACAGCTGGCGAGGACAGGATGGCCAGCCCTGGGGCAGCCAAAGGACTCCAGAGGCTGAGGTGCCCAAAACCGCAGTCCTAGCTATCGATCCCGGCCCCGCCGAGCTCGGACAGCGGTTCCTTCCCGCGCGCCTCACGGGCCGGATCCTGGCCCTCCTTCCGGGCGTCGAAGCTAGTTGCGGACGCCGCCGCGCCCTCCCTCTTGGGCAGAGCACAGCGCCCCCAACACCCGTGGCCAAGGCCGGGGAACAAAGCGGCGCCGGCTTCTTTAAGGGACATACCACCATGCTGGAGGGGCAGGGGTCGGCATCTTCGCACCCGGCCCCGCGCCACAGCCACCTCGGCAACCGCGCCTCCTGCAAGCAAGGCTCAATGATTTGGACAAAAAGTGCAGCCTCCCTCCTAGGGGGCCCACGTCAAACCTTCCAGCTCGGGCCGCACCTGCCCGCTGGCCCGCCAGAGATCCGCGTCCTGCAGTCACTCCAAACCCGCACAGACGAAAATGCCCCAAACATCCCACCCCGGCACGCCAGCCCCCGTCTCAGTAGGTCGGAAGGGGGCGACAGGAGGCCGCCCTAGACGCTCCCCAGAGTCATGTGTGCCCACTGAGGCTGCAGGACGGCCGAACCCAGGAGTGGAATGGCGTCCCAGTTCCTGGCTGACCACCCCTGCAGGGAGCCGCACCAGTGGTGCGCTCCGGAGCGCACACACCTCCAACCGCTCCAGGATCCGCATCGCTAGGGAAAATAGAGCTACGAGGTGGACGCCCGGTGCGTGCAGGAGGCGACGCACGGCGGCGCGACGCTACGGAAAGCCAGAGGGGGGCGGGCCGCCGGCGTGAGGGGGTGTGTCCGCGCGCTCCACGGGGGCGCGCGCCGGCCTCTGACTGGAGGCCGCAGCGGCAGAGGCGCGAGTTGCACGATAATGGCGGCCTGCAGAGCCCGTGAGAGGGAGAAGCGGCGGCGGCTACCCTGAGGTAAATGCGGCCCCTCGGCGTGGCGCCGAGGCCCTGCCGCAGAGCCGACGGCCCTGCATGTATCTCCCTCCCCAGCGGGCCTGTCACGGACCTGTCTGCAGAGCCGTCCCCGGGAAGGCCCTGCGCTCCTCAGGCCACCGGCCCCCGCTGCGGCCTTGGCTCTCGCCGGGCCACTCCCCGGTCCCTGGCCCTCCGCCTGCAGTCGCGAGTTGAACCGCTGCGGGCCTGGCTCCTGGGATGAAAGCCGCGGCAGGATTCCCGCGCGTTTCCTCTGCCCCCCGGCCGGGCAGCGAGCGCGGCCTGAGCCCAGCGCCCGGCAGCACCACCGACCCAAACTGGCCCTGGCCCGGCACCCGCAGGTGTGTGGCCCGGCCGGCCCGCGCCCTGCGCCGATGAGCGCGGCAGGATGGAGGTCCCCGGGAAACGCGTGGTTGTCACTTAGGTTCGCACAAGGTGGCTCATCGTGGTGTCTTTTGATCCAGAATCCCAGGGATTTCAAAGCCGCCTTCGTTCTGCTTTATTCTGGAAGGTGCACTCTGCTTGGATAGAGATTATACCCGGCCGTGGAGGAGATGGGGCTGCTTCAGGGCGGGGAGCCACTTGGAAATGCGTCGTACCAGGCAGCCCACCTAGGGCGGGAGAGCGCGCCCGCCCGTGCTTCCGCCACAGGAAATCAGACTCTAGGAAATACTGTAAGAATTTGAAAGGTAGATGACCAATTAGAGGAAGTAAGACTTAAAGCAATCTCAGAAGCAGTCGTTTTGTTTATTAAATCTGTCCCTGAAAGTTAGCGTTGCCTAGTTTCTCGGGATCCAGCGCCACTCGCATTTCATCTCCCCAGTTCCATAATATAAATGTCTACAACCCCAAGTTATTTTTCTTCCCTATGGCGACAATCTACAAATGAGAATTTGGACAGTAGAGAAGCACACTCTGTAGACTTTATCCATTCAACACATGAGTATTTCCGTGTAAGACCTTTGCTTTTGCCTTAGATGTAGCAAGTTGAATTCCGAATAACTTTGTCAGAGAATGCCTCTTGATGTGTAGGATAGTTTTTCCTGGCAAAAATGACCTAGAACTAAGTAGCTATTGTTAACAAAAAGGTACAGGAGTTATATTCTAAAAAGATTACTTTTTTAAAAAGTTATGTTTCAGAATCTTTATTTTCACCTATTTTGCAATAAGAAAATAACAAAATATGAACATATGTGGTTTGATTATTTCCTTTTTTTTTTTTTTTTTTTTTTTTTGAGACAGGGTCTCCCTGTGTAGTTCAAGCTGGCCTGGAACTCATGGTAGTTCTCCTGCCTCAGCCTCTCGAGTGTTGGTGTTACAGGCATGCACTAGCATGGCTGGCTTAGACTTTTTTTTTCGTACCAAGAATGGAACTCAGGACCTTGCACTTGCGGGGCAGGCACTTATGCCACTGAGCTATATCCCCAGCCCATAGACAATACTTTTAAGTAATAAAAATAACTAAATATTTTGAGTTTTATAAGTGATATGGTTCACTTTCAGTCTTTAAGTATAGACCAAGTGTTTGTATTTCAGTGAGGGTTTTTCTTTTTACTGTTTTTATAACTTTGTGTGTCAAGCTTAAAGAGAAGCTGGTTGTTTTCTTGCTTGTTTATTCATGATCAATAAATAAAAATGTTGAATTTGGGGGGGTTTTTTTTGCTTAGTTTGTAACAGGAATCAAACGTAGGACCTGGCACTTGCCAGGCAGGTACTATGCCACTGAGCTATATCCCTGGCCCTGGGATTTATTTATTTATTTTTAAGCATAGATAGGACTGAGGGTATAGCTCAGTGGCACAAGAGCCTGTCTGGCAAATACGAGGTCGTGAGTTCAGTCCTTACAAAGAAAAGTAGGGAAATTGAGAGAGAGAGAGCGAGAACTCTTGAGAGATAAGAAAAGTCCAGGGACTTAATTGTAACAGTGACATTTTCAGGCAGTTCTTATGAGAAAGCAGTATAGTTTAGTGGCTGAAATTTTAGTTGCCTGAGCCACATGGCTTGATTTCAAATCACAGGTTCACCAGTTACTAGCTTTTTTTGTTTGTTTTCTGTTTCTTTTTTGGTGCTGGGAATGGAGATATGACCTTGCACTTGCCAGTTGGGCACTGTTCCACTGAGTTATATCCTTGGCCCCAGTTACTAGCTTTTTGACTTAGGTATTTTACTTAATCTCTCTGTACTTTAATTTTCTCATCTCTAAAATGACTATAATAATATCTACCTCATAAGATTATTGTGAGAATTAAATGAATATTATAAAGTGCTTGAAATAGTCCTGATGCATGAATACTACCTGTTACCTCTGTTATAAGAATTAGATTTGACCAAGATACATCAAATATCCTTCAAGCATTGCAAGAATGAGAGAGATGGTAACTAAATTATACATAAAGAGAAATGCAAGCTAGTAGGTATACCTAATTTCAAGAGCACTTTGTTGATTTTTGTAGAAACCTCGACCTTGAAGATGGTGAGTAGCCAGCCAAAGTACGATCTAATACGGGAGGTAGGCCGAGGTAGTTATGGTGTTGTGTATGAAGCCGTCATCAGAAAGACTTCTGCACGGGTTGCAGTGAAGAAAATTCGATGCCACGCACCTGAAAATGTTGAACTAGCCCTTCGTGAGTTCTGGGCACTAAGCAGTATCAAGAGCCAACATCCAAATGTGATTCACTTGGAGGAGTGCATCCTACAAAAAGATGGGATGGTGCAAAAGATGTCCCATGGCTCTAATTCTTCCCTTTACTTACAGGTATGTGTCGTTGGATATGAAATACAGTAGAAATGACTTGGGCATGACAGTGGTTTGCAAGAAAGAAATCAAAGAGTCAGATGAACTTCCTTTAAATGCAGGTATTTTGTAGTTAAGTGTAGATAGGTCTGCCAAGTATAGCATAGATGTTTGCTTTAAAACAAGCTTTTATTTAAACTTGTGATGTACATACCTAAAAATATCATAAGCCACCTGTTACTCCATGATACTTGTCAGTCTGCATGGGAATAGGGTAAGAGAGGAGCTAATGTGCTTGAAACTAGAGTCGAAGAAATTTATTTCTTTGAAATCAGTATTTTTGGAACTGAAGTTAAAAGAAAAACCACAACCAATATTGGCACGCATATATAATTGGACCCTTTTTTACAAAATACTGGTTTAAGCATAAGCCTTTGCTGTTTTACAGGGTTATATGGTTTCTTACCCATTCAATTTCAGTTAATTTTCTTTTTCTTTTCTTTTTTGTCTTTTTTTTTTGAGACAGGGTCTCGCTATGTAGTTCAGGCTGGCCTTGAGCTCACTTTGTAGCCCAGGCTGGTCTCGAACTCGCAACGATCCTCCCACCTCAGCCTCCCAAGTGCTGGGATTACAGACGTGAGCCACCACGCCTGGCTAATTTCAGCTAAATTTTACAAAGCATGTTTCACACCTGAATGTTCACAGTGCCAATAGCTAATGTTTGGTTCCCTACTTAATTCCATGCTCTGTGCTGAGTGCTTTAGAGGCATTTGCTCAAAACAATCCTAAGAGGAAAGTCTTATTATTCTCTCAATTATAAATAAAGAAACTGAAACTTAGACTAATGAATTTATATAAAGTCACCTATCTAGCAAGTGGCAGATTGGGAGCTGAACCTAAAACCAATTAATAGCTAAAGGTTATGGTCCTTTCCGAATTACTCTTGTAAGACTGGGAAAGTTGGGTTGTTTGCTTTTGAGACAGGATCTTGCTATGTAGTTCAAAATGACCTTGAAATTATGGTGATTCTCCTGCCTCAGCCTCACACATGATGGAATTACAGGTGTGTGCCACCACCTGGTTTGAAAATATTTTTTTTTAGGGTTGGCTTCTGCCTTAAATCAAAATCCCTACCACAAAAAAAAGAAAATTTCTACCACTCTTCATACTATAGAAAAGATACTTAAGACTGCTAGTGAAAAGCCAGAACAGATATTTTTTTTGTCTTTTTCGTTATCAGTACCAGGGATTGAACTCACTCACGACTGCCTGCTTGCAAGGCAGGCGCTTATGCCGCTGAGCTAAATCCCCAGCCCCTTCAGAGCAGAATTTAAGACCAGTTATTCTGGGAAAAGGAAAAGGAAACACCTTTCGTTGAGTGGATTTTTGTTTTTGAGACAGGGTCTCCCTATGTAGTTCAGGCTCTCCTTGACCTCACTATGTGGCCCAAATTGACCTTCAACTTGAGGCAATACTGCCTGGGCCTCTAAGTGCTGGAATTGCAGGTGTGTGCCACCACATACAGCCACCTGGAATGTATCAAAATACAGAATTTACCCTCAGACTTTGAGGGTAAAGACACTAAAAAGACACTAAAAAACATTTAAAAGACACTAAAAAACAGTGATGAACCTATGGCACACATGGTGCATGGTTTCAATGGTTACCATTGAAAGCTCAAAGGTTTGCATTTTTAGTTTATAAACCCAGGACTGAAAAGGCAGAGGCAGGAGAGTCACCACTAGTTCAAGGCCAGCCTGAACTACATAGTAAGACTCTATCTCAAAAAACTATAAATAAACCAGGGACTGAGCTCAGTGGCATAAGCGTCTGCCTGGCAAGCACTACGTCATCAGTTCAATCTCTGGTTCAAAAAAAAACTATAAGTAAACACTTTTAAACTAGGAATAACAAAAATAAATTGATCTGTGTAATTAGAAACTTGTATTTGACATTGTACAATGAGAGAATTTGCTTTGCAGTTTAGCACCACATGCACCGAAGTTCTCTCTTATTTTGTGTGTGTGCGTGCGTGTGTGTGTGTGTGTGTGTGTGTGTGTGTGTGTGGTACCAGGGAACACTAAGCTACATTACCAGCCCTTTCTATTTTGGGGCATCTTCCTAAATTCCCCTGGCTGCTTTAGCCTCTAGTTTCTGGGGTTATAGTCATGTGCCACCACACTTCAAGTCTTATTTGTGTGAAAATATGTGTGGTACTGAGGACTGAACCCAAGGTGTTCATGCTCAGCCAATTCCTGGTGGGCTTTTTTATTTTTATTTTTTATCTTGAAAAATAGGGCCATGCTTAGTTGCTCAGGCAGGACTTAAACTTGTGACCCTCCTACTTTAGCCTCCCAAGTGCTAGGACTATAGGCATTTGTACTGCATCTGGTTCCATACTGTCTCTTAAAAGTAGAACTAACAGCTACTCCATAGGCTGACATAGGAAGATAACAAAGTTCCAGCTCAGCCCAGGTGGGGCTTGAATTTGAGATCTTCCTGCCTTGGCCTCCCAGAGTGCTGGCATTTATAAGTGTTTGCCAATATGCCTGGTTTTTCAAGGTTCTAAAATGTAAAGTACTATCAGACTTGATTGATTGATTGATTGATTGGTTTTGTTTTATTTTCATTTTAAAGCAAGATACCTCTTTATAGCCCAGACTGGCTTCAGACTGATGATTCTCCTGCCATAGCCTCCAGAGCACTGGGGTTGCAGGCATTCACCACCATGCCCAGCATTCTGATTCAGTGTTTTGTTTTGTTTTATTCTAAATTGTCTTTTTGTTTTGTAAACCTTTTCATCTTGTAAAGTCCAATAGATCTGTATTAGACTTCAGGCACTGTTCGCTTTTAGAAAATCTTGAATTAATAATCCAGCTTTCCTGAGGATCTGTTTCTTTATAGCTAAATTATGGGTAATGATTTCTACTTTCCATGGAAATTTTGAATATTAGAGGTGAGGCAGAAATAATACTTGACATATAGGATATACTCAGTAATAAGTAACTGTATTAGAATAGTCTTTCTGTGAATTCAGTTGATCGGACATTTCCCAAACACATTTAGTAACTGCCTTCTATAAACTCTTCTTATTTGATAAAGACAGCCAATATTTACATGTGGTAAAGATAGTGTGACCAGAGTCCCTATGCATGGTGTTCTCTATTCTTTTTATAAAATTTGTAATTTTCTCTTTTTTCCAGATATGTTTTTCTTTATTCTCAGCAGCAATCATTAAATCCACTCCTGATAACTAAAAACCTCACTTAGGAAACAGTGTCAAACAAATAATTAACAGAAGGTATAATCTCATATTGGAACTTAGTTTCCAATCTATGTACTTGGGACAAGTGTCATGGGTGAGAATTACAGGGTGGTACAGATGCATATGATAGGGAACCTGACATAATCCTAGGGTTCAGGAATTGAGCTGTTTAAAACTTCTAGACTCAGCAGCATTGGCTAAGTAAGTGATATGCAGAAAGAAATGTATATAGAAAGATCTTAAAGCAGGAGCTGGGGATTTAGCTCAATGGCATAAGCGCCTGCCTTACGAGCAGGCAGTTGTGAGTTCGATCCCCGGTACTGATAAAAAGGAAAAAGACAAAAAAACAGGGCATTTTAATAATTGAAAGAACAGGGGCTGGGGATTTAGCTCAGCGGCATAAGCGCCTGCCTTGCAAGCAGGCAGTCGCGAGTTCGATCCCTGGTACCGATAAAAACGGAAAAGAAAAAAAAAAAAAAAGAATTGAAAGAACACTAAAACAGCAATGTACAGAGAGCTGTTTTAGATGAGGCTAGAGGGCTCAGCTGGAGTTAGCACACAAGGTCCCCATAGCCCTTGTTAAAAAGCTTGGACTGTACATAGCTAATGTGCATGGTAGTGTTCCTTATATACCAAAAATAAGGAAATTGGACATTGTATTTCTGTAGCTCTAAGCTAGAGGCCCATGGCTATTTTCATATGGTCTGGACACTAGAATTAGTTTTTTACTTTTGTCTTTAAGATAGGGTCTTGCTAGCCCTGAACTCAATTATATAGCCCTCAAGCCTGTGTTAGCCCTTTTGCCTCAGGTTCCCCAAGTGCTGGGATGATAAGCTTGTACCGTCATGCCTGGAAAGGTGTGTTTTTTGTTCTTTTAAATAAAAAGGAAAGAATGAAAATGGAAACCTTATGTGGCTTGTCAAGACTAAAATATTTACTGTCTTGCCTTTTAAAAAACATTTAAATATTTATTGAGCCTCTGTATTGCTTAAAGAGTTTTGGAGTTTTTTGTTCTTGTTTTGGTTTGGTTTGGTTTTTTTGAGACAAGGTCTCACTACAGTTCAGGCTGCCCTTGAACTCACTATGCAACCCAGACCAGCCTTGAACCATCATAGTGATCGTCTTGCCTTAGCCTTCTGAGTGTTGGGATTATAGGCATGTGCCATCACAGTTGGCTAGACATTTTTTAAAATCTATTTTCAAAGTTTTACCTCTTTTAGCTGGGAGATTGAATATATATATTCATTAGGAAAAAAAATGCCAGTTTGAGGTACTAAAGTTTAAAGTGCACATACCAAAGTCCAGAGAAAATAAAATAGTCATGGAGTTTCCACCTAAAATTAGCGATCTAGGGCTAGGGGTACAGCTTAGTGGTAGACTACTTGACTAGCACGTGCAGGACCTGGGTTCTATCCCCAGCATTTCTACAACAAAACTGAAGACTGACTTAATTTTTGAGTCAGGTATTTTTCTATAACTGAATTGTATAACCTATGTAGATGATTATAGTGTTTCTTTTTTTCTTTATAGCTTGTAGAGACTTCACTAAAAGGAGAGATTGCCTTTGATCCCCAAAGCGCCTATTATTTGTGGTTTGTGATGGATTTTTGTGATGGAGGAGATATGAATGAATATCTGCTGTCCAGAAAACCCAATCGTAAAACTAACACCAGCTTCATGCTTCAGCTGAGCAGTGCCCTAGCTTTTTTGCATAAAAACCAGATCATCCACCGAGATCTAAAACCTGATAACATCCTGATTTCTCAAAGTAGGTTGGATACAAGTGACTTGGAACCCACATTGAAAGTGGCTGATTTTGGTCTAAGTAAAGTTTGTTCAGCCTCTGGGCAAAACCCAGAAGAACCTGTGAGTGTAAATAAGTGTTTCCTTTCCACTGCCTGTGGAACTGATTTCTACATGGCTCCTGAAGTGTGGGAAGGACACTACACAGCAAAAGCAGACATCTTTGCACTGGGGATCATCATCTGGGCCATGCTGGAAAGGATCACATTCATAGACACAGAGACAAAGAAGGAACTCTTGGGGAGTTATGTAAAGCAAGGAACTGAGATTGTGCCTGTTGGAGAGGCGCTTCTGGAAAATCCCAAAATGGAACTTCTCATTCCTGTGAAAAAAAAGTCTATGAATGGGCGAATGAAACAACTGATTAAGGAAATGCTGGCTGCAAACCCTCAGGATCGCCCAGATGCTTTTGAATTAGAACTCAGATTAGTACAAATCGCATTTAAAGATAGCAGCTGGGAAACGTGACATATTATTTGCAAATATCGTGGATGACATGCTGCTTCTCATTTAACAGTGATGCAACATTATGTGGCTGAAAAAGAATACAAAAAGCTAACTCCATGTTCTAAGGGTTTAGATTTTATTGTGGGCTGTTTCTTTATTTTTCTGAATTTAAGCTGGCCATTTTATTAGTATGTTTTGAATGTGTATTACCAATGTAGGTGTAAAAATTTTTTTTAATGACCATTGGTAGAAGTTTGGCAGGAAAAGAGCCAAGAAAAAAGAGTCCAGTTTTCTGAAAATGTCTCAAGTATTTTAGACATTCCTTGTCAGTATTAGGCATTTCCATGGAAGAAGAGGTTTGCGTGCTGGTAATGCAACCTTTAAAGCTTTGTAAAGGAAACATATATGTATATATTTATGTATATGTAAGTATGTGAATGTGTGCATTTTGTATTCCAGATGAAGAAAATGCCACTTCTGTTTAAATTATTTGTTTCAGGTTTGAGTTTTTGAGATTTGCTGATGAAATCAGTGATGAAAAATAAATAAACCTCCCCTCATCTTCTTCCCTGTAATGAAATGTAAGCTTTGGGTATTTTTTTTTTTTTTTTTTGTACTAGTACTGCTTTTTGTTTTTGTTTTTCGAAGCCATCATTTTGGAGGACTAAAATTATGAGTAAACATAACTGAATTAGGTAATCCAAAGCTGCTGAAGTATGTTTGAATTCTTCAGTGCCCTATAGCTGTTAGAATTGAATTAATTATGCAATCATAGTAGTGAGTTGGCAAGGACACTGATAATTCAGACATACCTTAGGTAACTGAGTATTTGTTTAATTAATTAAACCACTGTATTGGGATATGTCTATTCCTTTTTAGTTTTTTGAGACGGTCTCATTGGGTAGTCCCAGCTGGTCTCAAACTCAGAGCAGTCCTGCCTCAGCCTCCTGAGTTCTGGGGTTATAGGCATGTGCCACCACACCCAGCTGATATGTCTGTACTTGAGCATTGTTAATCTGATATAAATCTGAACATGAGATTCTTCTGTTTGTGAAAATTTTGCTATGAATGAACTATAATACTTGATATATTAATTTTTTAAGACTTTATCTAAGTCTCAGCATAAAGTTGAAGAAACCAAATGAATTCTGCATCCATGTTTCCTGCCCTGGTATTATCTCTTGTTGAATCACTGGAGTTCCTTTCATTTTGGCACTGATGCTGTTTTCCTCTATCCCTTTGAGATAGTAATGGTAGTAATAATAGTTGTCTTAACTCTTAACACCTTTTTTCTAAGTGGAAGATGATACATACACAGTTTGGCAAGTGGATAAAATACTGTGGAGTCAGCTACTTTTCCAATAGAAAAGTTACTGATTTTATACAATCATTTAATATGAACTATATAAGAAAACAAGAAGCTATCGTTTCTCTTGAAGTTAGTTCAGTTTTAACTGTATGGTTGTTTCCTGTTTTTCTGTAAATGCAGATAGTTAAAATTTAAAGAAAGAATGCTTTCCCAAGACTCTATTAGCCTTTGGGGTTAAATAGACTTTACATTGTATCTATGTTAATCTTTCTAAAGCAGTAGAATCTTTCTAAAGCACTAGAGTCCAAAAAATCAAAATAGTACTAGAATATTGAAATTATTGATAATTTGCATAATCTCCTTGAGTTTTTTTTTTTTTTTTTTACTTCTACAACTTTTAGAATATTACTGTCATTTATTCCCGATTTAAAATGTATTCAGATGGGCTGGGAGTATAACTCAGCGGCACGGCACTTGCCTGGCAAGTGCAAGATCCTGAGTTCAATTCCCAGTACCAAGAAAAAACAAAAAACAATAAAATGTGTTCAGAGTCTGGGCGTGGCAGTGCATGCCTATGATCCCAGCACTTGGGAGGCTAAGGCAGGAGGATTGCTTGGAGTTCAAAGCCAACCTGGATTACATACAGTTTAGTACAAGCCTGAACTACAAAGTGAGACCTTGTCTCAATTAATTAATTAAAATAACAAAACGTGTTCAGTGAATAATCGAAGGTAAAAAACAGTTTTGGAGTACGTTAAGTTTCTAGACAATGTGTTACTTAATCTGGAAGTTTAAAATTTGGACTGAAGATTTTATTGAAATAAAACCTTAAAAAGTCATATACATCGAACATGATTTTCAAACTATTAAATATTAAATTTCAAGCTTCTACTTTTGGATTGGAAAGTAGAAGTGACCATACACTGAAACTTCATGGTAATGACACTCTGATTCATCCAATTAGTTTAACAGATCTGTCCAAGGGGATTGAGTTGCTGAGAGTAAGAAAAAGCACGTTACGATCTTTTGTGAATAATGCGGCACTTCAGCAGATAGGTGGGTAATATCTTGCATTTCCTTTGCTCTTTATATATCTGTGTACTTGGAGCCACAGTTTCCTAAGTACGTGGATTTTGGTCCTGCCTCATTTACAAGAGTTAATGATTATAATTTATTTTGTTTTTTGTGGTGCTTGGAATTGAACCCAGGATTTCTTACATACTACACAGGCGCTTTATCACTGAGTTACTTCTCCAGCCCTGATGTTTATTTTGAAAAATTTTACTTACAAAATAGAATTTTTTTTGCTTTCATTGAGGATAATGGTATGAGGTGATCAGAAAGTTTCTTCTGGAATTTTCTCAAGTCCTTGTATTCTAAAGTAGCCAAAATGATAATAAATTCTTGTCTTCCTTTGTTCTTTCAGTCAGAGGTATTAATATTAAGTACCTACTGTGTGCTCAGCACTAGAAAGTAATTGATAAAAATGTTAATTTAAAAATGGCATTTAGACACAAGTCTTTCCCAGCCAAGAATAAAAAGTAAAAGATTGGTGATACTTGGAAATTCCCAGATATTTGCTAGGGAAAAAAATGAAATCAAGAATTCATGCACAGTGCCTTGCCCATAATAGGTACTCAATAAGCAACTATTTCTCATAGTCTCTTGCTATGGTTTATATAGTGTTTCATGGAATTTGTCTTAATTGAAAAAGACCAAATATTCAAATAAGCTTATAGGCAGCGGAGTCCAGTTAAAATATAGGGTTTGTACAGTTAATTCCTAGAATGTTATTTTGCACTAGTTGTCACTTAGAAAGATGGGGTTCCTGTAGATTTGTGGTGCTAAGGGATACTTTGTCATTATGATGAAGTAAATGTTAAGTGACAGATAAATAGCACACAGAATAGTTCTTTCTGCTAGTGTGGTTTTTTTTTTCTTTGTTGTTGTTTTTAATTGTAAAATGTTATCAAACTATTGTAGCAGCTACAAAATAATTCACCAGCATGACAAAATGGTCAAAAAAATAAGTCATCAGCACTTCAGAAATGAAAGCAACTTTTGAAATTTTCTTTTTAAATTGTCAAATATATTTTATGAAGAATTTATAAAGGGGGAAATGATTGTAATTTATTGTTCATGACAGTTTCTTTTTTTTTTTTTTTTAATAAAGTGAGTTTCAACAAAAAATCCTGAAAATTTTACATTCCTGCTTTGAGTGGTACTGTAGTGCTTTATTTCATGAACATAAAATAGAGGGTATGAAACTTGAAATAATGTATTTTTCAGACTTATCAATTAAGTGATACTATGAATAGAATCCATTGATAAGGGAAATATGATTGAGTTGCAGCATTTCACGTTCTATAAAATTTTAATTCTCTGTCTTGCTTCATTTGTTTCTATATAAGAAAAACATATTGCTTGAGTTAAATTATTTTTCTTTTCTCCTACATTTAGCTGAGTATGCATTCTAGACTCAATGAGGTATATTAAATATTCTAACAGAATGCAATATTTCAATTGATGTGTGAGGCCATGGTTTCTTTTCTAGAATGAAGTCATCTGTGTGGCCCACTGTTTTCCTTTATAGATTTTATTAATGCATGCCTGAGGGTACAGTCCACTCAATGATCCCATAGAATAGCAGGAAAAAGTACTGTAGAGGAGACAGGAATCCTTGTTTGTACATGGTCCAATGATTAGGAAAGTAGACACCAGCATTTGTGGCCTCTCCTCTCACTATCACCTGCTCCTGGTATAGCTTTTGTCACTAGGCAAAGTTTACTTTCTACTTAGAGATTAAATCTTTTAAACCAAATATTTGTAGTTACAGTGTTATGTCTTTTCATATTGTATCTTTTACTTAAAATAGGGGCTAATTTCTTCATAAATAAATAGTAATAACACCAGTTGCTGAGGTAAGGATAATGGTTTTGCTAGGACAGGGTTTTAGTGCCTAATCTTTTGACTCCAGTTGGAGTTTTCTCTGACGAAAAGCTTTATCTTTCTCAATGAAGTAACACTTGGTTGTTTTAGTTTCATCTTTAAATTCAAATGTTGCTCTCGGTCAGCCAATCAGAGACATCCTCTGAAATGCAGCGTAATGACAGACAGTTTGTGGTTAGATAGTAACTCTTGAGAAAACCTGCAAGGCCACACCTCTAGACGATAGTGTATCTTTTAAAAGTAGCACTTTCACCTTTACAGTGAGTTTTCATTGGTTAGAAGGGAATTGTTTTAAAAATTAAAAAAAAAAGTCTGGCCTTTGGATTTCACTTTCACTTCCTCTTCAGTCTGATATTTCAAACTTTACTTGTTTGGAGCAAAAGTTGAGCAACTTGATGTTATAGCAGACATCGCGGGCTAGCTGCAAACGCACAGGCTTTGTAGAAGATCTGATACAAATAGTAGCTCTTCCAAATATATAAGTAACACGTATCAGCAGGTAAGTCACTTCACTCTGAGCCACAGTTCCCATATCTACAAAAAAGAAGAGATGGTGTTTACAGTTTAGAGTTTTTGGAAAGATCAGAGCAAGTACAAGGAAGTACGTAGCATAGAACCTGGTGCATTCAATTGTCAAATGGTGACAGTTGCTATATTCTGGTTTTGACTATATCGTGAACGAATGGATTTCAAATGATCCAGTCCTCAGTTGTAGCTTTGAGTCTTCCTTTTTGGGGGAACCTGAGGAAGGCACTTCCTCCTCTCGGAAAGTATTTATCATTTCAGGGATTTTATGGATCTCAGAAGCCCACATAGACCCCAAAGATAAAGGAGCCTGAACTTTAGGCTCTCCTAGCACCTCTGTGCTAGAACTCCTGTCAAAGAGGCCACATGTAAGGAGATTCTAAAGAATCTATGTTGTTTTGGTTTTTGATTTAGTATTGGTAAAAGATATGTTGCTTTATGCAAATTTATCAAGCTGCACTGTCTGTCCATGTGTGCACGCACAAGAGTGTACACATGCACGGGGAATAGTCTTGTGTACTCTAGGCAAATGCTGTACCACTGAGCTACATCCCCAGTCAGATACATTAAATGTTTATACTTTTCTCTGGGAGTTATATACTGCAATAAAAATTTTACTTAAAAAATTAAATATGAGCCAGGCAGGGTGGTACATGCTTGTAATCCTAGCACTTGGGGGGCTGAGGCAGGAGGATCACCGTAAGTTCAAGCCCAGTCTAGGTACATACTGAGTTCAAGACCAGTCTGAACTACATGTCTCAAACAAACAAATGAATAAATAGGCGGCTAGGGCCATAGCTCAGTGGTAGAACACTGCCTAGGATGCACACAGCCCTGGGTTCCATCCCAGCACTGAAAAAAAAAAAGTACATCAAGGCCAAAGACTACCTTGGTGATAGGCCTTGTCAGAAGCAGAGAGAAAGAGCACACACTTTGCAATCAGTGGGCATAATGGCCCACACTTTTTATTCCAGCACCAGGGAGGATGAGGCAAGAGGATCACAGAATCAAGCCCAATCTGAGCAACTAGTGATTTAGCAATACCCTGCTTCAAAATTTGAAAACCGTTAAGGGTGAAGCTTACTGTAAATGTCCTGGATTCAGTCAACAGTACCACAAAAGAAGGAAGGGAAGGAGGAAGGAAGGAAAGAATCAGCCATTTTACCTTTCTACTAGCTATGTGCCTTTATAGTTCACTAACTTCTCAGATGCTTTGTTTCTCCCATGTTTAAACAGCTGAGCCATGGTTCAGAGCATTGTGAAGATGTTCGGCAAGGAGCTGTTCCATGGAGGAATGCAGCGTGTCATAGTCAACTAATGTCACTGCTCTCCATGAGGAGATTGGACAGGAAATGACTCAGCTGCCTGTACTGCCCATCTGCTCTGCTGGTAGGTAGCGGATTTATTTGTGTTTTGTTTAATTTAGCTTACATTTTGCCACTACTAGAAAACAATTTTATATGTCATTACTACAGTGTCCTCCTGTCTCCTTGCCTCACAGGCCTCTACAAATACAGTTCTCAAATAAAAATCTTCTTAGCCCTGTTTTCTTTCTTTTATTTGCTGATCTCATGGTGGATAGTAATTCAGATGTGTTATGCTGTCTCTCCGACATAGACGCCCAAGCCTGGAAATCTGAAGAGTCCTACCAAGTACCAAATAGTAGAATGATGTGTTGTTTCTCCTAAACGGCAGGGATGTCGTGCTTTGAGAGGTGACAGTAGAAGCACAGCTCTGCGGCAGAGGTGAGAACACGGCAATGATGACTGAACTCTGATAAATAGATGTAGGTGGCGGTGCATCTCATCTTGATTGGGAAAGGTTTTTTAAAAAAAGATGATGTCTATTTCTGGACATTATGGAGTTATAGGGTCTCAATTTCTTTTCCTGTCTTGAACAACTAAAATGCTAGAGACTAGACAGATGACAGCACAAAAGAGTAATCTCCTGAGGAAGGGAATCAAGTGAAGTGAGAGGCCCCTGGGGGCTCGCTGGAGGGAATCTTCAGGCTGTGCAGAGGAGGAATACCAAACAGAGTCCAGCCATTTCCAGATGTTGAAAAGACAGAGCTCAGGGAGGCCGAACCAGATAGAACTCGTAGGATAGAACATCAATGACAACAAGTGAGAAACAAGGCTGCTATGTTAGTACATGCCTGTAATCCTATCCCTTGGGAGGCAAAAGCAGCAGTATCATCATGAGTTTGAAGCCAGCCTGAGCTACATAGTGACTTTAAGACCAGCTTAAAAACCACATAAGAGGGGCTGGGGATTTAGCTCAGCGGCATAAGCACCTGCCTTGCAAGCAGGCAGTCATGAGTTCAATCCCTGGTACCAGTAAAAAACGAAAAAGACAAAAAAAAAAAAAAAAAAAAAAAAACACATAAGGAAATCTTATCTCAAAAAGGGGTGCGGGGGGTTGAGGGGTGTATAGTGGCACCTACTTGTAATTCCAACACTTGGGAGGCTAAGGCAGGATTCTGGTACATTTGAGACCAACCTTGGCTACCAAGTGAGTTCAAGTCAGGCTAACTGCTTAGCGAGACCTTGTGTCAAAAACGAAAAAAAAAAAGACTGTCTCAAATTTAAAAAAAAAAAATTTTTAAGAAAGGCTTGAGGAAGTAGGTCTGTGGTACAGCATTTGCCTAGCATGGGCAAAGTCCAGAGTTTAATCTCTTCTTCCACAAAAAAAAAAAAAAAAAAAAAAAAAAATCTAAAAATGTGTAGACTACATCAAGCTAAAAGGTAGCAAACCATCTGATGGTTTCCCACTGAGATCAGGAACAAGGCTAGGATGGCACCTCCACTGCTTTTTAACTAGAAGTCCTAACCAAACATCACACAAGAAAAGGTATGCACACTGGTAAGGAAGAAATAAAACTATGTTTGCAGATGAAGTGATGTGCAAAAGTCTATCAGTTTCCTACTTAACAACAATAGGCAAGTAAAACTAGAATTTAAAAACCATTACAATAGTTGGGCATGGTGGCACATGCCTGTAATCCCAGCACTCAGTAGGCTGAGGCAGGAGGGTCCTTTCGAGTTTAAGACCACCCTGGGCTACAAAGTGAGTTAAAGGCCAGTTGAACTATATATATAGCGAGACATCTCAAAAAGACCAAAAAAAGAAAAAAAAAAAAAGCAATTTACACAAACAACTAAAAAAAAAAAAAACTTAAGTATAAACCTAACAACAAAAAAAGTATAAACCTAACAAAATACATACAGCCAGGTGTGGTAGTACACAAGTAATCCCAGTGCTTGGGAGGCTGAGGTAAAAGGATAGCTACAAGTTCAAGGCCAGTTTGAACTACATAGGGAGACACTGTCTTAAAATACAAACCAAAAAACACGTAAGTCATATATGGAAAAAACTGTAAACTTCTGCTGAAAAAATCACAGAAGAAGATAAATGGAGAACTAATTCATGTTCATGCACAGGAGACTCACTTATAAAAAGATGTCAGAACTGGGCATGGTGGCACACACCTGTCATCTCAGCATTTAGAAGGCTGAGGCAGGAGGATTGCTGTGAGTTCAAGGCCAGTCTTGGCTACATAGCTGGGTCAAAAAACAAAACAAAACAAAAAAGCCAAGTGGTGGTGCATGCACTTGAGAGGCTGAAGCAGAAGATTGCTGAGAATTCAAGGTCAGCCTGCATTACAAAGCAAAACTCCGTCTCAGAAAAAAAAGAGGGCAAGCAGCAACAGGTGATTAGTTGATTGATTAATTTTTGCAGAACTATGTCTCCATTACATTTTTTTCTAAATTTTGAAATAGATCTCCCTAAATCCTTAAATTACTCAGGCTGGGTTGGAACTCAAAGTCCTTTGGCCTCGGCCTCCTAGAATGCTAGAATTACGGGCCTGTACCACCACTCCCAGTTTTACAATGTGATTTATGATAGAGGCTTTGAATGTGCCATATGGATATGAACTGGAAACTTAGTGTCAAACATATATGTGATTGCCCCAGGTAAAACTTGACACCAAGGGTTTAGGTGAGCTGCCATGGTTGGCAGTACTCTGAGTACCATCACACTTTAATGTCAGGAGGGTAACTGAGGCAACAGGAGCTTTTTTTTTTTTTTTTTTTTGGTCCTGGGAATTGAACTTATAACTTTGTTTTTATTTACTTATTTATTTATTGTACTGGAGATTGAACTCACGACCTCGTGCGTGACAGACAGGCATTTTTTACACTGCTGAGCTAAACCCCCAGCTGAACTCATAACTTTGTGATTGCCCAGCAGGTGCTGTGCCACTGAGCTATATCCCTGGCCCAGGAGTTTACATTTAGAATCCTCCAAGACTATGCCCAATGTGTCTCTTCCTTTGGTTCTAATTTATTATAAATTGCTACAATGCAACTGTAGTTATAAGTACATATAGCACTTTCTTGAGTTCAGTGAATCAGATACCTGATGGAACCTGAGGGCCGTCATATGGATGCCTAAGAGAGGGTGACCCTAGGGATGCCTGTGCTTGTGACCATATCTGAAGACAGGAAAGGCTGTCTTCAGATTGTGCCACTTACTTAAACCCTCCTGCAACTAGTCAGCAATAAAAAGGAACAAACCATCAATAAATGTATATGTGGGTGAATGCTGAGTGATATTATAAAATGAGATAGGCCTTCCTCCCATAAAGAGTATGTACTGTATGGTTATATTCATGTAGAAACCTAGCTCTAAAGTGACAGAAAGCAGAGCAGTGGTTGTCTGGGCATGGAGTGGTGTAGGATAGATTTCAAAAGAGGATGAGGAACATTTTGGAGGTGAGTAAATATGTTATTTCTTACATATCAAAATTCACCAAATTATACGCTTTATATATGTGTATTTTATTTATATCAATTATACTTATTTAACTTTTTAAATTTAAAAACTGGGTATCTTCCCAGAAGAATTGAAAACATCATATCACAGCAATACACATGCACCCGTGTCTATAGCAGCACAATTTGCAATAGCTAAATCTTGAAAACAACTCAAATACCCATCAAACGAGGAATGTATTAAAACAATGTATTTTTATACAATGGAGTATTACTCATCTACAAAGAAAGATCAACTCGACATTTTTATAGGTAAATGGCTGCAACTAGAGACCATATTCACAATGAAATAAATCAGGCTTACATATATAAACATGGTATTGTCTCCCTGGTGTAAGAAACTGAAACAGTAAATAAGATCCAATAGGTGTAATAGATACTGTGAAAGGGAAAGAAACTGCTCAAAAGGAAAGAGCAGTAGGAATAGGGAAAAGGAGAAAAGAAGGAAGGGAAAAAGGTATGCATATACATGATAGCTAAGATAATGGTACTACTAATTCTATTAGTTCATTGAAAGGACCAGTTAGTGCTTTTATTGTTTTTTTGTTGTTGTTGTTGTTGTTTGTTTTTTCTCATGGTTTTTTAAAAAATTATTTTGAAGGTAGTAAAATACAACTAAGCAAGACAGAACAAAGCCAATTGAGACAGTGTAGCGAAATTGGTACAGAATTTCACAACAGGTTACCAGGATAACAGCAATAGATATCACAGTATATCTCATTATCATCACAATAGTTGTTCTTTCAATCACGTATAGCAAAATAAAATGAAGTACAGAACATTATAGAACTTATCAAAACAGAATATTGAATAGAGCAGTACCATTAATCAGAATAAAGCAAAACAGTAGTAAAAATATTTGCCTTCAAAAAGATGGTAGAGGGGCTGGGGATTTAGCTCAGTGGCATAAGCGCCTGCCTTGCAAGCAGGCAGTCGTGAGTTCGATCCCTGGTACCGATAAAAAGGAAAAAGACAAAAAAAAAAAAAAAAAGATGGTAGAAGGAAATCCCCCTTATTTGCTATATTGCATATGGTCAACCTCCAAGAGATGCTCAGATCTCTGGTTCCCATTTGCTAAAAGGGGGTGGGTGGGGAGGTGGGATGTTTGACTCTAAGCCCATGTACCAGTAAGCTCACTATTGCTTAACAGGGAGGCAGGCTGATTGCTTGGTTTGATCAGTTTTGCATGCCCAAATCTGATAATCTGAGCAACTTTTTGAAGATAACAATATAATAACCATTGTTAATTTCCTATCATCTTGCTTTGACGTTCTGCATTGTTTTTATTGTTTTTTAATATATAATTTGGGACATTGATTAGTTAAGGCACAGCTACAGGTGACAAAAATCAAAATCAAATTCTCAATAAGATGGGGGATAAAAAAGCAGCTGTAGATCTATGTACAGGAAATATCCATGGTTTTACTAGTTTAAGGCATGATGGGATTCAGGTACTCAAAAGATGTCATATGGTCTCCAGCTCTCTCCATCCTGCAACTCAGTTTTCATCTGTGTTGGTGAATGTTCCCATCAGGGTGAAAAATGATTCCCCTGCAGCAGGCATGACACTTGCACTATACTTTTTATGTGTACTTTATTTATATTGTTTTAAAAAGCTGATAACCATTAATTTTTTTTGAAACAAGGTCTCACTGTGCAGTTCAAGGTGGCCTTGAACTCACTATGTAGCCCAGGCTGGCCTCAAACTGTAGTGATTCTCCTGCCCCCGTCTCCCAAAGCAGGGATTACAGGTGTTCGCCACCACTCAACTACTTCACATTAATTATATGAGAATTTCAGTAGGTGGAGCCCTTGTGTTGATTTTTTTAAAACACAATATTAGTGATTCAAATGTGAAAACAGTGAAATAACGTTAGCTTGTGGGACAGGTAGAGAAGGTCAAAGGATGTCATGTTTGGAATTCACTTCCCTTCTTCCAGGTGCAACATCTTCACCATTCATCACTTTCCCCATCCAGGTAGAGCCTCCCTGAGTTTCCAGGAAATAGCAAAAAAAAAAAAAAAAGGCAAATCTGTGGTATTTGGTTCTGGGGCAAGACTCCTCAAACTGGCATCTAAGAAGGGACTCCAGCAACTTCAGGACTGTCAGCAGGCCCACTAAAACTGCAACCAAAGTTAAGGGCCTATAACTGTTAGCAGATTTGTAAAGGAATCCAAATGCCTAAGAATCAGCACTGGAGCAGCACGGGGAACACTGCACAGGAACTGGTGCAGGGGGTGAGTGGGGAGGAGGCTTAGTCACAATTTGGCCCGCGGCATCCTGGTGGATCTGCCAACTCCTGGGAAGTGACAGCTCTCATCTAGATCTACACAGAACACAGCTATTCTGGCTGCCCCAGTACTGGGCCTTCTGCAGCTGGTTCCCAGACCCACCATCCTCCTCCTGGGTCCTGACCTGGGCCTGCCTTTTCCAGGTAAGTGGGATGATTTTCTGAAGCTGAGAGACCTGGAGGGCTCTTCACTGCTCAGCAGTAATCATCTCACATCTGAGGATGGGGGCAGACACTTGGCTCTTCTTGTTCTTCCCAAAGGCGTGTCATGCCTGTGGCCACAGAGAGCTATGGATAGGAACCCATTCTTTGGAGCTAAATGAAGTGTTTATCTAGGCTGATTTTTCCACCTAGGCTCAGTTCTTAGAGGAGAAACTTCCTAACCTCAGGATTCCCTTTAAGGACATGGGACAAAAGAGTTCAAAAGATCTTCATAATAATTAGTCATTGTCACCACTAAGTAAGTATAATTTCTTTCTTTCTTTTTTTTTTTTTTTTTTTGATATCAGGGATCAAACTCACGACCTTGCTCTTACCAGGAAGTAGCAATAACTTCTAAGAACTGTTCATCTTGAAGTTCAGTGATTCGACCCATTCTTGGAAAATGACTAATTGACTCACAGCCCATGCCCTCAATTGTGAAAATAACATGCCCAAGTCACAATTAGAAAAGTCACATGTGGTGACCCATGCCTATAATTCTAGCACTCTGGGAGGCTAAGACAGGAGGACTGCAAGTTCGAGACCAACCTGGGAAGCTTGGCAATTTAGCAAGATCCTGTCTCAAAAATAAAAGAGGCAACCCACTTTTGGGTCTCCTCCTCTTTCTCAGGAGCTATTTCTCCTAATAAATTTTTCTATTTTAAAGTACATAAATAAATACTAAAAGTGGGGGAGGGTGTAGCTCAGCAAGGAAAGTCCTGACTTCAATCCCCAGTACTGCAAACAAAGGAAGAAAGCGAGGAAGGAAAGGAGGGGGAGAGCAGGAAGGCTACCATGTTTTTTGTTTTCTTTTGTCTTTTCCAGACAAGGTCTCGCTGTGCAGTTCACGCTGGCCTTGAGCTCACTTTGTAGCCTAGGCTGGTGTCAAACTCACAGCGATCCTCCTGCCTCAGCCTCCCGAGTGCTGAGACGCCTGGCAAGGCTACCATGTTATAAGTTTGCTCTGAGATACATAGGTAAGAAACATCCTCCTCAAACAGGCAAGTTTAGGGAGAGCTTCTGTCATATCTTAGGAGGATCTCATTCTTCCCCAAGGTCATCTGTAAGACTAGAAGAAAGACCACCACTCTGCAGTCTGTCCACAGAGATACCGACCAGGTCTACAGTGTTTCCCACTTGTGGGGCGGCCTCTTTGTGACCTGCAAAACATTCCATCTCATCAGGCGTCTTGCTGTCATGGGTCACTGCTTGATCTGAGTCCTCCTCAAATCAACCGTCTATTTCCTCCAGTTCCAGGAGACACCACCTTTGCTGAGGTGGATAGAGTAAAACAAGCCTCTGTCTCAGCACTAAACAATTTCATTGCTTTTGACACTTGAGAAGCCCTGGGTGGGTCCCCAATACTATTTTCTTCTTGAAATGACAAAAGGAAAACTGTTTTTCGAGAAAACTAGTCCTACTGTGTACCAGGTACTTTGCTGGATAGGTCTTAAAACTTTTATTTACAAGAATCTTCTGCTTTATGGATGCAATCTGGGAAACCATGACACACCATAGGACAGAAACGTAACAGTAAAAACACGGCAAGCGACTCCCCTGTGCTTGTCGCTGCTGTACTTCACATGTGTTGACGTCCACAGCCTCCCAACAATGTACTGTAGCCCCTTGTACTGGAAAAGCAACAGAGAAGTAAGAAAACCCACCCAGGTCCAAGTTAGAGAGCCAGGATCGGAACCCCGGCAGTCTTGACCTTATATTATAGGATCTGTTGTTGTTTTGAGATGGGAGTCTCACTCTGTAGCCCCGGCTGGCCTTGAGCTCTCAGCAATCCTCCTGCCTCAGCCTCCTGAGTGCTGGGATTACAGATGTACACCACCACACCCAGCTGTAGCTATACTCTTAAAGCTCAGAGCCTATATCTTTCTATCTATAATGCAGAGATAATATCTACCCTCTGGGTTAGTTGTAAAATAACTTTATACTTATACAGGAGTGATGATGCACTATCACTATAAATCATAATATAACCTAGTCATACTATCTATCTAAAATTTATAACATTAAAGTGCTTTAAAAATTATAAATGTCATAAAACAAATAAATGCAACCTATGGTAACAAAATCCATTTTAAAATTTTTTCCAGAGCCAGGCATGGTGGTGCACTCCTGTGATCCCAGCACTCTAGAGGCTGAGGCAGGAGGATCACTGTGAGTTGAGACCGGCCTGGATTACAAAGTGAGCTCAAGGCCAGCCTGAACTGCATAGTGAGACCCTGTCTCAAAAAGACAATAAATAATAAAGTATTTCCCAAACAATATGGTCAATTAGATACCCAAGAGATCCTCCTGATGCAAGAAATGAAAATGTATAAAGTTTTTTATGTAAAGTTTTTTATTTTAAATTCTTTTTAACTTTGTTGTTGAGCTCCTCTTTGGGTTAAAAGAGTTAACATTTCTTTTTTTTTTTTTTTTTTTTTTTGTCTTTTCCTTTTTTATAGGTACGGGGATCAAACTCACAACCACACACTTGCAAAGCAGGCACTTATGCCGCTGAGTTAAATCCCCAGCCCCCAAGAGTTAACATTTCAAAATTCATATACATCTAGTAATATCGCTTTCCAGTGCTACTGAGAGAAATTGATAAATCTCCCTCGGTGAGATATTTTACCACATCTCCCTTACTAACTGATAGAACAAATAAACGAAAATTCAGTAAGGTCATGGGCAATTGGAACCAACCAACCAATAAAATCTTATCATGTTCTAGTCACCTGTTTGTCTGCCCTGTGTCAATACAGTACTTCACTGTTTTAAATCCTACTTCACTATAGAATTAAATAAATTAACCCTTAGCCAGGCATGGTGGCCCGTGCCTTAATTCCAGCAATTGAGAGACTGAAGCAGGAAGATCACTGTGAGTTCGAGGCAGTTGGAACTGCATAATGAACCCTGTCTTAAAAAGACAAAACAATAAAATAAAATAAGTGAGTTAGCCCTTAGCATCACCCTTGGCACCTACAAGTACTTCATAAATGCCGGTGATGGTGGCGGCAGCGGTGCCTTACTATGTAGCTTTGGCCTGAGTTGAGTTACTGAATTACTTCTGAAAAATGGCCATCAATCCAAATGATTTTTTCCAGGTTGTATTGCAAACCGAATTTGAATAATGTCGATGAAGATAATTCATAAACTACAACGAACAATAAAAATTCAGGAATGACTCTTCTTACTGGTTAATTGGCATTATAAAGTACCAACTGCCAAGCTGCAGAACCGTCCAAGCAGTTGCCAGGTGGAGCAGGAGGCAAGGGACCTCGAGGGCAAGCAGTGTGGTGTGGCCCTTGGGCTAAGGGGGTATAGGAAAGAGAAACAGAAGAGGAATGGAGGGCTTCTTGCTAGGTGCTGCCTTCCCTCTGGTGGATGCGCCGGACAGCTATGTCCTTTCTGGGCGTCCTGGGGGTTAAGTCTCTCCCTAGTGAGTGTGTACATCTCTCTAACTCTGTGCACTTTTTTCCTGGAGATCCTGCCAGTCAGATAACTTTGGAAACAAGTTACCATTGTGGGCTGTGTCTTTCTTGTTAGGGGGTATTCAAGGGAGAGCTGTTTACCATACGTCAAATTGCTATGGGCGGATGACATGGAAAGGGGTGCCCATTCCTTAAGGGCCAGTTCTCTTTCAGACCATTGGGATGGCAAAGGTGGCCACTTTCCACCGTAAATCTCAGAAGTGCAGTGGGGGGAAAACTCAATGTCTAGCTCATTTATGGCACAATGATTTATCCATGGCTCTTTCCCAAAGCAACTGGAAAATGTTCAAGGCTCTGGAACGTGGTGGGAGCTTCCTTGTTTGTAGAATGAATGTTGAAAGGAGGATGTGAGGAGGGCAGCTAAATTTCAAGTGCAGTAGAAGGAGATGTGTTTTCCCCAGAGCTCCCTAACCATGGCCTTGTAATCTCCTGGAGTCTGGCATCCTCGGAGGATTAGATGTGTCTAGGAGGGAATACCATGTTGGCGTCAGAGGCTAAGTTCTCTGAAAACAGACTCAGAGACAGATGTCAAACTCCACGATGGCCTGGGAAAAACCCTGCTCCTTCGACCTGACTTGAAGCCCTGAAGAAACTATTATCATCTGAGTCAGACATCAAGCCAGAAGGGACTCACCTTCACACCCACCTCTCCTCCGATCACCAGGTTTGGGCTGCCCTGGGTCAGCTAAGGTGGACATGAAGGCGGAGACGCTGTAGGTTGTCTGCTTAATGGCACTGGCTACCTATGCACAGCAAGTTCTTCCCTGAAAGTTGGTGTCTACTCCAAACTACACGAGGATTCAAGGAGCAGCTCTTTCAGGTGCCCCTGGGCTCTTTCGGAGAGAAGAGACGAAGAATGTGAGCGGGCCAGACAGCTGCCTCCACACTGTGGTCAGCCTCAGGGCTGCAGTGGAGGTTCATCTCCCTCCTCCTCCCCTCACTTGAGCCTGCCCTGACCTCTGCCACCACTTCTACGGACCCTCATTGTCACAGTCCACATGGCCCTTGTCTCCATGCCATTCTCAAGCCAGGGTCACAGCACCTGTCCATTACAGCTACAAATGAGGACAGGGATACCAAGACACGCCCAGGTAAACGGGCTGGCATCCACACATATCCCTCCTTGCCCCCACTGGACAACAGCAGCCTTATCTGCTCTCTTTTTTTTTTTTTTTTTTCTCCAAAATTAGAGATAGACCAGATATGGTGGTGCACGCCTGTAATCCCAGCCCTCGGGAGGCTGAGAAAAGAGGATCACCGTGAGTTTAAAGCCAGCCTGGACTACATAGCAAGTTCAAGGACAACCTGGACAACAGGGTGAGACTCTGTCTCAAAAAATAAAACAAAGAAAAAATTTAAAAGACCGGGGCTGGGGATTTAGCTCAGCGGCATAAGCACCTGCCTTGCAAGCAGGCAGTCATGAGTTCAATCCCCGGTACCGATAAAAAAGAAAAAGAAAAAAAAAAAATTAAAAGACCACTGGGGATTTAGCTCAGCAGCATAAGCACCTGCCTGGCAAGTGCAAAGTCATGAATTCGATCCCCGATACCAAAAAAAGCCACAAAAAATTAAAAGACCATTACCCTCTAATTATTTTTGAAATTTTGGTTTTATTTTTTTTTCCTCTTTAAAAAAATTTAAAGATCAGGGGCTGGGGATTTAGCTCAGTGGCATAAGCGCCTGCCTTGTAAACAGGCAGTCATGAGTTCAATCTCCGGTACCAAAAGAAAAAGACAAAAAAAAAAAAAAAAATTTAAAGATCAATACTAGGGCTTGAACTCAGGGCCTCATACATGGTAGGTAAGTGCTTGCTCTACCATCACTACAATCCTATCCCCTTGCCCTATTTATAATCAGAACCAAAGGTCCCTGTTAGGATAGGAATGCCAAGACTGCTCTTCTGTGTGTGTGTGTGTGTGTGTGTGTGTGTGTGTGTGTGTGTGTGTGTATACTGGGAATCAAACATCCCCAGCCCCTCTTCTTTTTAAGACCCCTCTTCGGATGCTTGACACTAGATAAGGGGCTTACGGAAATCAGGAGGTAGACATGGATTATGAGTAAGTGCAGCTCTTTTTTGGTAAGTGTGAGACCTCTGAGGGGCAAGGACCAGGACCCTCAGCACCAAAGAGTCTCAGTTTGCTCCGACTGGATCCGCTAGTAAAGGTAAGTGGGGTCACTACTCTTGCTCTTTTTTTTTTTTTTTTTTTTTTTTGTCTTTTTCGTTTTTATCGGTACCGGGGACCGAACTCACGACTGCCTGCTTGCAAGGCAGGTGCTTATGCCGCTGAGCTAAATCCCCAGCCCCACTACTCTTGCTCTTACGCTTTGGTTCTTGTGCTCCCAGAGTCATTTTGTTGTTGTTGTTTTGTTTTGTTTTTTATTTTTTTGGGTCTCACTATATAGTCCAGGCTGGTCCTGAACTAGCTTATGCCAGCTCAATGCAACCCTCCTGCCTCAGCCTCCCAAATGCTGGGATTACAGGCGTGCACCAGCATGCCTGGATCTTAATTTATATTTTTTAAAGGATTTTTGTGGTTGTTGTGTTGAGAGCATACTCTAGGAGGCTAAATTTAGAAGAAGGAATATTTAGGAGTAGTGATACATACCTGTAACCCCACTATTTGTGAGGCTCAGGTAGGAGAATCAAAAGTTCATGGCCAGCCTGAGTAATTCAGCAAGACCCTGTCTAAAATTTGGAAAAAGACCAGAGATATGACTCTATGGTAAAAATTTTGCCTAGGTTGGGTAATGCCCTGAAATCAGTCCCTAGTCCCAAAAACAAGGAAGAGACAGAGGACGGGAAAAAGGAGAAGAAGGAAAAAAAGAGAAGGAGGAGGAGGAGAAGCAGGTAGGGGAAAGCATGGTGGCACCTGCCTGTAATTCCAGCATTCAGGAGTTTAAGGTGATGACCACTGAGTGTTCAAGGTTGGCCTGAACCATGTAGAGATCCTGCCTTAAAAAACCAAAGAAAAGGGGCTGGGGATTTAGCTCAGCGGCATAAGCTCCTGCCTTGCAAGCAGGTGGTCGTGAGTTCGATCCCTAGTACCGATAAAAACCGAAAAAGACCAAAAAAAAAAAAAAAAAAAGAAACCAAAGAAAAAAGCTGGGGGTTTATCTCAGTGGCATAAGCTCCTGTCTGGCAGGCGAGAGGTCATGAGTTCGATCCCCAGTACCAAAAAAAAAAAAAAAAAAAAGAAAGAAAGAAAAAAGAAAAGAAAAGAGCTAGACTATCATAGTAACTCAGGTTAGAGATGATAGTGGCTTGGCCCAGTATGGTTTGAGTGGCACAGGAAGTGATGTAGACTTGAGTATCTTCTGAAGATAGAGCCAGTGGATGTTGCTCACAGGTTATGAGGGACATGAGAGACAGAGGAGCTTCAGGGTACCCCAAAGTTGACCCTCAGCAAAAAGGATACTGAATTGCGGAGAACAATTGAGATGAGGAAGTAATAGAATAGAATGGTTGGGGGGGGATAGATTAGGAGTTTCGTTGTCTGTTTGCTTTTGTTTTTGTTTCTTTGAGACAAGATCTTCTGTGTTGCCCCGACTGGCTCTAACTCCTGGCCTCAATCAATCCTTCTGCCTCAGCCACTCAAGTAACTGGGGTGACATCCATGCACCACCACACCCTGCTAGGTGCTTAGTTCTGTTTGTTTTGGTTTTTTGTGTGTGTGTCTGTCTTTTTTTTTTTTTTTTTTTTTATCAGTACAGGGGACCAAACTCATGACTGCCTGCTTGCATGGCAGGCGCTTATGCCACAGAGCTAAACCCCCAGCCCCAGGTGCTTAGTTCTGAACATGTGTCTCTTGGGTTCTAAAATATCAGCATTAATTCAAAGCCAATGTCTAGTAATTCCTAGAAGGTTTGGTTGTTCCCTTTCATCTTCTTTTGAGACAGATCACAGAATGTGCTGGTGGAAATGCTGCAGGCTCCTTCCTTAGGGGACCTGGCCTCCTATTCATCAAGGATTCAGGTTTCTGATCCTGGAATCTGGAAACCAGCTGCAGGACTAAGACATTCCATTATGATAATGATCAACTTAGGCTTCTGACCATTAGACATGAGGGTTTTTTGTGTTGTACAGCTCAACAGTGTTTAATAAGCTGCCTGTCTATTTCATTCCCAGGGATCAAAGATCAAAGATCCTTGCACTTCTGCTTAACAATTCCTCCTGATCCATGTTAAGGGTAGGTCCCTGTGGCCTTTGGTAGTTCAGATCTGTCCTTGGCCTCTGCCCTTGGGGGAATCCCTCAGTCCTCAAGAAATCAGGGGACCCACTTCAGTGGTAACCTTCTCTAATATATCCAAGCTATAAAGGACATTCACCATAAAATGTATAAAGAACCTGGTGCTGCTCTCACAAATGTTTTTGCAATATCTGGGTGACAAGCGTATCTCCCACTTTCTGGGATTAGTGAGTGAAAGCAATTTGATGTGATAAATCTCAACATTTCCATTTCCATCTTTTTCGGCCTAAGCAGTTTAGCCAGAGAAATGCTGATTTCTCAGTTTCACTGATATAGGTCATGTGGAATACTAGGTTCGGTCAACCAAACAAATAAACTCAGTTACACTCAACTGCAGGACGTGGTACGTTACGTCTAGAATATCTGATACGGGTGATCACACCAATGACTCCAGCTTGACCCAGTGTCATCCCATTCCTCCCTGACTCCTCCCCAGAACTACTAACTCGGATTCTATGAGGTGGGGAGCCTAGCACCCGTCTCTTAACCGTTCCCAGGTAAATCCTATGTAGTCAACTGAAACCCACCCGAAGAATAGCATTTAGGAATCACTGGTCTAATCCCCTTTCCTGCTGTCAGACTAGAAACCCAAACTCAAAAAAGAAAGTGGTGGCAAAATCAAGAACAGAGCTTGGTCTCCTGACCCTTTAGGTAGATCTGCTCTTCCAGTCCAGCTTTGTAATAAGCCTGGAGATAGGTAAGTGACCACACACCTAGCAGGTACAGGGCCCTGGGTTTGATCCTCAGCACCTTGAAAGAGGAACGAAAGGAAGAGGGAGGGAATAGGATGGGATGGGAAGGAGGGAGATAAAGAGGGAAATAATGTTGGTTTATCCAACCATAAAGAGTATACATAGATTTGGTTCAGACCTGACCCTTGTGCAGAGGCTGAAATCATCAAGATTGCTTTTCTTTTCTTTTTTTTAGATTTTAGTCCTTTTTTTTTTTTTTCTTTTCTGTATGGGGATTGAACCCATGACTCTATCCCTGCCAGGCAGGTGGTTACACCACTGAGCTAAATTCCCAGCCCAAGTTTTTAGTCTTTCGAGTTAAGATCTCACCATGTAGTTCAGGATGGCCAGCCTTGAACTCACTGTATAGCCCAGGCTAGCCTTAAACTCAGGGCAATCCTCCTGCCTCAGTCTCCCAAGTGCTGAGATTACTTGCATGTGCCACCCCCCTGGGCAAAATTGCTTTTTACTCTCTCCAAACATGCAGTGCTGTTTCCTCTGAGGGCCTCTATCCTGGGCTGTCTGTGCCTTCAGGGCTATATTTTCAGGTACTTGCACACCATAGGACAGACAACCTTGGTCTCAGCACTCCTAGTCAAAGTCTCATTGGCTAAAGTTGAGCCCAAAACACTGCAACAAAGAGGAGCTGGAGAAATGTGCTAAGGTTCTGACATTCACTTTGGTCACGTGCCCCAGCCTGAGTCAGGTTACCCAACTCTGCAAGCAGTCTGAGTGGAAGAGAGAGAGAGCCAAGATCAGAGCATAAGTACTAGGAGAAAAAGGAGCAATTGCTGGACACCAAAAGCCACACCTGTCCATGGCACTAGGAAGATCAGGGAAGCTGAAGGTGACAGTGGAGAAAGTAAAAAGTAAAATCCAGTGATCTTCTTAGTTATTCATGTATTGGTGCTGGGGATTGAGCCCAGGGCCTTATGCAAAGCACATGCTTTAACACTGAGTTACACACCCAGCCCTATAGTTATCTGCTGTACTTACTAAGAATGGTGGTTATAATGCCCCCCTTTTGCTATATCTGCCCAGCTCTCAACCTCCACCTCTGGAAGTTGCCCTCCTCAGATATAAAAGGATCGATTCCTATGACTAAGGATGTTCAGTGTGATAAAACACATTTGTTATGGATTAAGAACTGGTGGTCAACAATGTCAGCTGGATTACACCAGCAGGGCACTGAGCGTAGACGTTCTACCTGAGGAAAGATGCCAGCATAAATAGAGATGTGGAGAAGGAGAAGCTATTGGGTTGAGGCACTGTGGGTTCTCCTATGTGTGGCTGTTTGAGCCGCTGGTTCTCCTGGAGAAGCTCTGGTCCTCACATCAAGCATTGCTTCCTGGCTCTGGAGGGGAAGACGTGTGCTGCTTGGTCTCCAGGATGAACTCGTCATGCTGGCTTCCTGGCATGTACTCAATTGTGCTTATCGTCAGAGGAGCTTGGGGCTTCCGTGTCACTAAGGATGACTGTGGTGCCTTTCAGGACATCCCAGGTCTTTGTTGTGAGTGTGATTTCTCGGCTCCAGCATAGAACCCTCATCCCACCAGCACAGCTCCTTCACCCCACTGGCATGGACTTTCTGGCTTCCACCACTGACCATTAGGCCTTCCTGGCACAGATCCATAAAACAGATTGGTGAGTCCTTCTTGTGGCTCTAGACCTCCAGTTGGACTCCTGGGAGGCATTGTCATGAGCTCTGGGTTTTCATCTGGACTCATGTGGGACATTGCTGTGGGACTTAGGTCCTTGACTAAATATTCTGTGTCTTTGGTGTTGTGGGTAGATTTCCTGCAGTTTCTTGTGTTAACTCTGGGTGACCATCATAAAACAATATTATAAACTCCATGTCCTGATTCTAATTGTTCTCTGCACAACCCCTGACTACAAACAACCTTCCTGACCGCAGCTCAGTAGCTGCCTTAGAACTGCCTAAAGCAGCCCCTACTTCAGTTATCAAAAGTATCCAAAATTTGTTAAGGATTTGTTAAGGATTCCCAGACTGAGGGTGAGGCTCAGCAGTAGCACCTTACTTTACTAGAGGTCCTGGGTTTAATCTCCCACACAACAACAACAAAAACTAAACCATGTACATCTGTCACTTGGGACCAATGCTCAGCACTCCATAGTGTAAACTGTCGCCTTACAGGTCTGCTCTCATATCTGTCACTCTTCAGTCCCGGGGAAAGAAACACTTCTGCACAGAAACAGCTGTTCTCAAGGCCACAGGAGCTCACAGGGTGCGTCCCTGATGCAAGAGATAGGCGCTGTTTGGAGGGCAAGGAGATCTGGGTGGTGAAGACACCAAGGTAAGAGAACAGACACACTGAATAGCTGGTTGAATCCTCTCTCACACAGAAGGAAGTGTTGTTTCCTGCAGTACCAAGGTGTTCGTTTCCTTGCATCACTTCCTGTTCCAGTGTGGAGCATGGTATTTGCAGTAGGCTGGCTGAGGATTGTTTTTCAGTACCGGGGATGGAACCCAGAGCCTTGCATGTCTAAGCAAACCCTCTACCACTGAGCTGCACTCCCAGTCATTTGAGGAGCACTCTGCAATAACAGGCTGTATGTTTTACCTTTATGTTTTTTGTTCTTGTGTTGGTTGCTTTCTCCCTTGCTGAGACAAAATTAAGGAGCAAAAGATTTATTTAGTTCTCAGTTTGTGGAGATTTTAGCCCATAATCTGAGAAGTCCAAGGCACAGTGGCATGGCAGAGGGCAACAGTTCATGGCAGAAGACACCAAAAACTACAAGAGCAAAGTGGGAGGAGCATGAAGACAAGACTCTTCTGTCCCTAGGGCGGCTGGGTATAGCACTCATCCCCATAATTCCAGCATTGGACCTAGATTCTAGATTCTAGATTATGCTCCCATAACTGCATGAGGCTTTGGGGTGGGAACATTCAGACACAAACCATAGCAATTTTGTTTTGTTTCTTGATGGAAGGTCTTGCTATGTAGTTCGGACTGGCCTTGAACTGTTAACCCAGGCTGGCCTCCAATTCATTGTAATCCTCCTGCCTCAGCCTCCTGAGTGCAGGAATTACAAATAAGGACAACCATGTCCAGTTTAAAATAAATTTTAAAAGGTATAGGGTCACACAGGGTGGCACACACTTGTAATCCCAGCACTCAGAAGGCTGAGGCAGGAGGATTACAAAGAATTTTAGGACTTCCTAGGCTACATAGTGAGTTCAAGGCCAGCCTGAATTACATGGTGAAATCTTGTTTCAAAAAAGAGGGGTGGAGAGAGGTTGTAGGTCAGTGTGAAGTCCTGGGTTCATTCCCTGGTCTGGAAAGAGAAAAAGGAAGAGAGCACAAGGGAATGGGCAGGGGGGCATGGTGGCACATACCTGTACTCCCAGTACTCAGTGAAGCTGAGGCAGGCAGTAATAAATTCAAGGCCAAACTGAGTAAGGTAGTGTGTGATCCAGTCTCCAAATTTTTAAAAAGTGGGAGAATTATCACACCCAGTGTCAATAAACTCTGAAAGCAGAAATCTTATTTGTTTATTCACTAGCAACATGAAGGTGCTTAAAAAAAAAAAAAAAGGTTTCACAGTGTCTCCTGCCTGGCTGCTCTCCCCGCCCAGTGAGCCCCAGACTGCAGCACTGGCGCCTGGCTGTACCCAGAACCATAGCCCTGGAGGGCGGGGACAGGCGCTGGAGCCAGGCTGTTGTTGTGGCGATTCTTTCCCAAAACGGAAAGAGCCTGAATTAGAGGGAGCTGCAGCTCTGATGTCTGCGGGGCTCCCCGAGGCCAGTCCAGCCAGCGCCCCTCTCTCAGAGCCCTCCCCTCTCTGCAGCCCCTCTTACTGCTGAGCCCTACCAATCAATCCCATCCTGGGCAACTCCGCCCATCCCCGGTCTCTTGCCCTCCTTGAGACCCTGACCCCTGCTGTCCTCTTAGCCCAGGGCTCCCTTTCCCCAGCGGATCCCAAATCCCCTCCAGGCCCTGCTGAGGTTCCTTGTCCTTTGAAGCTTCCCACCCCAGCAGAACAAATCACACACCCCCATCCTCCCCGAGTCATCTGCTTTGTTCATCTTTCTGCCACAGTCCTCTCTGCTCTAATCCACCCTTCACGCATCCCCTCCACATCCCCAGGCTGAGCTCCTGAGCCCAAGCCACCTCTGACCCATCTGTGGCCCCTGGCACAGCGCAGGTGTTCCAAATGATTTATCGCCAGCAGCTGGCGACTGGAAAACCCATTTATCCCAGAAGTGTCCAGAAGGTGTCGGTTCAAGGAGAAAGCTGAAGAGTCAGGCAAAGCCAGCATCTCCAGAGCACCCTGAGGTGCAGGTGCTTTCTCAGGCCCTGTGTCTTGGCGTCCTCTTACAGCCCATGAGGGAGGTCTCCTCACTCCCATGAGGTGGAAGGACAGGCAGAGAGGTGCGCTTCTCACAGGAGGAGGCCACAGTTAAAATCAAAGGCAGGACTGAGGTGTGGATGGCTGTGGTGTGGGGTAGGGGACACAGGTCTCCCCTGTGACTGTGTGGATGTGGGGTCTTAGCCAGACCTGAAGAGCCTCCCCACAGGGCTCACTGTTCCCCACACTCCATCCTGCCATCACTTTCTCTTGAAAGGAGCCAGTTCTGACTCAGGCCCATTCCTGAGAGAGGTGACGGGAATGAGGTTGGAAATAGGAAGGAAACAGCCCGCAGACTTGGCCTCCTGGCTCCCCAAGGTAGGGCAGGAAGGAGCCACTTTAAGGATCTCCCTAGGGCCCATGACCAGAAGCCACAGTCCGGTTCCTGGCAAGCACCGCTGAGAGATGAGGCAGGCCAGGCAGGCAGCCCACCTCACCCCCTCAGCAGGCACCTCCTCTGCCTCCCCCAACTCATTCAGTGCCCCTCACCCAGAAAGCCACTCCTGTTCACCACTCCCTAGGCCCGGCTCTGCATGTGTGGTCTAGCATCTGTGTCTGTTTCCTGAACTCTGCCCATTATGTCCTGCAACAGGTATGTCACCCTCGGGCAGGACTGCTTGGTGCAAGGCTTCCTTCCCCCAAGGAGACCCATGCTGACTGGCCATGCTGACTGGACTCACTGGGCTCCCAGAGTGGGCAGCAAGCATTGTGGAGGAAGCCAGGATCACTTCTGACAGGTTGAGGGTGAGTCACCCCTCAGACAGCACCTGTGTTGCCCTCTGGAATCCCCTCTTTTTGAGGTCTAACATGTCCTTGATCCCAGAATGAGCTGTGAAGCTCCCCTCCTTCCACCCAGTCTGGATGATCCTTTCAGACCAAAGGGGATGGGGGTTGCCTCAGTCAGACACCACAGCCCCATCCTCCCCCGGCAGGCCAGGTTTCCTGCCATTGACAGCATCCCAGCTGGGCCAGCCAGCCTCTCCCAGCTTAACCCCTTCATGCCCAGACTTCAGAGCTACTGGCCGGTAACCCCACCCATGCTTGTGAAATTAGGAGACTGAAAGAACCATTTCACTGGGTCATTCTGAGGATTAAATATGCTGGTCATTGTGCAGAGCCCTTGGAACAGCCCCTGGGATATATTAGACCCTCAGTAAAGGTTAGTTATTATTCCTCATGGTGTGTGCTTTGATAATTCTGAGCCTCAGTCTCTTCAGCTGCAAATGGGAAAAATAATAAAACTCTTCCTCAAAGACTGTCCTCAGGATTAATTTTGAAAATGTACCTGAAAACCTTTGGTAAAGTGCTAGAACAATACAATATAGAACTATCATAGACAAAGACAAGATAGAAAAAAAAAAACAGGCGAGCATGGTGGCACATGCCTATAATCAGCACTCAGGAGGCTGAGGCAGGAGGACCATTGATTGCCATTTTAAAACCAGTCTGGGCTACATGGTGAGTTCAAAGCCAGCCTGAACTATATAATGAGACTTTGTCTCAAAAAACCAGACAAACAAAAACTCTCCCTTTAACTAGATACAGTAACAATCTCTTAGCAGATGGCCTTTGGGTTGTCATACTCATTACCTTGCTGACAGGCAGAGGGTTCAGAGGAAAGAGTAGACTTGGAAATGGGCTCTGGATTGTCGCCTTTTCTGTTCATTTCCTTAACAGTTAAGTGGAGCTGGTCTCCCGCTGCGCCCAGGTCTAGAGTCCACACAGGGGGCCCAGGGAAATCTGAGAGCACAGGAGTGAACATGCTGTGCTAACATTAAAAAGTGCTAGAGGTGGGGAGAGGACTTGAGCTAGGCGACCAGTTAGAAGGGGCCAGGACCCTTGGGAGGAGCCCTGGTTTTAAATCCCAGGTGTGTGGAGCCATTTAGCTAGAGGGAGTTGGGAGGGGGGGCTCTCTTGTGGGGTAAATCTTCTCTTTGAGATGAACATCCTCCTAGACCGGGTGTGGTGGTGCATACCTATAATCCCAGCACTCGGGAGGTTGAGGCAGGAAGGCATTTCGAGTCAAGGCCAGCCTGAACTTCATACTGAGACCCTGCCTCAAATAACAACAACAAAAAAATCCTCCCAGAAGAGACTGTCTCAGCTCTAGGAGTCCCCCTGTGGGGTAAGAGGAGGAAGGTGGCCAAAAGATAGAGGTTTGGGCCCAGAAACCTCGCTCATCATTGTCCTTCTGGCCTGCTGGTCCCTCTTGCCATCAGGGAACAATATGCAGGGGCACCTGCAAAGGACTCAGTTTTGCTAGGCCAAGCTCACCTTCGGATCTGTAGTACTAGTGCCCCAGCCTTGGGCTGCAGATGCTTGGACTCGCCCCTAGGGAGAGTAGACTTGGCCTAGACCTGCCACAGACGGAAAAAAGCAAGTGGGCTAGAACCCTGCTCTGTCTTCCAGCCCACTGTCCCCTATCTGCCACGGCTCAGCAGAGCCTCCCAGTCAGCCTTCCTGCCCCAGGCCTCTGGAGGGAGCCTGAAGACCCAGAGACCTTGCTTGGAGCCCTAGCTCTGCTCCCAAATTTAAGGCACCTCCAGGGCAAACCATTTAACCTGGAGGGGCCTGTTTGAGCACCAGTAATATAAAGATAGACCTAGTTCCAAGTCCTTTCACTGAGCTGCGCTGCGATCAAGGAGTTAACTGAAGCCAGGCTCTGGGTCAGGAAGGGTTAATCTGGGGAGGTGGGGGTGGAGGCTCAGCTTTTCCTGTGGAGAATGAGTGAGGTTTGGCTGCCACCAAAGTTACTTCTGGTCCCTGCTGTCCCTCCTGCCTTCAGTCTGGACCTGCCCAGGGACCCCTGCAACTTAGCCTCCTCACCCAGAGGTGAGTGTATCCTGAGCCCAGTGCTGGGGGGGGGGGGGGAGCGTGCAGGGGCCTGCTAGTCCCAAGCCACTGACCTAGAAGCCAGCCCAGGCCCAGAGTCCAAGCCTTGGCAGAGTTGGACTGGGACTGTAAGAGGACAGGCAAAGGGACCAAGGGGACAAGGACTGCCATCAGGCTTCCAGGGTAGGCCTGTCTGTGGTCTAGCATTAAAGCCTGCCCAGAGGCAGGAGACAGCAGATTATTTTGGTCCTTGTATTTAGGGACTTTTTATAGCCTCCCTACTTAGGGACAGGGAGAAGAGGAGGGGACAGAAGACCTATGAAGTCAGACAGTGTTCCCTCCTGGGACCTTGGAATCTGACCCACTGTCTGTACAGCCCCTGGGAGAAGACAAGAGGGACACTACCAGGCAGTCCTTGCTGTCTGGGCTCCGGTCACCAACTGCTTCTGAGCAGACTCACTGTGAATTAGATGAGCAGGGGTGCTGGGGGGTTGAGAAAATTTGAACAGGTTAGGCCTGGGGGTGGGCAGGGTGTCTGCCCCCAGACCTTGGAGGGGGGCACACCTAACACGTTCCCCTTGCATCTCTGGCTGGTCTATTTCTTTGTTGCCTCCAGATCTAAGTTTCCCTGAGTCCCTAGCACTAATGTGACCTTCTTAGCTGCTGGGGGATGGGGTGAGTAGGGGGACAAGGATGGGGTGGGATGGGATGTGCTGAGCCTTGTGGGTGGCCCATTCTTTTAACTACCAAGGAAACTGTCAGCTTTTGATTTACAACCCCTCCTTGCCCCTTTCCCCAGCACCAGGGAGGTGGAAGAGAGAGAGAGAAGGGTCAGAGGTCTCAGGATGAGAACACAGCAGGGAGCCTGAGGGCAGATTTCTGGGCATTCGAGTTACAGAGAAACAACCGTGAGGCTCTCTCAAACGGTAATCACTTGGTTTTACAGTAGCAGGAACAGAAGCAAAATACCAGAGGGAAGTCCTCATAGCTGAGCAAGGGATCCATTCTGAGTTGGTTCTGGACCATCAGCAAAAGACTTGGGTTCCAGTCCAGATCCCTAATTCTCAGAAGCAAGCCCCCTGTTCTTTAGGCCAGTTTCTGGTCTATGACACAAAAATGCAGAAACTGGATAAGGTGATGTTTACAGCATGGCTTTCTGGAATCCCCTTGGCTTTGGTACAGAGGAGCTGACAGTAACAGGCAGTCGTGACCTAGGGACCACCTCCTGCTCCTTCCTGGATGGCCCTGCTAGACCTGGGCGGGACAGTTAGCTACAATTACTGGAGGCTCCTACCCTATGGTTATAGCCCTGACCTCGCACTTGGGGCAGGAAGGGTGGGCCTGTGGGGCCAGCCTGTGGCTGGACTCACAGTCTTGGGTTTAAAGCTGCAGGATTGGGAAGAGGTATTTTTTCCGGTTAAGGCTACTTTTGGGAATTGGGCTGTGACCAGCCCCACTTCCTTTTCCAAGTGTCCTGCCTGTGAACACCTCCTTGCACGGCCCTGTGGGACACACGGTGGGGGGACCCACAAAGGGCTATGTTTCTTAGGAGCCAGAGTCTTCCCTCACTGTCTCTCAAGGGTAGGGGAAGGCATGGCCTGAACCTGTCCTCCTTGGACATGGACCTGGCTGACATGGGTGGGGGCTGGGTGTTTAGCTGATTCTATACCTAGGAATGCCTGAGAGGGGCAGGGATATCTCCCAACCATTCCCCTCTCTTTGCAGGTCTCAGGGAATCTCAGCCAATTGCTCTGGGCTACTCCCTAAGTGCGCCTCCAGCGGTTTATGGGGCACTGTCCTGCCCAGCTCTGCTAAAATGCTCCTGGCCTCGCCCTCCACCCCATCCAGGGGACGGACCCCCAGCGCAGTGGAGAGGCTGGAGGCCGACAAAGCCAAGTACGTCAAGACGCACCAGGTGATAGTGCGGCGCCAGGAACCCGCTCTGCGGGGGACTCTGGGGCCACTCACCCCGCACGTGTGCAATGAGCTGGGTTCCCCTACATCGCCCAGGACACCCGGACCCGCCCGCCGGGGCAGCGGCAGGCGACAACCAAGGCCAGACTCCCTCATCTTCTACCGCCAGAAGCGGGACTGCAAGGCTTCGGTGAACAAAGAGAACGCCAAGGGCCAGGGGCTGGTGCGCCGCCTCTTTCTGGGCGCCTCCCGGGACAACGCCCCGAGCAGCCCTGGCCCAACCGAGCTACCGGCAGCTCCCGGGGCTTGGGCGGCGCCCCAAGATGTCGCGGAGACTGCGGGAAAACGGCCGCTGTGCCCCACGTGTTCGCTGCCTCTGTCGGAGAAGGAGCGCTTCTTCAACTACTGCGGCCTGGAGCGCGCGCTGGTGGAGGTGCTGGGCGCCGAGCGCTTCTCTCCGCAGAGCTGGGGCGCCGACGCCAGCCCCAAGGCCGGAACGTCGCCGCCACCTGGCTCCGGGGACACCAGCGACTGGACATCCAGCGAGGGGGGCGCGGGCAGCCCGGACTGTGCGGCCGGCGCGGGCGGCGGCTCGGAGGCGGCTGGCTCTGCCCGGGATGAGCGGCCCCCGGTGTCGGTGGTGGAGCGCAACGCGCGCGTCATCCAGTGGCTGTACGGCTGCCAGCGCGCCCGCGGCCCGCCGCGCGAGTCCGAGGTGTGACCGCCGCCGCTCGGGAGGCGGCTCCGGGATCGCTCGGCACGCGGGGCTGGACCACGCGCACGGCGAGCTGGGCAAGCCCTTCCTCGGGGTCTCCGTTGCCCTCTCCGAACCTCGGGAGGAGAGGTAGGACACAATGAGCCCGAAGTCCCTCCCAGCGCGGGCGGTGGAGAGGGACGGAGCGGCCTCGAGACCCCTGCGGAGGAGACCGGGTCTGGGGAACGCTGATTAAAAAAGAGAGAGCTGTGCAAACCTACTGAATAAAGCTAAAACGGTATTTAAATGGGTCTTGAGTTTGGATTTGGGGGCAGGTGTTGAGGAAGGGGGTGGTGAAGGGTGTGGGTTTGGAGAGTGGGTCTCAGGCTGAAACCCTGGGCAACTACACAGCCTCTCTGAACCAAAGCTGCAGCCCTCGGCTGTTAAAGAGGGGACAGGGTAGTAGATAAGTAAAATGTCTTGAAATTATTGTAATGCACGTGGCAGTGTGCCTGGAATATACAAAGTGCTCAATAAAGAATGGCTGCTTTGACTACTACGAATTTAGTACTAACACTACTGTGATCTTTTCTGTCACTGACCATCACGTCGACCCAAACTGGACCTGAAAACTGAGAATAGTACATTTGGAGATACCTAGGGAAGGGTCTGCTCCGACAAATCCGGGGTCCGCCGGCCGCTACATGGCTCCTATTCCGGAGCTTTGCTGCTCCCTTGTGGTCAGTAGGTATGAAGGATTGAAACGTGGAGGATCGCAAATTAAGGTCACTAAAAGAAAGGTACAGGCTTTTTCCAGCTGGAAACCTCCCATCTTGCAACTCTCTTCCTTTTCCTTCGAGGACACATAAAGTCGCCTGTTTTCTTCACAAATCCGCATCTCTCCTCTTTCCGCCCAGATTCCCACTCTCCCTTCTAGGATGACATATTATTCTTTTTTTGTCTTTTTCATTTTTATCGATACCAGGGATCGAACTCACGACTGCCTGCTTGCAAAGCAGGCGCTTATGCCGCCGAGCTAAATCCCCAGCCCCTAACATATTATTCTTTAGGAAGCTTTTCCGAATTCTCAAGCAATCTCACCTTCTGACTTACCATTAGCACCCCTATTTTCATGTCGAATGTGTCACATTCTGTAGCACCTGCTAACGCTGTGTTCTGTTTTGGCTGTGATCTGTCCATAACGCAAGGACTACGCAGGCAAAAGGCCCGCCTGTAACGTTTGTTCAACTAAACAAAGCTGGACAGGACGCTAAAGCCTGTCCTCTGGGTACCCTCTGCTTTCTAGGAAGTTGTGCCTTAACGCTAAACAGCCTCCATCCTGATACCTCGGCTGTCGCTGGGCATTGCCCACCTGCAGCTTCGTAGGGAAATAAAGAAGGACCTCTCCAGACAGATTGCGCTGGGGCCGCCTACCCCAACGCTGTTTTTGCCACTGTCAGAATGAAACCACGCTGACACATGAGGTCTTGGGCCAAGGGTACTTTTTAACAGGGTGGGGAAGGGCGAGTTCCAGTTTGGCCTGCCCACTAGTCGCCCTTGGGGGGCGCGGCCTTCACTCTCATCTCGGCCAGTTTGTGGGTGAGGAAGCCCCACTTGAAGCCGGCCGCGGGGTCCGCTTCCCTCGGCCCGGGGTGCTCGACGGCCTCCTGGGCGGCCTCGTCCCCGGGTTCGGGGTCCGGGTCCCTGCTGGGCTCGGCGCCGCGCAGCATGGACGCCGCCGCTGCTTGCTGCTGCTGCCATCTGCTGGCGAACGCGTCCCAGAATCCCGGGCCACGCGGTTCCGCCTCCGCCGCCGCCTGCGAGGGGGGCGGTGCCGCCAGCGGGCTGCGGGAGAGGGGCGGGGTAAGAAGCCTGGCAGGACAGTCCGGGAAAGGGACAAAGGACATCAGGAGGCGGGGACAAGGGACCAGCAGTGGTGCTGGGAGGGTCAGGGCGAGGTCAGGCCTGGAGGCAAAGGGAGGGTTTAGAGCTGTGGGAAAGAGGGCAGAGGTGGGGCGGGGTCAAACAGGAGACTGGCCTGGGGATGAGGGACCGGGATCCCCGGGGAGAGAAGCTAGGAGGTTTGAGAGGGGATCCCGAGGCTGAAGGGGCGAGACCAGCGGGAGGGCAGCCGGAGGCCCCAAGTCTGGGAAGGCGCCCTGAGAGGGTTTGGGGCTGGATGAGTGGGAGCCCGGCACCGGGTGGGGTGGGTTCCTTTAGATCCTACTGGAAGGAAAAGAGACAGGGTGGGGAGGGATCCAGCCCCTGGATAGAGGGAAGTAAGGACCAAGGACATGAGAGGAAAAACGATGGGGCGACTCTAAAGAAAGAGAAAAGCCTAGATGAGAAGCTGGAGGAAGGTAAACTTGGGGTGGTGGGCGTGGTAGGCGGGAGATGGGAAGGAAGGGCAGTCATGGAGGGGTAGGAGGTTTGAAGCTGGAGCCTCAGGTCTCTGAGACGTCTTGGGACCTAGGAGGGAGAAGGTGAGGAATGTGGGGGTGGGAAGAAAATGCGGGGGGCAGGAGAGAGGGATATGTGGGGATGGGGGACCCTGAGCACAAAGAAATGACCAGGCTGGAGGAAAGGGTAGAGATGCAGTGTGTAAGAGAGGTGGAACCAGGGGGTAAACTGAGGCTCTGAGTCCCACCCTCAGCTCTCAACATTAAAGACCGCTAAGGATCACGAGGAGTTCTAGGCCAGCCTGGACTATGTAGCGAGACGCTGCCCCCCCCAATAAAGAAATACATAAATAAACAAGTAAATAAATAAAAATTAAATAAAACACACCAAACCCTGTGCCTCGGGGTTTCCTGGGACCCCCAGCTTCTGTCTACACCTAGTGAATTCCAATCTTTGAAGGAGGGCCCAGGAATCTGCAAACACTTGAAGGCCCTCCTCTGTGTCTGGATTCTGGGAAAATGGCCCTTATGGGAAGACAGCCATAAACACCTTCCAGCACCTAAATCCCAACAGCTGGTAAGTTCCTTGGCAGATCTAATTTAATCTCCCAGATACCAACGTGGCTCTGCCCTGCTGAGAGAAATGAATGGGCAGTATCCTCTGATCCTCTGTGGTTAGAAAGACAGACCAAGGACCTGAAAGAACTGACCAAAGAGGGGGAAAAGAGGAACCCCAGGTGCCACCCAAAACCACCCCCTAAGCACACACACATACTGGTCAGCACAGGGCTCCTTTGGCAGCAGTTTGTCCTCATCTTCTTTGTTAAACAGAGATGACATGGTCAGCCAGCCTTTCACCCCGACCCCTTGAACCTGGGAGGGATGGGCTGGGTGTCAAGGAAGACCCCCAGCACAGTCTGTCTGGGCTCCCCACCAGCTTCTGCTGGTTTTCCCTGGCTTGGGATGGGAAAAGGGAAAGGAACTCACCCGGCGGGCCAGCTGTGACATGGCATTGAAGGCATCTTCAGTGGGTTCTGCTGTCTCAGATGCCACTAATGCTGGGTTCTCCCTCTGGGACACAAGAGCACCACCACCATGAGAGAAGCTCCAGAGAAGTGAGACCTCACTCCTCACTGCTAAGCAGATACAGACCAGGCACCCCACAACCCGTAAAGTAAGCACACACCTGGACTTCTCACACTTCCACAGGGCACATGGGGGTCACACAGATGTGCCTCTGCACAAAGCCACCACTCACATACACAGACATAGCTATAGGGCAAAATCCCTGCAGGTCCCTAGAGCACACAAAGCTGCCTTCCTGCTGACATGTCCAAAACATGGACAGGGCTGCCCAGTGGTGTAGACACACATTTGTAGAAGAGCATCCCTTCACATGGCCACAGCTCTTCACCTGAGCACAGATGTGCAGTGAGCCCCTTTACAGGGACACGCGTGCAATTATACATTCACACTTACGTGCTTACACTTTACACAACTGCACGTAGCTGCACAGAGGCTCATCCATAGCACACAAAACCTCTCCACCCATTTACAGACACCCAAATGCACATACCATACATGTGACACCTACAAATGCCAGCCCAGAGATGCAGGCAGATTCCTGCCCCAAATTCGAACACCTGAAAATACCTAGACTCCGCTCACACCTGCACATCTACCTTCTCTGAAGATTCTACCCAGATGCCAACCTCACGATACTTCTGCCCAGCTTTGGACACCAACCTGTTTAGACCTGCAAAGCACTAGCTCTTGCCCCTGCCACATCTAATTGCATCACTTCTGTTTATCACAGCCTCTAGACCTAAGAGAGTTCTTAGTTTCAGAGCCTTTTTGGTTTTGTTTTTTTTTCTTGCACCAGGAATCAAACTCATGACCTTGTTGTACTTGCCAGGCAGGTGCTCTGCCACTGAGCTATACCCCCAGCCCTGATTTCTTTTTTGGATTGGGTCTCACTATGTTGTCCAGATTAGTTTTATTTTGGGGAGAAAAATTTTTAAAAAAGAGAAAGAAATTTTGGGCTCAAGCAACCTTCCTGCCTCAGTCTCCCAAGCAGCTGGGACCACAGGTACATGCCACCACTCCTGTTGTTGTTTAGAACCGGGAATTGAACTCATGACCTTGCACTTGCTGGACAGATGCTGTGCCGCTGAGCTATATTCCAGGTCTCTTGTTTGTTTAACTGTTTACAAATCAGAGTAAAGCATGGTTTAAATATAGCTTCACATGAGGCTGCTAACGTGGTCCTCAGTGTACCAGGTGCTCGTTCTCTAACTCCAGAAACAGGGAGCTCACTATTTGTCAAGGCAGCTGGGTGTGGTGGCGCACGCCTGTAATCCCAGCACTCCCAAGGCTGAGGTAGAAGGATCCTTGCAAGTTCAAAACCAGCCTGGGCTACACAGTGAGCTCAACACCAGCCTTAAATGCATAGAAAGACCCTGTCTCAAAAAGACAAAAAACAAATTACTATCTTGTAAGACAAGCCCATTTGGCTCAAGGCTACCATTAGAAAGTTGGGTCCAGCTAAGAGTACCCCATGAGGCTACTGCCTATTGGTCCTAGAAGAATCTGTTCCATATGGCAGCCCTTGAGACCCACAGAGACAGTGGTTGCTTCTCTTGGGACCTCTTGGTGGTCACTCTTCTCTTCCTCTTCAGTTTTTTCAAGCATCATGGCTCTGAGATACCATATCCTGCTGTTTGCTATCCTCGAGGGTGCAGGACTTCTGCACCAATGTGCCTCCTCTTCTCTCAGAACCTGTCTGTAGCCCCTCTGTACCTCTCATTGCTGCTCCCCCTCTGCCCACGCCCCATTTTCAGGCATAGAAGGGTACCCACCTCGTCTGCCAGGTCCTCCTCAGATTCCCCACTCAGGGTCTGTAGCACTTTGGACTTGTAGGTTTTCCAGAAGGCCTGGTTCATAGTTGAAGGATAAAGAGTCCCGGGACCCAGGCAAGAAAGTTGGTGGCTTGGTGGGTATCAGTAGGTCTGGCTTCAGGAACTTGGTAGAGCCAAAAGCTTGTCCCAGGTATTGAGTGACTTCATTAAAGATGCACCAACTTCCCGAGCTAGCACAGTGCCCAGCAGGTGAACCTGATCCAAAGGAGTCTGAGGGGTGGGGGGAGGCATCCCTTGTCTTGACCTACATTGGCCAAGGATAATGAAGACATCTCTCTGGAAAGGTTACCTCCCTGGGCCTAGGAATATGTGAGTTTGTCAGGTCTTCAAATGGTTCCAGAGAAATCTTGCATTCACCAAATCCTTAGGGTAGGACCTACCCTGGCAAGGTCTGTGACTATAGTTACTCCAATCATGCTCTGGGCAGGGCCCCACCATATGTCCCCTCTCAGGCTCCTCAAACCAGAGTGGGAAATTCCCTAGGTCCCTAGTCGGCATCCTGGTTTTACATTTCACTGCTTTGTCTGCCCTAGATACTTAGTCCTCTCCCTGGGGATGCATGTGCCGGTCTCCCTGTTCCCTGGCAACAAGTTCCAAAGAACTGGAGCCTCTGAATTATTGCTGAGCTCTTTGGCCCAGCCCAGTGGAACTGGCTCTGGCCAGCCTGGGAAGCCCCAGGCCCTCTCTGCATTCACCATACAACACCGCGGCTGTATGTCTGCCCTTGTTGCCAGTCCTCCTGTAGGAGGCCATGCTCATGTTCTCTCCTCTGGGTGTCTTCTGGGCTCCTTTCAGAAAGCAAAAATAAGGCTTTGCTTCTAGGGTACCTCTGTTTTGTTGTGGCTGTTTGTTTCTTTTGAGAGGGTCTCACCATGAAGTTCAGGCTGCCCTTGAACTCACTATGTAGCCCAGGCAGGCCTCAAATTATCTGTGATTCTCCTGCCTCAACCTCCTGAGCACTGGGATTACAGGTGTCCACCACCATGTCCGGTTTTAGGGCACAACTTCTTACCAAACAAGCTGAACCCTCCCTCTTACCTGACAGGGCTCCAGAATGCTGGGACCTCTGGGCAGGAAACTCCCTCCCCCTGGATTGGGGGGGAGGGTGCAGATGGAGAAAAGAGACGCAAGGGAATGAATAATGGAACCATGAGAAATAGTAAAGGATTTGTCAAGGGTTGGAGGTATCTTTAGGGCGAGGACCCCCAAACTTACCCTAAACATTTATTAATTTATTTAAATCACAGATATTATCTATGCCTTTCGAGAGGTGGCTACAGCATCTCACACCCATTACGGAGTCTTAAGGTATGGAAAGTAGGAAGGAATTTCAGGTCCACCTGGAAATGGACAGAGGTGCAGGACAAGCCCCAAGCCTTCCAAGCACATGCTACATACACCCTGTCCCGAAGCTGAAAACTAAGGCTTCTCCCCAGGTGTGAACAAGTTTCTTTTAGCTGCGCCAGGAGTCCCGTCAATAACGTCCATTGCCGCCTGGGGGCGCTCAAGTAGCGGGCCTTGAGAGTGACGTCATCAGAGGCGGTCGGGTCGATCCTGCTCCGCCCCCGGGCGGCTCATGACGTCATCGAGCGTTCCGGAAGTGTCAGGCACGTGTGGTCCCTCGCAGCTCTCGGCCCCTTGGCCTTGCTGTCACTGGCCATGGGTCGCTCCCGCTGTACAGGTGCGCACCGAGCGCACTCCTTAGCCCGCCAGATGAAGGCCAAGCGGCGGCGGCCGGACCTGGATGAGATTCACCGGGAGCTACGGCCACAGGGTCCCACACGGCCCAAGCCTGACCCCAACGCCGAGCCCGACCCTGACTTGCCGGGGGGTGGTCTGCATCGCTGTCTGGCCTGCGCGTGAGTCCTGGCTGAGCCCAGCCCCGAGCGGAGGAGGGTCTGCACTCTTGGGACCTGTGAGTCAGCCTGCTTCCAGTCCCTTCAGGCAGGGGGCCCAGAGAACAAGCTAGGCTTAGCGAGATAGGCATACCTGAGAGACATCACTTATTTTCTCTTCCACACCCTCATCTCTGCAGGAGGTACTTCATCGATTCCGCCAATCTGAAGACCCATTTCCGATCCAAAGACCACAAGAAGAGGTATGGAGTAAGGAGAGGATTGATGAAAGGGTGCTAGGCAATCAGGGCTTGTATTCGGTCAGCTGCAACTCTTTTTCTCCCAGGCTGAAGCAGCTAACCATCGAACCCTACAGTCAGGAAGAGGCGGAGAGGGCAGCCGGTATGGGCTCATATGTGCCTCCCCAGCGGCTGGCAGTGCCTACGGAAGTGTCCACTGAGGTTCCTGAGATGGACACGTCTACCTGACATGGCCTGAGTATGCAAGGCAGAGGAGCTGCCCATGGACAGTGGTGCCAGGACTAGGTTGGAAGTGAGGGAAGCAAACCATTTGGGGCTCTGGGTTTTGTGAGTAGATAGCCTCTTCTGGCTGGCTTCCCCCCAATAAAGGAACTAGAAAAGAGGGCTTACCTCTGAGTTTAACTTTCAAATCTCAACTACAAAATCTTGCCGTGGGGGTTTCTCTGCTACTTTCTGTGTACAGGAACTAGCATGTCTGTCTACTTCATACTTGACTCACTTTTGGAGCCTACATTCTGGCCTTCTTTCCTGGGTCTTAGCAACTGAGCTGGAGCCCAGGTGCAGTGTGAAGTGGGGATTGCATCTAATTGGTGGCATCTAATCTGAGCTAGGGAAAGAACATGGACCAGGGTGGAAAGAGGTCTGCCCAATACCTGGTGCATGCTGGGGACTCCTGAGGGCTGCCAGCCTGGTAGGCCTCTCCTGCCTACCAGGCCTATGATTGCATTTATTCTGCCCAGTTTCTAATGAGGGCATGGACTGATCTCTAGGAAAAAAGTGGATTTTTGAGGTTGCAATACCCGCCCCTGAATCACCTACCTCAAGAGTTCAGAGGAGAGGCGGTCTGCTTCATCATGGGACCTGTGATGGTGGCTGCTGCTCCACCATTTTCCACACAGCATAACAAGAGCCGCCCAGTCCGAGCACAGCTAGCAGTGTAGCCACAACCCCAGCCAGCGGGCTACGGGGTTCTGCCTTCAGCTTTCCAGCCACCTGCATCTAGTAGGGGTACACCGAGGACACATCTAAGGGGCTAGTTGAGACTTCTAGGCAGGCAGGAACTGAGAAGGTATAGCTGGGTACAGGAGATAGGGACGCCTTTGCTGCCCCAGGGAGATTCCACCCCGATCCCTCTCGCTTCACTGCCCATCTGGGCCTTGGCTAGTCAGGCAGCAGTGAACGTGACAACCTGGCTGTTAGGGGTGTCAGTCCAGCAATAATAGGGGGAGAAGAGATCAGCGATTCTAGAAGCCATACCAGTTGGGAGTACTTACCTGTAGTACCCGGAAGTAGCTAGGGGTCAGGCGTCTAAATTGCATGGTTGGGGGTGCTGGTCTGCCAGGTGACCTGTGGCATAAGAGCAGACATGAAGAACAGTGGTATTCATGGTACCAAGAAGTGGAGGGTACACACTCCACAAGAAATGGGTCCCCGGCTCCAGAGGATGCTCACCCATGCAGGTCTGCTCAGGTCTGGCAAGGGGCAGGGCAGCTGAATCTTTTTAAATCTAGTAGCCCCACCCCCCGCTGCATGCTGTCCTGCCAGCCTTAGGAGCATCTGTCAGGAGAGATCAGCATCAGGCCTGAGCAGCACCTCCCCCACACCAGGGAAACTAGGCCTGGTAGGTAGGAGAGGCCTTGGCTGGCAGCCCTCAGGAGTCCCCAGTGTGGACCAGGTATTGGGCACACCTCCTTCCACCCTGGTCCATGCTCTATCCCTAGCTCAGATGATTAGATGTCACCAATTGCATTCAGCAAAGGAGGGACAGTGTATTTCACTAGCCTCCCTCTCAACAGCAATGTACTTTTTCCACTTGGTTTTTATAAGGTCAGGCATTTTTACTTTTTTCTTTTGTTTTTTGAGACAATAGCATGCAATATGCACTTCAGACTGGCCATGAACCCACTATGTATCCCAGTCTGGCCTTGAACTCGTGATCCTCCTGCCTCAGCCTTCTGAGTGCTGGGATTACAGGCGTGTACCACATTATCCATATCAGTCACTTCTTCTTTGAGGGAGTATATATTTCATCTCTTTCCTACAGATAGGCAAGGGCTTTCCTACTGTCAGTTTGGGGACAATAATAAAAGGGTATCTTATCAGCCGGGCGTGGTGGCTCACGCCTGTAATCGCAACATTCTGGAGGCTGAGGCAGGAGGATCATTGCAAGTTCGAGACCAGCCTGGGCTACAGAGTGAGCTCAAGGCCAGCCTGAACTGCATAGTGAGACCCTGTCTCAAAAAAAAAAGACCAGAAAAAAAAAAGATTATCTTATCTGTACTGACTAAGAATGCTTATGTTTTAAAATAGTCAACTGTGCTGATCATTATTCTAAATATGTTTCATGAATTCTTTAATTTGGGGCTATCATAAGGTGAATAAAAGGTGCAATTTCCAGAATAGTATTCAAAATAACTGCATTTATAGAAAATGGAAGAATACACAGAAAACTTAGCAGTGGCCCCCACTGGGAAGCCAAGAACATGGCACATCTCTTCATTTAATAACCTGTTGTGGCCTTCAAAACTTTTAGCTACATCTATTTTTTTTTTTTTTTTTTTTTTTATACTGGGGATTGAACTTACTACCTTACACGTGCCAAATAGGTGCTTGTGCCACTGAGCTAAATCATCCGCACACAGTTTCTAGCTACATCTTTTTTTTGGGGGGGGGGCTTTGAAATTTTTACAGCAAATACATAGAACTTCTATGTTCATAAAACCTTTTTGCCTTTAACTGCCTAGCCCTTTCAGGATCTGAGGCACAGAGTAAAGGCACTGTTGAGTTGCTAGGCTGCCAGTCCTAGGAGAGTAGGTGGTGGGGAGTTGTTAGAGCCAGGTAGTTTGGGTTTTCGTGTCTGCACGTGCGCCAGCTCAGGATAAGCATTTGATGAAATCAGGATGGTGGAGACAGACCTGTGTCCACAACCCTATTGTAAAAAGGCTCTATTAGAGTTTACATGGCTTCCTCAGAATGTCCCAGGAAGGCTATTATAGGAAGATGCAAAAATGTTATAGGAGAACACAGCAGGGATTGTTGCAGGATGACAGTACAGGGTATAAAGACAAAGCCAGAGAAGTGAGGAGACTTGGAGATTTGAAGTCTATCTACCATTTCATATGAAGGAAGCAGCTTGCTGTTTGATGCCAAGCATGAGGGCGAGGTGGGTCATCAGAGCTGACCAAAGTTCCAGAAATGAGATTTATTTCTCCCTTTCTCTTTTTTTCTTTTTTTCAATACAGGCTCTTGTATACTTCAGACTTGAACTCACTATGTAGCCCAAGTTGACCTTAAACTCATGAAGTCTTGAACTTGCAATCCTTTTGCCTTAGCCTTCCACATGTTGGGATTAGAAATATGTGCCACCACTCTCAGACTTGGAGATCAAAATTTGTATATGAAATTATTAAATGATGACAGTGAATGTGAACACATATACAATGTGTGAGCTATTTGTGGGGCCATTAAGTTGAGACTGTGAATCTCTCAGTTACAGGTAAGATAGTGAGTGGCTTTAAAGGTTCGGTATTGAGACACTGGAAGAGATTCCGAAGTAGGTATCACAGAGGGGCAGCTTCTGGGAAGGCCTCTCAAGTCTCTCCCTCCAAAATTAAAGGAATAACTCAGGTCTAATAGCTCCACATCATAGATTCAAAGTACTTAGAAGTCCTGAAGCTCTGTGGTTTAGGTGTCACCCTTTTTGAGAGGAAAAACTGGGTTCTGAGAGAGATAGGGAAGTTGGTTTGGTCACATTGCAATTGGGTGTGAAACTTAGTTTCATCTGATTCCAAAGATCTGGGAGTCCACTGGCCTGTGATGATGATGACAATGATGAATACTTCATGTATTCCAGACATTTTTCTAAGATGAAGGCTCTTAATCTGGGGTTCAAAATTCAGGGGATAAGTAAACTTAGATGGGAGAAATCTTTTCAGTAACCCCTAACAAAAATCTACCACTGAGGCGCAGGGATTTACTTCAGTGGCTTAAGAGCCTGCCCGGCAAGCACAAGGTCGAGAGTTCAATCTGGGGTACAAAAAAATTAAAAAAATTAAAAAAAATAAAACCTACCATTTCCTTCTGTATTGGTTAAAGTAGCATTGTCTTTGGCTTTGTTGCCAATAGAAATCACAGATAGTGCCAGGCATGATGGCACATGGCTGCAATCCCGGCTATGGTGGCTGAACCAGGAGGATTGCAAGTTCAAGATCCTGTTTAAAAAAAAACAGTGAGGGGGCTGGGGATTTAGCTCAGCAGCATAAGCGCCTGCCTTTGCAAGCAGGCTGTCGTGAGTTCGATCCCTGGTACCGATACAAATGAAAAAGACCCAAAAAAAAAAAACAGTGAGGCTGGGGATATAACTTGTAGCTTGGTATCCCCAAGAGTTCAAGTCCCAGTATTACACATATACAGCAATTATAGATATTTTCATACTGAATGTAATTATTGCAAGTACTGAAATGTTTATGTTCGTAACATTCAAAATCATGGCAGCTGTGAAGCCACCACTGAACCAACCCAGATGCTGCTGCATTTCAGAACCTCTTGTGACTCAGTATCTCTGTGCCTATAGGCTCAGTGACCAGATAATGGTTCTGCTTGTTCTCAAGTGATCTAGGCTTCCCTTTCTCTAGCTGTTTGCAGATCAATATGGGAAAAACTATGAGTCAGAGACTTCCCTGGAAGCTTAGTATACTCAAGCTCAGCAGCAGTGCGCTGATGTCACTAAAATGGGTCGGTTAGCATTAAACCTTTCACTAAAGCACAAGTTTGTGTTTTTTGTTTTGTTTGTTTTGTCTTATGCATGTCAGGTAAATGCTTATGCCGCTGAGCTAAATTCCTGGGCCCACAAGTTTGTGTTCTATATGTCTTTGTTTGTTCTGGTTTGTGTGGGTTTTGGTTTTGGTTTTTTGAGACATCTCTCTGCAGTCCAGGCTGGCCTTGAGCTCACTGTGCAGCCCAGGCTGGGCTCCACTCAGTCCTCCTCCTACTTAAGCTCCTGAGTGCCGGGATTAGAGGCGTGCACCACCACGCCCAGCATGGTCTGGTTTTTTGACTCAGGGTTTTGCTATGTAATCTAAGATAGTCTCAAAAATTTTTTTCTTTTCTTTTTCTTTTTTTCCTGGTCCTAGGGATTGAGCCAGGAGCCTTCATCCTGGAGCAAAATCCCCAGATATTTTTTGTCATTTTGAGATAGGGTCTTACTAAGTCACTAAATTGCCCAGATTGGGTTTGAATTTGCAATCCTCCTACCTCCGCCTCCTAAGTGTTGAGATTACAGGTATGGGCCACCACCACATCCAGCTTTTATATGTTTGGGTTATGTTTGTTTGTTTTTTTTTTTTTTTTGTACTATAAATTGAACTCAGGACCTCACACTTGCCAGGCAGGCGCTGTGCCACTGAGTTGTATCCCTGGCCCTAAATTTTTGTTAATAATTGTTTTTGTAATCCTAAGTGTTCTGTTTTAGGCTTTCTTTTTTTGTCTTTTTTGAGGCACTAGTGCAGGTTGACTTTTTTTGAGATACTAGTTTAGGTGATCTCCTGCCTCAGCCTTCATTGTAAATTTTTGAAAGGCACATTATGTGAGGTATATAATGCCCAGTTTATTTTTTATTGTTTCTACTGATGAATTTTTTTTTTTTTTGGTCTTTTTCATTTTTATCGGTATCAGGGATCGAACTGGTACCGCCTGTTGCAAGGCAGGCACTTATGCTGCTGAGCTAAATCCGCAGCCCTACTGATGAATTTTTAATTTTATGAATTTTATTACATAATATGTACTTTGATAAAATATCAATAAAATATTAAAGTTTTAATACATAATGAGTGTTTAGAAACAACACTTTCAAAATTTTCAACTGTTTACTTGCTTACAAGATCTAAATATGAGATAGCGCATGGCTATAATCCCAGCACTTGGGAAGCAACGCAGGAGGATCACTGAGTTTGAGGCCAGCCTGGGTTACATAGTGAACTTAAGGCCAGCCTAAACTACACAGTGAGATCTTGTCTCAAAATAAGTAAAATTTACAACAGCAGAAATAAATTCCTCTATGAAGTACAATGAAATGCAAACAAAACTACCACAGAAATAATCTTTGCTTCTAATGTAACACCTTAAGCAGTCTTCACACATGATGCAGTATATTCCATACACAAGTCTCGCACTGACACCACCGGTGTATTGTTTTCCCGTCTTGTTTGGTAGGTCATACTTGACATCTTGATGGTCTTCCTATTTTCTTAGGTGGTTCTTGTGAGATTTCACCTGTCTATGCGCTGGTCTGCTCCAGAATTCCTTGTGAGTGTTTTGGGCAGATACATACCATCATTCCTCTGGAATTGATCAATTCCAGTCCCAATTCTCCAAGAAGATTTCTCTGTGATATTTTGTGCTTGTTATTTTCTTTGCAAACTATGAAACTAATTATGCTTGACAGATTTAGGATCAAGTAAATCAACAATGGATAGTGCTTTGTGTTTCAAGTGACATCATAGATGCTCCATAACAGATCAACATTACTCTGGTTTTCATTTTGTTGTGACTTCATTTGTGTTGTGGATTCACTATCAATCTTGATTGTTTGAAGACAGCGTCTTGCTATATAGTCCAGGCTGGCCTTGAACTCACTATGTAGCATAGGCTGACACTGAATTTACAGGATCCTCCTGGTTCAGTCTTCCAAGTGCTGGGATTACAGGAATACACCACCATGCCTGGCTTCACAATCAATCTTATCAGTATGAAGCAGGAGGGCCACTTCGAGTCAAAGCCAGCCTAGGCTACTGTTGTAGTCAGGGTTTTCAAGGGAAAAGATATAACAGAGACACATAATTTATAAGGTTATTTTATAACTGTCATCCAGAGAGACAAATAAAAAGGAGTGCAGGAAATCTGTCCACACACTAGGGACCCATAGAATCCAACTGAGGGTCTGGATCCCATGGCAGTATACTGCATGAGTCTAACTGGAAATCTACTGCCCATAACAGTGTCCTCCATGAGTTAGGAGGCCTAGAGCCCATGACAGTATCCCATGCAAGTCTGCATCAAGGCTCTGCACTGGGTAGGCCCAAAGGTCTGTGGTGGAAGCTAGAAAGTCATGCCAATGGGATGAAGAATCTGCCAGCAGGCTGAGGGAAGGAAGTTAGCTTCGAGGTAAGGACTAGAGCTTCCCCCAAAAGAACCACAGCCATTCTTAGCAACAGCTAGGTCCCAAGTTCCTCTGTTAACAGCTGAGTTCTTATCAAGAAAGCCCATGTTACAAGCTTCTCCAGGAAAACCAACAGCACACCATCTTCCCTTGTGGAGCCAGGAAGCAATGCTCAAAGTAAGGACCAGAGCTCCCCTCAAGTGAACCACAGCCCTCCTCCCCTTTGAGTCCCTGAGCTCCTCCGGTAACAGCCAAGTTCACATCAGGAAACCAGTACGACATGCTTTTCCAGGAGAATCAACAGCACACCATCTTTCCCTCTAGTTCTCTTTCATGCTGTTGGACCCTTAGAATCCAACTGAGGGTCTGGATCCCATGGCAGTATCCTGCTCAACTGGGCCTTCCACACCCAGCACCATGTTGATTGAGTTCAACTGGGTATTACAAGTTGACCACCAGTTGTCAATCCAGCACAGCTACAAAGTGAATTCAAGGCTGGTGTGAACTGTATAGCGAGCATAGCAAGAGCCTGTCTTAAAAAAACAACAATCTTATCATTATGGTATAATATTAACTGTATCGATACTACTTTTTCTTTGCTATATATGTTGTATCTTTCTGAAATCCAAACATTGTACTATATATTTCTCTGAACTTGCAGCATTTTTAAAGGAATCGCCATTTTATTCTTGTGAATAGTTCCTGTCTGGTCAACTGGTGTTTTTTTTTAGCCCATGTAACATCAATGAGTAACTAGTGAGCCAGTTGTCCAATGTGACACTGGGTTACTTTTTGAATAGATGGAAGAGTCTGTTTACAACTCCATATGGTTTATTACTGCACAAATAAACACCTGGTATTGGAGTTCTAGGATAAATTTCTAAATTAAAGTTAAAATGTCTTTGAATCTACCAGGGCATATATTTTTAGACTATATTTAGAAGGTTTATTTGGCATATATTGCTGAAACTTTCAACAACCACGAAATGATGCAAGTTGTTCATCAGTTGTCATATATTTGGACATTGTATAAATTGCTTGACAGTTCAAAACAAGCTTTCAAAAAGTGATCTGCTATTTTCAGAAAAATTAGCAGCCAGATCACTGCTTTTCCTTTCTTGGTGGGTCTTTTTGTCATTGAAACATGACAGTTATGGGGTTAGGGATTTAGCTCAGCGGCATAAGAACCTGCCTTGCAAGCAGGCAGTCGGGAGTTTGATTCCCGGTACCAATTTTTAAAAAAAAGTGACAGTTTTGAAAGAAACTAAATCTATTGTATGTCAGTATTGTTCTAAAAATCTCAACACCACATCTATCACTTCTCCATAAATCCTCTAGATTCTGACAATTAGAATAATAAAGTCCTGCTGATGAAGGCTTCAGATAATGAGGTACCATGATATATTTTTGAGTATTACTATTGATGCTTATAAAATGTTTTACTTCTATTTTATTATTAGTGTATTTCAAAACATCTTGGAGCATATCATCTGTTACAGGCAGTTTCCAGCATTGAATTGCAGTGTTGGCATTCCTGGCAAGAACCTAATAAAATTTTCCAACCTAGTCCTAATGTTGGATTGTTCAGGTATACATGACTATTTTGTAGCATTTTGACTACTTAAATATAGGGCTGGGGATTTAGCTCAGTGGTTCAAGCACTTGCTTGGTAAGTACAAAGTCATGAGTTCGATCCCTAGTACCAAAAAAAAAAAAATTTATTTACATTACTGTTTTTCTCTTCATCCAAATCAAGGTCTTCATTCTCTACTTCTCTGTCTGTCCTATCTTGTTAACTTCTTTGACTTACATGATCCAAGTCCACATTGGTAGCTAAGTCACCTGATAAGTTTCAACCTCCTCTCAAAGTTGTCGTAGTGGATTTTCATGTGATGTTGAGCTGAACAGGCTAATCCTACATGAAAAAATCAAAAGAAAACAATAAGACAAATTATAGGGCTGGAGATGTGGCTCAGTGGTAGAGCTTTTCCTTACATGCACAAGACCCTGGGTTTGGTCTCCGGCACCACACACACACACACACACAATAATAATAAATACACAAAAATGTAACATGGGTAAAACCCAGTCACACTTCGATGCATGTGCGTACACCTTGCCCTTCATCAAACAAGTAGTTGAACCCAAAGATGGCAGCCTGTATTCTCCCAGTGCAGTTACTAGGCTATCTTTATGCTAAAGTACATATTTTCATTAGAAAAGTGTGGTCAGGGCATCTTTTACCCACCATGATGCCCCTTTTAAAAAGTGTTCTAGCCTGTAATCCCAGCACTTGGGAGGCTGAGGCAGGAGGATCATTGTGAGTTCAAGACCAGCCTGAGCTACAAAATGAGCTCAAGGCCAGCCTGAACTGCACATGAGACCCTGTCTCAAAAAGAAGAGGAGGAGGAGGAGAAGGGGGAGGTGGTGGTGGTAGAAGAAAGTGTTATTCTAGTAGGGCGGTGTTGTACTTGTAGTCCCACCTACCTGGGAGGCTGACATGGAAGGATCACTTGAGCTAGGGAATCTGAGACAAGCCAAGGCAATGTAGCAAAAATCTCATCTCAAAAAATACATAAATTTTAAAAATTAGTGTTACTCTGGAAAAGGGTCCATAATCCTCAACAGGCTACCGAAGTGTGAAATAAAAGGGCTAAAGCTCCCAGTTGTAAAGGTTTTAGAGCCATTCACTCACATACTCTGCAAATGCCCTCAAAAGTAGGGTCTTTATGTCTTTTACAGACTTGGGGCAGAGGCACAGAGGCTGGGGTCCGACCCGGGTTGCACTGCCAACAAGAGCTATCATGGGCCTGACCCTTAGCCCCCGCTTGGCCTGTGCTTTGCCGCTGTGCTTACCACTTACCTTGTGGTCCCTTTTGGGGGAGCCCCAGTGTCAGGAGCCCCTCTGGGCTATGAGGCCAGTTTGGGGCGGAATCTCAGGCCACCTCTGAGATCGTCAGAGTCACACTCCATGGCGCTGCCTGTCTGGCTGGGTGCCCAGCTGCCAAAGTCTTATTAAGAGGTCTGAGGGCGGGGCAGAGGGTGGGCAGGTGGTGGGCCAATGGCTGTGGCAGTGCCTCACCTGGGCGACTACCAGGCCCAGGTATGTGGCGGCCACGCCCCGGCCCTGCCCCGCCCCGGACCCGGGCTCTGGGAGCGGAAATTCCTGCGTCGGCTGGACGCTGGAGACGGAGCTCGGAGCTCGTCATGGACCCTGTAGAGACCTGGACCCCAGGGAAGGTGGCAGCCTGGCTGAGAGGTACGTGGGGTAGGGCAGAGGTGACATGAAGGGAGCCTGTGTGGTGTCCCGCGGCAGAAGCTCGGGAGAGGAAAACAAAAGAGTCTGAGGAGTCTGTTAGTCACCAAATATTTACAGGGCGTCTGCCATGTACCAGATACTGTACTGGGCAGATAGGTACCGTGACACCCAGACAGCCCAGTGACCCAGGAGGGAGGCCCTGGGGTCCCCCATCACCCCACATCCTAAGAGGCCACAGGGTGCTGAAGATGAGCCAGTCAGTGAAAACGGAAGGCAGTGCTTTCCCTCCCACACCTCCTTTATCTCCTTCATCTTGCCGGTGCCCCAGGACCCAGCGCCTGTTAAGCCTCTTTTCAGAACTGAAACTACACAGAGCCTGAAACTGATTTGCTCGGGCTTGGAACAGGGCCAGCTCTGGTGTCGTTTTCACCTTTTCCCATTCTGAGCTGCCTGTGAGAGAAGCAGAAGCCTCAGCCAGACTGAAGGGGGTGACACAGCCCCAGGGAGAGGCGTTCCTAGGGCCAGAGAGCCGAAACAGCCAGGAGACATAAACTGCAGACACTAACTTTGTGACCACAGGCCTCAGTTTCTGTGGCTCGGATGTGTTGGGGTCCACTGGGAAACATGCAGCCACATACTGAACTTAGGAAGGAAGCTCCTCAAGAGCCAAGAGCCAGGGAACAACACAGTTAGGAATTCCCAATCCTGTGCTCTTAGTACCCCAGGGAATGAGGGAGCAGTTGATCACACACACACACACACACACACACACACACACTCCCCAGCAACAAAGCCTGCTTTGGAATGGGAAGAATTCTTTCTAAGAGCTCATAAGCTACCACCTCTCCATTCCAGTCGGTTTTCCCATTAGTTTAATGGTGGTGAGAGTAGTCATCATGTACCAGAAATACAGCAAAGATCACGTGTCAATATGTGAAAAACCCTTAAAATCTGCCATGCATGGTACCACACACCTGTAATCTCGGCAGTCTAAAAGGCTGAGGCAGGAGACAAAAGTTTGAGTGCAGCCTAGGCAGTTTAGCACCTTGATGAGACCCTATCTCAAAATAAATGTAAATAAATAAATAAAAATGAAAAGGCCAGAGGATGTACCCCATTTGAAGTCCTTTGGGTTCAATCCCCAGTATTGCAAGGAGAAAAACAAAAACAAAAAACTTGACCCAGCACAAGTAAGCACTCAGTAGATTATTTTTCTTATATTTGGAAGTCTGCCTTGTGCCTGGCACAGGCTGAAGGCTAGAGACAAATGGTTATTTAAGACCTGATCTTTTAAGGGACTGGGATAAAGCAGGAGAGACTGGTCAAGTGCCAGAGTGCGTGGAGGCTCAGGGGACAGTGGGAACATCAGCAAGGGGTCCCCAATTCAACCCAAGGAGTGAAGGAGCTAGACTATCAGTCCAGACAGAAGGAACAGAATTGCAGGGAACCTGAGGCAAAAGTGTTCCAGGGCCGAAAGGGGTTGGTGCTCTGGCTCTGGAGTGTGGAGCTGGAGGGGCTGTTCTGGGACACCAGAAAGGCCCTGGGGGTGGGGTGGGGGTCCAATCATGCAGAGCCGTGTAGGTCATGGTACAGTTCACAGTAACAATACAGTGGCTTTTACTTATTACCTGCCTACCATACGCCCAAACATAGAACATGTAATTCTTTTATTGTTCTCATACGGGTAAAGAAACTGAGGCACAGAGCAATTACGTGACTTGCTCTAGTACTAGCTCTCAGGTCTGCCTGACTCCAAAAGCCCTGCAGTTACCTCTATTTCCCTAGTTCCCAGATTTAAGGGAACATCAGAGTCACCTGCAGGATTGTTAAAACACAAACTGCCAGGCCCCACCCCTGAATAGCATCTGCTTCAGCAGTTGTGGGGCAAAGGCTGGAAATTCTGCCCTTCTAACAACTTTCCCAGTGAGGTCGCTGTCACTGCTGCTCCGAGGACCAAGAGCCACTACTCTGTGTGGTCTTCAACCCACAGAGGAAGGGAAAAGGGCTCTGCTAGAATAAAGATGTGGCTTGAAAAGCCATGACACCCGCACACGCATTCACACTGACCCCTGCGGTCCCTCCAGGCCTGGACGATTCCCTGCAGGACTATCCCTTTGAGGACTGGGAGCTGCCTGGCAAGTACTTGCTCCAGCTGTGCCCCCGAGGCCTGGAGGCTCTGACAGTGTGGCCTGTAGGCCACCAGGAGCTCATTCTGGATGGGGTGGAACAGCTCCGGGCCCTGGTGAGTGAGCACTGGCCACATTGGCGGCAGCATCCATCAACCTGGGTGAGTGTCCCCCAAGGAGGCTGGCTGCTGCCAGAGAGTTGACCTGTCCCATTCTGCCACAGAGCACTGGGCTACAAACAGAGAACCTGCAGAGCCTGGCAGAGGCCCTGTTGGAGAGGACCCAGACCTTCCAGAGCTTATTCCAAGCACGCCTGGAGGGTTCTGCTGAGACCCCTGCCGAAGTCCTCAGTGCGGCTGTGAAGCTGGTGCGTGAGGCCCGTGCTCTCCTCTTCTGGCTCAACAGGTACCTGGGTTGGGGTGACTAGTGAGTGGACCCTTATCCTCTTGGCCTCCTCCAGGGCCTGGGAGGAAAACAATGCTTGGCTCTTGCTGAGATTTGGCAGAGCAGGTGAAAGAATCATTCTGTCTACAGGGCCACCTGGGTCCCCATCTGTCTTGGGTTTGTAATCACAACAGTCTTGTTGATAGCTATTAAAGACCTTCCCTGCCACTTGTCCTGTAGGTCCCACTTTAAATATCATCTCCTCAGGGAATCCTCCCCTGTTATCCATTGTCAGAGCTCTACATGTCACAACACTCATGACAGGTGAAATTAAATTATTGATATGATTGCTGTTCAACATCTGTCTCCCATTGCCTAAACCAGGGCCTACATATAGCAGGATCATGAAAAACCAAGTCCCGTGCCAAACTCTTAGATGTGTTGTGATCTCCTTTGCTCCAAAGGAAAACCCATCATGGCAAACCTTGTCCCCATATCTCAGGTCAGAATTGGGCTCAGAGTGCTACACTGCAGTCCCTGAACCACTGTGCCATGCTTCCCCTGCCAGGTTCCTCTTCTCCCAGTTAAACGACTTCTCAGCCTGCCAGGAGATCGGGGCATTGTGTGGGGAGCTGAGCCAGGCTTTGCAAGAGGTAGGAGGATGAGGGCCAGGCTCGGCCCATGCCTAGGAGGCCAAACCAGGCAGGAGCTTTTTATAACCTGTGAATCAGGGCAGGGTCAGGTGCGAGGACCGGGGCAAGGGAGTGAGCGCAGGAGGAGCAGAGGCCCTGCTGCTGGTATGGGGCGAGGGGGCCGCAGGGTTTGCCTCCCTGGCAGAGGAGCTCAGGAAATTTGCCAGCTTGGAAGGGGGTGAAGGGGGAGGGCACGCATGTGTGGTGACTAGGGGCCTGGTGTTGGGGGAATGAGAACTTAAGGTTGAAGCTCTGATGCCCCTTAGTGAAGCTCGAAGGGAAAGAGGGGATCCTTCACAAGCTCTTAGGAAAAGGCAGGCCTCTCCACCCTTACTTAGGAGAGACTCCTGCTTTTCACTCTACTTCCAGGACTGTCCAAAGGCTGAGAAGGAGAGCAAAGTCCTGAGGATCGTGAGTGGGGGCAGAGGGAGAGTGGGGTGGGGGAAAGGTGGGAGTGGAATCAGGCTTAGCCATACAGCCTGCCCCTCCCCCAGTGCAGCCACGTGTCTGGAATCTGTCACAACATCCTGAGCTGCACCCCAGAGGAGCTGCTGGAACAGAGGGCTGTGCTAGAGCAGGTGCAGCTGGACGATCCTTCGGTGAGCCCTGATCTGCACCTCCCTTCTGACCCCTTGGCAGCCTTGTCTGGGCCCTGGAATATGGTCTAGGGCAGTGGTGGCAAACCAACGGCATGCATGCTGCCGCAAAGATACAGAGCCCTTTCTGTCAGCACACGAGCCAGTTTGCCCTGCCAGTTGAGCATTGGATAACAGTTGTTTTTTCTAAACTAAAACCTCAGTGTTCAGGTTTAATTTCAGTATTGGAATGTTGCAGTAAATCAGTGGGTTTGGGTTGCAGTTTGGGCACTCAGTCACTAAAACGTTTGCCATCACTGGTCTAGGGTCTCCAACATCCTTTACTGCTAGCTGGAAGCCTATTGTGCATAGGTGTTAAGAAGGAGGTCCAGCTGGCTATGGTAGTGCATACCTATAATCCTAGTTTCTCAGGAGGCTGAGGCAAGAGGAGCACAAATTCAAAGCCAACCTGGGCAATGTAGTGAGACAGCTCAAAAAATTTGAAAACTTAAGGACTCATGTCACATTTTGCCGGAAGTAGTAGTAGTAGTTCATAATCCTAGCACTTGGGCAGCCGAGGCAGGAGGATCCCAAGTTCGAGGCCAGCCAAGGAGACATAGTGAGTTCAAGGCCCTACATGGTCTGTTGCTACGGACTACATTGTAAAAGCAAAGCAAACAGAAAACTTTTAAAATAACTGGGGGCATAGCTCAGTGGTAAACTGTCTGCCCATCATGCACAAAGTTCTAGCTTCAACTCCCAGTTACAAAAAACAAGAAACCCAGAGAACCTACCTGTAGCACTTTCCCTGGTCCTGAGGGGCTATGCCAGTATGGTCTCAGGTTGCACATTCCAACCTTGTGACATAGGCCTAGCAGGGTCTCAAGGTCAGGTTAGGAGGAAGAGGAAAAATATGAACTTTATTGCTTTAATCTTGACGAGCTAGGGAATCCAGAGCCCCAAGCCTTGCCCCATCCTGCCCTGTCCTTCTCCATTCAGGAAAGTCTGTGAACCTGGTATCTTAGAAATCAGTGATCCTGGCTTCCCTCTGGCCTTTTCAGAGAAGGAAGCAGAGGCCCAGACAGGTGTGGCAAACCCAAAGTCATGCAGCAAGTTGGGGCAGTGCCAACCTGGGGCCAGCTCTATCCCCACCCCTGTTTCTACCCACTGTAGTCTTGGGGCCCAGTTGCCCTGCTGCCCCAAATCCTTCAGTGACTGCAATCTCTACTTCTGCTTCTGCAGGGCCTGCAAATCCAAACCACCAGCAACTGCCTGCACTTTGTGTCCTGCGTGGGCTCCCAGGTGAGAGCCCACACCCTCCTCAGCCACACACCCTTAGAGCCCACTTTCTGAGTCTCCTCTTCCCTCCATACCAGGTACCTACCAACTCCCAGCTGCACATCCTACCTGGAGATGAGGTTGTCCAGATCAATGAGCAGGTGGTGGTGAGTGAGACCTGAGTGGAGCCCTGGGCTTGTGGGTGGAGAGAGCAGCCCAGGGTGCTGCCCCTTAAGCAAAAGTAGGATTGTGGACACTGCCTGCCAGGATGTTCAGAACTGATCTCCAGGTGAGAGTTTCATACCCTTGCCGGCTACACATCGCAAGGCCTGCTCAGCTTCCTCGGCAGAGCCGAGACAAAGGGGCTTATGGAGGCTCCCTGGAGGCAGTGTAGGTAAAGCAACAGGACAATGCTCCGGGAGAGTTCCAAGTGCAAGGGCAAGTGTTGCTGGGTTGCTTCAAAGCCTCCTGGCCAGCTTGATGCCAGCCCGGTGTTTCTGCCCCATCCCCTGCCCTTGTCCCCCAGGTGGGCTGGCCCCATGAAAACGTGGTAAAGGAGCTGCTGCGGAAGCCTGCTGGGGTCAGCTTAGTGCTGAAGAAGATCCCAGTGCCAGAGACCCCCCCACAGGTAACCAGCCCCCATCCCACCCCTACCTGCTTTCAGACTCCGCTGGTCAGCTCCATAGTCTTGATTCTAATGCTTTCCCAGACGCCCCTGGATTCCCCTCACCTGAGAAACCAGTCACTTGCTGTTACCCCCCTGCCTCCCAGGTAACACACTCTATTTTGGGGGTTCCTTAGTGGAGGGGACCATGAGCTCATCTCATCTCTGTGGGCTTTTCACAGGGTCCCATCTGAAGAAGTCTTTGCCTTTGATCCAACTTCAGACCCATATTCTGCTCCCAGCCCTGCTTGGACAGGTAGTGTCAAAGCCCCAGCAGAGAGCAGATTCTCCCCAGCAAGGCACCTGAGCAGCTGGCTCTGATTCCCAGGCCTGGGATAGGCTTCATAGACCTTCCCCTCACTGCTCTTGACAGACTCTACCTCCTTTGACCCTGAGCCCCTGCCCATCACCTCTGCATCTCCAGCCACATTCCCAACAGGAATAGCGGAGACTCCCGGGTCGCCAGGACGCCTTGACGAGGTAAGCTCAGGGGATCAGCAAGGAGCAGCGTGAGCTCTGGATCTAAACCTTCTCTAACCCCTGCCTGTTCCTTTCAGCACCCACCTGTTGGTCGGAAGAAATCCAAAGGTATGAGTGCCCTGAGCAGGTGGAGATCCCCTTATTTGACAACTTCTCAGAAATCTTTGTGTTGGGAAGATGCCGCTGATGTGGGTCAGGCAGATCATGGTGCCAACCAGGGCCTTTTTTTTTTTTTTTTTTAAGCCAGTCAAATTTAACAGTGGGGGGGTGGGGGGTATAACCAGGGCCTTTTATCAGCTCTGTGATTTTGACCAAACACCTGGTCCCCTGATGTTCATTTGACTCATGTCTGAAACAGTTCTCCCTACCTCAGAGATGACATGGGTGACATTCTGAGCCCAGAATGTGGCTTCAGACATCTCTAGTGATGCTTAGGAGGTCTGGGGAGCAGGTCTGCTTTGCCGTTTTTCACTACCCCAGCTGCTCTGTGCTCCTGCAGGCGTGGCCACAAAGCTGAGCCGCCGGCGGGTGTCGTGCCGTGAGCTGGGCCGGCCAGACTGTGATGGCTGGCTCCTGCTGCGAAAGACACCCGGAGGCTTCATGGGTCCACGCTGGCGCCGCTGCTGGTTCGTGCTCAAGGGACACATGCTATACTGGTACCGCCAGCCCCAGGTGAGACCCCCCACACACACTCACATAGGTAGCAAGTGATTTGCTTCAGAGATTTGATTCTTGTCTCTTCTCCACCTTCTACTCCCAGTGGTGGGCCCCAGACCTTCCAAGGCCTCAGTGTTCTCATCTGTTCATGAGGATGTGTTCCTATGTGTGTAAAAGATGTTTGGGGCGAGTTGGGCATAATGGTGCATGGCTGCAATTCCAATACTGAAGAGGCTTAGGCAGGAGGATCGCAAGTGACACTCTGGACAATGTCAAAACAAAACAAACAAATTTGGAGGGGCTGAAGTCAGAGTTCAGCAATACAGTGTGTGTTACGTATATATAAGGTTTGAGTTCCTAGTACCCCTGAAAAAAGAAGTTTGGAGAAGGTATCACAGAAAATATAGAAAAAGCCACCTTTATTCTATTCATCTGTCCTCCTTCTGATATTCTGTCCACCCTGGTAATGAGTCAATTGATCATTTTTTCATTCAACATAAACCCAGCCCTGAACTGGACCCTGAGGACACAGGAAATATTTGGACAGTTTGTGTCCCTCCAGAGCTTAGAGGCTGGCAGGGGAGAGGGATGAATACATTCTCAAGGACAATGTGGAGGACACATGTTAAGGGAAAGGAAAAGCTTAAGAAATGTGTGTGAGCCCAGTAGAGGAGTCCCGTCCAGATATGGGGGTCTAGGAGCTTCTCTGAGAAAGCAATACCTAGATGGTATTACCTCATTGGCCTGAACAGCTTCATGGGTCTCTACAAAGGAACAAATGCAGGGGCCGGGGGTTAAGCTTAGCAGAAGTGCCTGGCTTGCAAGCGTGAGGTTATGAGTTCGCTCCCTGGTATGAAACAAAGAAAAAGGAACAAATACATAAGCAGGTTCCCTTTCTTGGCCTTCTTGGCTAGCCCTCCCTCTCTCCCTTGGCCTTTCCTTCTTCCCCCTACCTCTCCTTCTTTCCACTCTTCCTTCCTTTGCTAGGTATTGAACCCAGGGCCTAGTACATGCTGGGCAGGCATCCCCAGCCATGGGCTGCTTCTCGGGATGTCTTTGTTTCCCTTTCCTGGCTCAGAGGTGCCTCCTGTCATAAAGCCTCAGAAACAGAAAGTTACAATCCTCCAAGCCCCTTTTCCTTTCTACTTCCCTTGAGACCCAGAGAGTTAACTAAGGAGCTGACAAGGTCCTGGGAGTACCCAGCCTCTAAGCTATGATTTTCCACCCTCCCCCAGGATGAAAAGGCCCAGGGGCTCATCAATATCTCCAACTATAGTCTGGAAAGTGCACATGATCAGAAGAAAAAATAGTTAAGTCCTGGGGTATGATGGGATGGGGAGTGGGGCAAAAAAGAGTGGTGGCTGGGGTGGGTGTGTGGCAGGCAGCAGGATTCCTGGTCCAGCCAGGGCTCTGGGCTCTGAATGGGCACAGCTTGGAAGAGACTGAGTGATTCCCTTCTGCTCCTTGGCAGTGTGTTCCAGCTCACGCATGATGTGTACAAACCCTTTGTCTTTGCGGCTGATACCCTCTCTGATCTGAGCATGTAAGTACCACTCCTACCTTACTCCCACAAAGTTCCCAGCCTCTGAGGGGTGGGGGGCTAGGATCAAATTCTAGGCCTCTGATGAAAAAGAAGTTCAGCTGAGCATGGTGGTACATCCCTATAATCCTAGCTACTGAGGAGGCTGAGGCAGGAGGATCTCAAATTTAAGTCCCAGCCTGGGCAATTTAGAGAGTCTCTGTGTCAAAAGATGAAAAGGACTGGGGATACAGCATAATGTCAGAGTGTTTGCCTACCATGTATGAGCCCCTGTCCATGCCTTCACAGGTGGGTACGCCACCTCATCACCTGCATTTCTAAGTACCAGTCTCCAGGCCGGACTCCCTCAGCTCAAGAGGAAGGTAGGTTTCTCACAGGAGTGGGAAGAGGAGATTGGGTCTCAGAGCCTCTGCTCTCATTAGAGCCCCAACTGCTCTTCTGCACCCCAGACTGCTACAGTGAAACCGAAGCAGAAGACCACGATGAGGAAACTGGGTCCCGCTCAGCCTCAGTGAGTAGGGGACCGCTCTGCGATAGGAGGGTGGGGGTGAGTAGATGGACAAGGGGTTCAGATTGGTGCCCTCCTCTCCTTCTCCCCACTCTCAGCCCAGCCCAGCGCAGACTTGGAGTTCACCTCATGGAGACACATCGCCTGCAGCCTCCCCAACGCAGCGCAGCCCAAGGACCTCCTTGGCTACCCTAGCAGGTGCTGCACTTGAGCTGAGAGGGGGCACCGGACTGGGGGCTGTGATGGGCACAGCCTCATCCTGCTCCCTGTCCCCACAGACAGCAGTGAGGGAGCACTGGAAGGAATGGTTCAGGGGCTGAGGCAGGGTGGTGTGTCCCTCCTGGGCCGGCCACAGCCCCTGACCCAGGAACAGTGGCGGAGCTCTTTCATGCGGCGCAATCAAGATCCCCACCTCAATGAGCGAGTGCACCGTGTGCGGGCATTACAGAGTACGCTCAAGGTCAGCTGGGTGGTGAGGGACGACCGGGTGTGGTGAGGGACTGGCTCTAGGCTGTAGTTACTGGCTCTAGGCTCTGCCCTGAGTTCCAGATCACAGGCTCAGCTGTGGATTCCAGGCTCCAGTCTGGGCTCAGTGCGCAGCTAGGTTCTCTTTGTGCCAGGCTGGCCAGGTGTTGGGTTCTAGCCCCAGGACTCTGGAATTAGCTCAGCGCTGGGGCTGTGCCCCCTCCTTGGGTGATCATAGCTTCTTACCTCCTGTGCCCCTTGCAGGCAAAGATGCAGGAGTTGCAGGCCCTGGACGAAGTGCTGGATGACCCTGAACTGACAGCAGAGAAGTTTCGTAGGTGGAAAGAGCAGAACCAGGAGCTGTACGAAGAGTGCCTGGGGGTGTGCAGAGCGGCACATGCTGACGACAGCTCCCAAGCCCTGACCTCTGGCTCCAGAGAACAGTCCCCCCAGCCCCTGCCCTCTGACCCTGAGGAGCCCTCCCATCTTTGCCCCTTGACCCCAGAGAACAACTTCCAGCCTCCTGACTTCTGACCCTGGCCAGTACCCTAGCTCCTAACCCCTGACCCCAAGGGCCACCTCATCCCCAGCCTCTGATACACCTACCTAGGGCAGCCTGTCCCTAGGTTCTGTTCAGGGCTGGAAATAGTGCCAATGCCATTTCTGCTCCTGTCTCCCCTGCAGCGGGGTAAAGTGAGCTTCTGCCACCCTCCTTCCTGAGAAGCCTCTGTCCTCAAATCTGAGGGACACAACCTGACCTCTACCATCTCTCAGCACTGCTCATCTCCTCAAATTGGTTCTGGGCAGGTGTTTATTTTACATGAGATACACTTTTCCAGTGAATAAAGTGATTTCTCTGAAGTGAATCTTGTGTGCCTCTACTTTAGAACCAGGACCTTGTGTCCCAGAGAGGACTGGAAGGAATGGCTGTAGGGCTGGGGTGAATGCTCGCAGCCCCAATGTGGGTGACAAACCCTCTGCACACCCATGGCAGCACCTGAAGCTCCTTCCTGCCACGGTAAAGGGCTTGGTCCACAGCTAAGGAAGGCTCCTAAGTCACATCCACCTCTCCCAGCCCTGGGAGGCCAGAGGTGCTCCCCTGACCTATCACCAGCAAGAACAAGTGAGAAACTTTGATTTGGCAGATGAAGAAACAAGGACACGGGGTGCAGCCCCGAGATATGTGGGAGAACAGGTAGATGAAAGATGGGAGGATGCAAGTGGGAGCTCCCATGGGGAAGAAAGGTGCTCTCAGAGTATCTCTCCTCAGCTCAGCCTTACCTCCAGCTTCTATACCCAGAGTAGGACCACATCCCCTGACTCCATCCGCGCCACACAGGACACCTGGCCTACTCTATCAACCTCTGGCTCTGAGCCCTACTTGGCTGGCCTGGCAGCCCCTTGCTGGCAGGTGTCCCTGGCTCGCTCTGCAGGTGACAGAGGGGGCAGTGGGAAGGCTTTCCTCTGGCTGGCTAGCCTTGATAGAATGAGGAAGGCTGGAGGTCACAACTACCTCTGTGGGGCCAAAACTGCCCTGAGCAAATTTGCTTTGAGCGAAGGGAAAGGAGAAAGCAGCAATAACCTGGTAGCAGCAAAGGACAGACACATCCTGGTAGGTGGCCCCTGCCTGTCTCCCCCACTGAGGTGGCTGTCTGGGGTGGCCAGAGGCAGCAGCCACACTGAGTGCTGGCTCCTCTCTCCTGCGGAGGAACACATAGCCGCCCTTCAGTGGCCAAAGGAGCAAATGCTCACCAGCCACCAGAACATCATAAGCGCAAAGGTAAGGACAGGAGGGATGTGGAGCCAGCCATGACACTACGTTGATGCCCACATTCCAGGATCTCCCCCAGCTCCCCACTGAGAGTAAATGCCCAGGCAGAGGTCATTCATGGTGACACCTGCCTGAAGAAAGTCTCCACCCTCTCCCAGGATGCTCAGGGCACATGAGTTCATCATTCACATGTGCATCAAGGAGCTGCTGCAGCATCCAGTCTTCCAGTTGATGCTGCCTGGCTGCTGGTGACCAGCGCCATCACCATTGCTCTCTTAACCACATGGGATACCGGCCTGACCTCTGCCTCTCCTGGCTCTAAAGGAGAACTAGGACAAGACAATTTTCTCCCATGCCACAGGTTCCTTGTCTGTCTCTATGCTAAGCTGGATGCTCTCCAAGTATCTTTCCGTTATGAATTTCCAAGAATCAGAAGGCTAAGGAAGACTTCGTGGTGGAAGAACAATGGAGCCCACTTTTGAAGGGTGTGCTATAGATAGGCAGAATGGTGTGAGCAGAGGCAGACAATGGGTAGCTTATAAAGAGTGGATCAATCTTAATAGTCCCTAAGGGAGACTCACTCTGGGCCAGGTGCTGACTCTGCTTAGTGCCAAATTTCCAGGTAAAAGCACAATAAATCCTGTTACTATTTCAGACAGAAAAATACACCATTATAAATGCCTGAGTAGACCAGGCATGGTAGCACATGCCTGTAATCTCTGCACTCAGGAGCCAAGGTAGGAGGACTGCTGCAAGTTCAAGGCCAGCCTAAACTCCATAGCAAAACTCTGGAAAAAAAATTACCTGAGTATAGCTGGGTTTTGTGGCACACTCTAAGAAGCTGAGGCAGGAAGATTACAAGTTTGTGCCCAGACTATGTGGTGATTTAGCAAGACCCTGTCTAAAAGAAATTAAAGGGCCAAAGATGTTGTTCAGTGCCATAACCCTGGATTCAATCCTCAATACCACCACCACCAGAAAAAAAAAAAAAAGACCTGAGTGTCAAGATACAAGGGAGTTCAATCACAACAAATAAATCTCATCTGGGAGGTCAAGGAAGGTTTCCTGGGGAAGGTGACACAGTAAGAGTATAGAATGAGGCAACAAGATGTGATGGCTTATTCTATAATCCAGCATTCAGAAGACTGAGGCAGGACAATCATGAATTAGAGGCGAGCCTGGACTACAAAGTGAGACCCTGTCTCAAAAATGAAGTGAGTGTGGAGGGATGACCAGACAAGTGTTTTAGAAAATCTGCAATGTGAACCATTGAAGGGAAGAGGCAAGGACTAGGGAAAGAAGGGCTGGGAGGGACCCTATTACAGGTAAAAGAGGTGCAGGTGAAAGATGTTGGGACCAGGACCATGGCAGTGGGTAAGAAAAGGGCAGATGTGTTTGGAGGCTCTCTGGGAGTTGAACCAGTAACCTTCCTGATCCGTCACAGGAGAGCTCACTCTGTGCTGCTTGTGCCTACACATCACCTCATGCATGTAAACAAAGGGATAGCAGGAGTTAACTTTCTGGCTTTGGCAATAGCATAGGGGCTGCTATTTGTTGTCGTTGTTGTTTTGTTGAGACACAGTCTTGCTATGCAGTTCAGGCTGACCTTAACCCACTACAGAGCCCAGGTTGGCTTCAAACTCATGGAGATACTCTTGCCTCACCTTTTGAGTGCTGGGATTTAAGGAATGTATCACTTCATCTGGCCTGGGGCTGGTGTTGTATGTCGGAACTTAAGTTGCCACAAGGCCCAGTGGGTAGCTTGTCCTCTAAGCCAACAGCCATGGTCCCTGACAGTGCTTTGGGAATTTGGAAGAGGAAGAAAGGCCATAAATCTTATCCCCCAGCTGAGTAGAAGAAGCAGAAGGCCCCCCACATATGGCAGTAAGCCTCAAGAGGCTCAGTCTGTTGGCCGGAGTTGGAGTAAAGAAAGGGAGTATGGGCCAGGGGTTTACCTCAGAGGCCTAAGTGCCTGGTTGGAAACTCTAGGTCATGAGTTCAATCCCCAGCACAAAAAAAAAAGGGGGGGGAGTGACCGAGTGACTTTGGTGATACTCAAATGGAATGAGGATACAAGTTGTTAGCTGGGTCACAGCTATAAAGAAGCTGAAAGAGTAGGATTGAAGTTGAGCCGAAGTAAATTGGGTTTTGCACAGACCGTAGTCATCCACACAGGGTACCCGGCCTGGACCCACAAAGGAAAAGACACCAGGAATTTAAGTGACAGAAGTGGATGGGGCCACGGAAAAGCAGCAATGGTTGCAACAAGCAGAAATGGTTGCAACAAGGCCCTGGGGCTTAGTGTCCTCCAGCTGCATAGATCAGGCCTTTTCTTCCTGAACCTAACCCTAACCCTATTCAACCTCTTGCCCCACCTTGTTTCCCCAAATACTCCTACCTTAGAAATTAGGAACAGGCCCAGGGATTTAGATCAGTAGCATAAGCACCCACCTTGCAAGTGAGAGATCATGAGTTCAATCCCCAGTGCCAAAAATAAATAAATAAATTAGGAGCAAAGGTCTGTGGTAGACAACATTCCTTAGCAACCAGCTGTGCACACAGGCCCGTCTCTATTCTCCATCCAGCAGATACCAATGGGACTTGCTTTGCATCAGTGTTGAGAGTCACAAGAAACAACGCATGCCGGGGGTTTAGCTTAGTGGCATAAGCACCTGCCTTGGCAAGCGCGGGGTGGTGAGTTTGATCCCCAGTACCAAAAAAAAGAAACAATGCATGGTGTGACATGTGCACCCAAGGTGTGCCCTAAAGGAAGTATTAGAGTGCTAAGGACAAAAAGTAGCAGGGACACAGGCCTCTCCTTTCCTGCGAACACCTCATCTCCCTGGCCTCACCGGGTTCTGCTTACTGACATCTCTGTACCTCGGGTCTCCTCTGTCTCCCATGTGGAAACACCGAGCTGTTCTCTACCATAGGTGAGATCTTTATTGGTGAGGTTTCTCTCAACTGCTGCAGTGGCTTCTGGATTTTCTGGAAGGTAAGATTCTGGGACCTCCCTGCATTCGCCCCTATTCTTCCCTGGGGGACTTACTCCATACAGTCCCCTACCTGCAAACTCTGTGTGTGTGTGTGTGTGTGTGTGTGTGTGTGTGTGTGTGTGTGTGTGTTGTGTAGTGAGAGAGACAGAGAGACAGAGACAGAGACAGAGATTGATTATGTCTGTGATGTGGCAGAACAGAACTTGTCCCAGAAGTGTGTGCTCCTTGGATTCTAATTCCAATTCCTGTTCTAGCCCCCCCAAGATCTGCAGTCAGGCTAAGCTTGATACCTGTGTTTGAGAAATGACATTTATAGGGTTCTTCAGCCAACTTTTTCCACACATGAGGGCCTTGGATAATAAATGTTTTAAGCTTCAAGTCTTATGCAACTACTCACCTCTGCAGGCAGCCCAAAAGCAGCCACACAGCACATACAAGACTGGACGTGCCTATGTTCCCATGCGACTTTTTCCAGAGGAGGGTGGGGACATTTTTAAGATGAGATTTCACTGTTGCCCAGGCCATTCCTGTAGGCCAGAACACAGGGCCTAAGTGATCCTCCTACCTTAGTCTCCAGAGTAGCCGGGATTACAGGCCCACTGTAATAGGCCTGGCTCTATTCCAGTCAAACTTTCTGCATGAGCACTGGACTTTGAATTTCCTACAATTTTCATATTTCATAACGCACTCTTACTTTACGTTACTCCAACTTACAGACTGAATGTCTTCTTGCTGGGGTCTCTTCTCATCTCTCCCAGGCCAGGCAAGGTGTTGCTCCATGATACTGTGTACCTAGATATTGAGTTAAAATATAGCCTCTCTCCAATCCCTTCAGCATAGTCTGTGGAGCACAGCAGCGCAGATACCTTGTCTCCTCAGGAAATGGTTCAGGTCATAGCATCCACTAGGTGCTTAATACTGAATGAATAACAGGGATGGATCTATAGACAGGCAAACTCATGCCCCTTTATGTATACATGGGCACAGGCTGAGTATAAGAGACTAGGATGACTTGTGTTTACTGAGCTGCCTCCAAAATTTAAGAACATTTTTCCATTAAAATACAGTGTTCATGGATGAGGTGGCACAAACCTGTAATCCCAGCACTCAGGAGGCTGAGGCAGGAGAGTCACCATGAGTTTGAGGCCAGCCTGGGTTACTTAGTGAGTTCAAGGCCAAATTGAACCACAGAGTGAGACCTTGTCTCAGAAAAAAGATACATTTTTTTGTCTTTTTGAAATAGGGTCTTGCTATGCAGTTCAGGCTGGTCTTGAGCTCACTTTGTAGCCCAGACTGGTCTCGAACTCTCAAGGATCCTCCTGCTTCAGCCTCTCGAGTGCTGGGATCACAGACCTGAGCCACCATGCCCGGTTTACATTTTTCTTTTTGAATATTTAATACAGATTCATATTTCTCAAAAACTAATTGAAAGGTTAACATAGAATTCTTTCTTTCATTCTAATTTACTCGTCCCCTTCCCCCACCCTGACTTCCCTAGGTGATCTTATATTTATAGTAACTTGTTTATCCTCCTGGTAGTTATTTTTATAGACATAAGCAAATAGATATTTTTAGTCCTCCCTTTCCTGAGAGTAATATACTTTAAACACTGTTCTGCACTTTGTTTTTGTCACTTACTATATCCTGACAATCTCCCTTTCTTCTTTCTTTTTCTTTTTTCTTTTTTTTTTTTTTTTTTTTTTAGACAGGGTCTTGCCATGTAGTTCAGGCTGGCCTTGAACTCACTACATAGCCCAGGTTGGCCTTGAACTTGCAGTAATCCTCCTGCTTCAGCTTCCTGAGTCACAGGTGTGTGTGTTCCACACACCTACAAGCCAGTTTCTGCAGTTCACTTGCCAAAGGGGGCTGACTGTATATACATGAGGGAAGATCTTTGCTGTGAGTCTCTGAGACTGAAGTTGGCTGTTGAGACATGACAGGGTGTGATCACAGTGGATGATGGCTGACTGGCCCTGCTCTAAGCAGGACATTGACCCCCTATTTTTGTGCTGTGGGAGGGCAAACTCAAGAAGGTCCCAGTGGGCTGGGCCTGACTACCCTAGGATCGATCCAACTCCTTCCCAGGACAAATGGGACATTCTCAGCTTCGCTATCATCACGCTTGCAGTTCTTCATTAAGGAAGTCAATATCTTCTCTGTCACCTACACTCTCAGGTGAGCTGGCTGGGAGGTCTGGAGAAAAGAAGGGGACCTGTCTGGCCTATAGGAATGAGAAGGAAAGTTGTTACCAGCTGGGACTCAGCTCTGTATCACTGGGCAGTTTGTTGGGGGAGCTGTGGGGAGGGAGGAGACTGAGTGAAGATCAAGGGCCACCCCAAGAGGCTCTGCCACAGGGCTGGTGGACGTGTGCATGGGAGTAGAGGGCCTGGCCGGGATCGACAGCGTCATCCAGCAGTTGGCGCCAGATGTGGCCGATATCACGGCATTCATTCTTTCCATATTGGAAATGTCTCTTCCCACCCTAGCCATTCCCCTTCCCTGAACAGGACTGCTGAGTCTCTGGGGGAGAGAGAGGTACAAACAAGAGAAGCTTATGGGTCTGAATCCCTGTTGTTCCAGGAGTACTGTGCTGGGCCTCTTTTTCCCAACAAATAAGGCCTTTCATACCCCTTCAAGGAAACTGTGAGCTTTTCTGGGTTCAGCTGAAAACATTTTTGCTCTAAAGAGATGACAGCAATGCCAGGGATGATGGTAGTTGGCTGTAACTATAGCTACTGGGGCTGAAGCAAGAGGATGGCAAGTTGTACATCAGCCTGGGCAATGTGGTAATACTCTGTCTCAAAATAACAAAAAGTTGAGGATGTAACTCAGTAGAGTGCATGCATAGCATGTGCAAAGCCCTGGATTCAGTCCTTAGCACTGCAAAAGAGGTGTCTTTATTCCTCCTAGTCATCTGCTGATACTTCTGGTTCTGCCACCCAGGAGTTCATGGGGTCTCTTGCTTAAGTATAAAATACAGTTGCAAAATCCACAGCTATGTCTCTAGAACCCTCTTTTAGTGTTCTTTTTAATAAACTGCTTTATAACAAGGTCAGTGAACTTTAGTTATTATATTTATTTAAATAATCACTTGCCAGTGTGCCACATCCTGTGTAGCTCTCAAAGTTCCCAAGGGGAAGGAGGGTGAGAGGATAGAGAAATAAAGATAAGAGACAATACACAGCAAGCTGAAGTCTGGTGGAGCCCTCTCTCTGGATGAGAAGAAAGGAACTGCTTAACCAATGCAGCAGTGCATTTATTTATACATTTTGCAGGTTGATGTTACATGAAACCCCTTTGCATAGCAACCTTGGACTATAGCAGCTTGTTTACCTGGCCCCCACCTAGGGGGTTCTTTCTTTTCAGATGGCCTTGCCTCACCCCTGTACTCATGATTAATTTCCAGCTTTCGCCTCTCTCCACACCAATGAGGATGGAGACTATTAAAGGGTAATAGTTGCCTTTTCTTTTCTTTTTCTTTTTCTTTTTCTTTTTTTTTTTTTTAGGCAAGGTCTTACTAGGTAGTTTAGGCTGGCTTTGAACTCATTATGTAGCCCAGGCTGGCCTAAACTCTCAGCAATCCTCTTGCCTCATCCTCCCAAATGCTGGGATTAGAGGCAAGTGCCGCCACATCCAGCTCCCTGTTTTTTTAGACCAGTGATAGCCAGGCCTGTGTTCTGGAGCTGCAGCTTGTGCAGGTCCTTTCTGGCTCTAATAATACTGACTCCAAATCTCTGCATCAGCTGTGTATACCCACTGGTGGTGAACATCAGCCAGTTTCTTCCCTACCAACTGGACTCTCCCCTGAGCGCTCTCCTGGAGGCCACTTGTTTGGCTGGGCCCTGGGAGGCTTCTGAGCTTTCATATCTACCTTTAATCCAGGCAGAAGAGTCAACACTCTGAAGACACTGGCTGTTGTGTCCATTCATCAGGCATAGACAGGCACCTCTTAGATGGCAACTCAAAGCTTTAGAGGGAGAAGAAAGATGTTTCCACATAGCAATTTATTATAGGTTGCTTATGCATATTTTGTAGGGTATGAAGGCTTCAAGGATCCTGGTCTAGGGACCAGGATCTATGAGGTGGCACTTCATTTTTAGGTGGCGCTCCCCTCCCCTTATTCTCCAGGCTACCAGTACGCAATAGCTTTGGATGTGGGGCAAGTAAGCAAGCAACTCCTCTGAAGTTCCACTGTAAGGACTGGGGACACCATTACATGATGAGCATTTTAACACATTCATAGCTCTCGATTCCACTCAAGAACAGAATAACCCCCCACAGCACACCACTCTGTGATCTTCAGGGCTACAAGCAGTGACCTCAACCTTTTCATTTGGGTGGCCCTTGAGTTCTTTGCAGTACCAACATCTATCAAGACCACACACCATTCTGTGAATGAGAGGTAAGTGTGTCAGACGCCAGTAATCTGCTAGTGCCAGACCAGCGCTCAAGCTGGGTGTTTTTGTACCCATGAGCATACATCCTATCATTTTTCTCTGTATCTCAGAGAGAAAATAAATGCCAAGTGAAAGTTTGTTGAATGAATGTATTATTGTGGCCAATCAATTGAGGGTTCTTTTGCTCAATTTTGATAGAAATCATAAATAGATAAAGTATAGCTCAGTTAGTGCCCTGAGGATGCCAAATAATGCTACATGATGTTACCCAACATAACCAGAGGCCGGTCTCTTCGAGTCAGGTGAATTCAACAGGTGTTGGGAGGCTCTGCCAGCCACTGGTCTTTGGAGCTCTTCAGAGCTAACAGCCCCTAGTGCTTATTGCTCTTAAATAACTGTTGTGTTCACCCTACCCAGGAGTAGATGTATAAGACTTTCCAAGCCCACACTACCCAAGAAATAAATCCCAAGCAGTTCTATAGAACCATCAGAGGGTGTCTTTATTTTAACAGGTCCTGTGCAACAGCACAGGGGTATCAGTACCTAGGAGGAAGCCCTTTTAGACTACCCTGAGAAGACTAAGAGGAGTGTTGCTTATATACCACCTTCAGGCCTGTGAAGGCTTTACGTGTAAACCTGTGATTGGTTCAAACATAGGTCTGCTGATTGGTCTAAATGCAGGCCAATGATTGGTTCAAATGAATGCAGGGGTCCAGTATAGCCATAGCTGTCAACACTGTGATTCAGTCAAAGAATGGGCAGCTGAGCCATGTGATTGACAGTATCCCCTCTCTGGGAAAAATGGCAAGTCTGAAACCAGGAAGTCTTTGGGAAGGCTAGTTGTGCTCATCACAGCTTATTGGTGTTTGGGAGATGGGGTGTTAAAAATAGGCTTGGCTCCTTCTGCCCTTGATTTTAGCTATGGCAGGCTGGTTTCCCTCCTCACTTCTTCAAAGAAAATCCTTGCTTAGAGCCCAGCCACACCCCTGTGGGGACCCTGGAGGACAGTGGCTAAGTAACAAAGGAGGACACTGGAGCAAGTTGTCCAGTCCATTGTGAGAGAGGAGTAAGGGAGAATGAAGGGACATGAAGAGGAAGAGGAACATGACAGTCTTTAGCCAAACCACCCATTTCTGGCCAAACAGGAGAAGGAGAGTCAGATGCTTCTCATGTCTTATTATTCCCACCTTGCAGATGAGTAAATAAAGGCTCAGGGAGACTAAAACCTGTTCAAGATCACACAGCCAAACATTTTTCTTTCCTCAATTAATTTTTTCTTTTGGTACCGGCAATTAGACTCAGGACCTTGCACTTGCCAGGCAGGTGTTGTGCCAATGATCTATATCCCCAGTCATCCTCAATTAATTATTGAGGACTTCCCATGACAAGATGAGAACATAACACTAAGATTTCAGAGTGTTATGGACAGGCATCACATTTAATAGCTAATACTGACATGGTATTTGCCCCTTGCCAGGCAGTTTAAACCACTGTACATATATAACCCATTCAAACCTTACAACACACTCTTATGGCATAGTTATGTCTTCATTCTCAGTTATACATGGGAAACCTAAGGCTCAGTTCACACAACTGAAAAATGGCAGACCTTGCTAGTGTTGGGGACACAGAGGATGAGCTCTTACACTCAACATCTGGGAAAAACCTAGTCTCTGGATTTCTATGTCATATTTAATTAATATTAATAACTCTGCCAGGCATGGTGGTGCACATCTGTAATTATAGCACTTGGGAGGCTGAGACAAAAGGATTTCCATGAGTTTGAGGTCAGCCTGACTACACAGCAAGACTCTGTCTCAAAAAACAAGTCTGTTGAGAAAACAGGATACACACATGCAAAAGACTGAATTTAGACTCATATCTCTCACCATATACTAGAGTAAAGTATAAATGATGGTGCATGACTGTAATCTCAGCACTCAGGAGGCTGTGGCAGAAGGATCCTATAAGTCTTAGGTCAGCCTGGGCTACATAGTGAGTTCAAGGCAAGCCTGAACTGTATAGAGAAACTTTGTCTCAAAAAAAAAAAAAAAAAAAAAAAAGGTCCAAGATCTAAATATTAAAATAAATCATCTGACAAGATAAAATAGGCAAAAGTATTCAAGACATACATATGGGCATGGGCTTTCTGAACAGAACCTCAATTGCACAAGAAACAATAGACAAAAAAAAAGAAATAACAGTTCAGCAAACAAGATCATATCAAATTAAAAAGCTTCTGCACACAAAGAAAGCAACCAACAGAGAGAAAAGACATTCCTTACAGAATGGGAAAAAGTGTTTGCCTGCTACTCCTCAGATGAAGAAGTAATATCTAGAATATATAAAGAACTCAATAAAATTAGAGATTCCAAAATAAAAGACTCAATCAAAAAATGAGAAACTGAAATAAACAGACACTTGTCAGAACAAGAAATACAAACAGCCAATACATACATTGAAAAATGTTCAATATTTCTGACCAATAGAGAAATCCAAATTTAAACAATATTGAGCCAGGTGTAGTGGGTCATGCCTGTAATCCCAGCACTCAGGAGGCTGAGGCAGGAGGATCGTTGCGAGATCGAGACCAGCCTGGGCTACAAAGTGAGCTCAAAGCCAGCCTGAACTGCATAGTGAGACCCTGTCTCAAAAAGACAAAAAAAAAAAAAAAATTAAGCTGGTTAAAAAAAAAGCTGATTTTTAAAAAATCAGAGATTTCATTTAACCCTAAAAAGAATGGCCATCACAAAAACCAAATAATAATAAATGCTGGCA